CTCGATATCTGCACACAATTGACCACTCTAATAGTAGTATAACGTCTTTTTTTGTTGGAATGCTCGTCATGCCCATGTTACAGCCAAGTGCCTGTGAGCCAAATTCGACCTTTGAGATGCCATGGACTACTTGAGGAAAAGACATTTATAGTTGAGGCATATTTTCTCTGACTGCAGCAATGTTGTGTGGTGTCCTTGATGATTTCGGTCATCCAGAGTGTGATTGTCTGTTAGTGTCTTTACAATTGAGGTTATGCACAGTCCCATGGGTTCTGAACTTGTTGACCCATCTGTAGATCATTGAGTGGACAGGAAATTCTCGACATCTGAACCGTTCTTTGAATTGCAATTGAGCTGCGTGGATAGACTTCAACCGAAAATATGCCTCAACTATAAATGTCTTTTCCTCAGTAGTCCATGGCATCTCAAAGGTCGAATTTGGTAGACTCTTAGAACATTAATTTTTCTTGATAAATCTGAAAAATAAAAGGAGTTGATTATTTATTTCAAAAGTTATTCAAGTTTAGGTGATGACCATTTTTTTTTTTTTTTTTTTTTGTGTCACCCTGTATTAGCAGTTTGAATTCATAAAAGACTGGACCTTGTTATGCTTGTTAGATTTGTCTGACTTATGAAGTTTGTAAGGTGCCAGTCCAGAGAATGGGACTTGTCACTTGAATTAAATACTACCCTTTTCTTTCCTGGCTTCTTTGGATGGTAAACACCAAAATGTAAAATTTGGCGAGTACTACGCCTCTTGGCTTGGACTCACAGGGGGCGCTGGCTCTGCGTGAACTGTCTCTAGCATAGTACTCATGAATTTGACATGTTTTTTCAACTCATGATTTCTCTTAAGGCTCTTGGAGAGAGATCTTAGGCTTTGGTATACCCTCTCCTTGTTGCTTGGTAGGGTCTTCCTGTCAGATTTAAATGGCAAGGGAGTGATTAAGTGGCCAGTCTCCTCATGCGGCATTTCTTCTGTCATGAGATGCATGAATTCCCTGTCTTCCATGCTACCTTAAATACTGGTCCCATTCTCATTGTCAACTTCTGTGCAGACATAAATGTCTTTGCCGATATTGTCCCTGAAATATCCATAGCCATACTTTTCTATGTATCTCTCTGTGATGGTCATTCAATGCATGCACAGGTCAGAGTTGGTCTGCCTTTTTCTGTAATGTTAGAACGAAATGTGCTGACCTGGGGAATGCGATGCACATTTCCAGTACACACTTCCCCAAGAATGACACATCTCCAATTGAGGCGCTGGGCCCATGGTGCATCATTGGGTCCGTTTCTTGATTCCCTTATCTTGTGGGCTTGCAGCACATCTCAACCAAGTAACAGTAGAATATCAGCCTTTAGGTTTATCTCTGGAATTTGGGCTGTCAAGTGGTGTAAATGGGTGTGGTGCGCTGCCACCTGAGGACCTGGACTTTCATTTCTATTGTCTGGAATGTCGGTACATTCCAGTGTGGTTGGTAGAAATATCTTTGTCGATCCATTTATGGCTTCAACTACAAGATGTTCAGCTTGCCTATTAACAATCTGGGACTTGCCACAAAAGGTGGTCATGGAGAAAGGAACCAGCTCTGTATCTACGCCCAACCTGTGAAACATTTCTAACTTGGCCAGAGACCAATTACTCTGGTCGTCCATCACCACGTAGGCTCGTACGACTGTTGCAGATCTAACTTTGAGGGAGATGTTTGCCAAACAGATCTTGGTATATCTTAATGACAGGTCACAGTTATAGTCACTGGGCCAGTTAAGATTCCCTTTTGCACTTGTACAGTTTATTTAAAAAACCTGTCACAAGTGTTGCATTATGACAAAATTAATTTGATCTTATGCCCAGCAGGTATTATTTTGAGGTGCCTTTTGTCTGCAACAACTGAAAATTAAGAAAAAGATAAATTGTTATTAGTATTAATCATCAAACCAAAGGGATAACCCAGTGACATTTCTAGACAGACATGACCTCATGTCAAAAAACGTGAGGCTTTCCCTGGGCATAATCAACTTTTAAGCAATTCAGTGAACTTGCCTACTAAATCCATAAGTCTTAATTGTGAAAAAAATTATAATTCTCATTATTTTTGTTTTAACAAAATGAAGTTCCATATTCATACCATTATTTCTTAAAATCAGAGTGGTTATATTGAGCCTAAGCCTTAAAAAGTCTGGCTGGCAGATCTTTGGGGTTTTGTCCAATCCATTATTCTAACAAACAAACAGATGACGTACGCTGGCGCTGACCCTGTCTAATCATTCTGTTGTTGAGGACGCACTGCTTAATCAAACGAACATACGACGTACACTGGCACTGACCCCGTACCAATCGTGCTGCTGTTGCTGACATGCACAGGTTATTGTGCCACTGTAACACATAGTGGCTGGGGTTGAAAATGGTTTATTGGTTTATCGCATAGTGAACGTATGAAACACAGTGTGTCCTGGTGGAATTTAGTGTTACTTGTAATAACTAGTGGGAAAAGTGTGATGAATTAATACACTTACAATTACACGCATAAAAAATGATAACTTAAAGTAATTATATTAATCTGAGTTGTATATATTGAAGTTATTATGAAAAATATAAATATTTACACAATATTAACCTTACCCGTTTTCTTGTTATACTAAAGTGCATCTCCGTGTGCGCAACGTCATATGTGTATTTCGCTAGGGTACTCTTCAGAGGTGTACAAGTTTAGAACTTATATTACAATGTGTGTTTCCTAGGTAACATAACTCACATGTATACACCATAGGCCACAAGTGTAGCCATCCTGTTGTTTATCATGGTCAATGATGACAAACTGACTTTCCATTTCTTTTCTTTTTGAGAAGTTGCTGAAAATACATCACAAGAAAAAGTCTCTCTCTCAACCTGATCATAATATTAAATTGTCTGCACTTTGCACACTTAATTAACATAATTAATATAAATGTATTATTAATGCAATACAATATGTTTTAATATTCAACTACCTCCAGTTTCTTGTGATAATGTCTTTTTCTTGGTCAGTCTCTCCAAGAGAATTGACAAAGGTGCATTTCCCCTCCTTTCTTCCACAATACTATATATACACAAGCGAAAAAATAAGCCCCAGTCATTTAACATGTCTTCAAAGTACAACAATGTTGGTGTTGGTATGGAGAATTAGTCAAATATCAGAACTAAAGTATGTAAGTTCTCCAAATTATGTCTTATAAATTATTTTAATACACAAATAAATGAAGCAATTTTTAGTAGTGTCATCGTCTAATGCAAACTCCCACTATGATGTCTTATTCTCGGTCTTTCTATATAAAAAACAAAGATTAATTAAAATAGAAGCAAGTGGAATTTAACTAATCTATTCATTGCAATTGGGATAGATGTGATTTTGGCCCATTCCAGGTAGCAGTGTTTTAAATTCCCTGCTCTATATTTTTGGTTATTTACAGTTGGAGGCAATTTAGTTTTTACCTCTGCTCCTTATAGTGCGGATTCCGGTTTTCCCTGTGGCTCACTCCGCGTCCATTTCCTCTGAAGAGTATGACAAGAATGGTATGTGGACATGCCCATGTCTTACCAGTGATAATAATATGACTTACTGCAGGGTTAAACACACACAAAGAAAATCTACTTTTTCTTCATAGCTCAGAAGGTAGGACTACTAGTACTATTATGAAAAAATACATATTTACGTTTGTAAACTACTTCATATTCTGCACCCAAGTGTCACTTACCCCAGACGCAGCTCTCTTCCTAAAAGCAGATCTAGTACTACTGGTGATTTTCTTTCCAGCTTCACTTGATTCCATTGTTAATTCAACTGACTTATGTAGGTGGATGGTTGGAACTGCGTCTGGTAACAAAGTTTTGCATTTTATTGGGTCTTCTTTTCCCATATTTTTCAATAGTTGGTACTATTGCAGATAACACGAAGGCTCATAATGTTTCTCACATATAAGCAACGTCTTCGTCGACTGAGTAAAATCTTTGTGTCATTGATACTGGATACTGAACACTAACAAAGATCGCCATGGGAGCAGTTTAAGCTATGTTTGCAAACTAAATCTTATTCACTAAATGTTAACACAACCTTAATCAACACCAAAAATTCATTTTAACTTGTCAACAAGATAAAACTCCTACTTTAACTCCTAAGGTGAATGGAGATGCATCTTCCTAGAACTAGAACAGCAGCCTCTGTAAAGACATGACAGATCCTAGTTTGGCATTTTTCTGATGCTGTTGTTTGATATCCCTTGTTTGATATCCCTACTTAATGATTTTATGCAGTCCACTGGGTACTAAATTGGCTTCTCGTTTTCTACCTTTATTTTGTAATGGTGGGTTTCATAATCGGCCAAAACAACAGTACCTTGTGCCACCCTGATGTCCTCCTCTTTGCACTCTTTTGTCTTTTCGATCTACAGCAACAAGTACAGAATCCCCAACGTGATATTTTGAAGGTGGGTTTTTTATTAAGTTTCGTTTGATCAACTGTGCTGCAGCTTTTTCACTACTATTTTCTGCTTGGTTTCTTATTTAATGTACAGAATTCTCATAAGTTATCAGAAATCTCCCTCGCATTCACAGTATTCTTCAGCCTTGTATGTGGAAACCCCATTACTAGCTCTACTGTAAAAAAATGAAATAGGGATCTACCACCAAGAGCCTCATGGGGACCTTCATTGTAAAGTCATTTGTAATCTTGGTATTCTTTAACCCAGTTTACACTGGTCTCATAATATAAAAGATTATAACGAAGTTTTTCTTTTCATGTGCCAGTGATCTTGCGATCTGTCCTTGAGACTGAGGATAATAAGCTGAAGAGTGAATTATTTTAACATCTAATGACTTGCACAGTTTTGTCATAGCTCTGTTGAACTAGCCACCTTGGTCATATTGTAAAATTCTTGGAGGGCCAAATATATTATAGATATTCCTTCAGATAATTTGGACTGTAAAGGATGAAGTCAAATGTACCTACTGAAAGTGTCCATTAGGGAAAGAATGTTTCCTTGCCATCTGTGACCTCAATGGCTAACAGGTCTACCAAATCCAAATCCTTGTTGGCAAAGTCTGGTTCATTTCCAATGGGGCCTGGATTTTGACGCGTGTTCTGTTGATACAGCCAATCACACCGGGCATTCTTCCCATCTCGTAAAAACCTCTTCTTACTTCTCCTTTGGCATTAGGTATAGTATGAAATTTGATAAAATAGTCCTTTTGCATAATGCTTGTGACACACGAGCCACTATCCAACTCACTGAGGACTTGCTTACGCCGTGGGTGTCGCTGGTGACGAGCAACATCGATCCAGTAGCATAAAATTGCAGAGCAATCATCACTTGGTCATAGTGTAAAAGTTTTGGAGGACCAAATATATTATAGATATTCCTTCAGATGATTTGGACTTTAAAGAACTAAGCCAAATGTACTTACTGAAAATGTCCATTAAGGAAAGAATGTTTCCTCACCATCTGTGACCTCAGTGGCTGACAAGTCTACCAAATTCAAGGTCGTGACATACTTTCTAACAAAATGGCTGACTGGGCTCATTTGGTAGATCCTGTCCATAGAAATGTAGATTTTTTTGTCAATTTAAAAAGTATGTTTTTAGTAAAATAAAAGTGAATTACCTTTGTGATCACACACAGCTTGAATGTTAAAGCTGTGGAAGCCTTTCCTGTTGACAAAGTTAGCTTCATTTTCAGATGGAGCCTGGATTTTTAACTGTGTGCTGTTGATGCATCTGATTACACCAGGCATTCTTCCAATCTTGTAAAAACCTCTTCTCACTTCTCCTTTGGCATTAGGTATAGTTGGGAATTTTATGAAATCATCCTTTCTTCTGCACAGTGCCTCCAAAACACGAGCCACTATGCGACTTACTGAAGCCTTGCTCACGCTGTGAGTGTGGCCAGTAACGAGCAGCATTGATCCTGTTGCGTAAAATCGCAGAGCAATCATTACTTGGTCTCTCGCAGAGATTGCATGGTTTCTGTTGGTAGCAGGTGCGATGTCATCTTTTATCAAATCTGTTATATAATCAATAGAGGCCTTGCTGAAGCACATCTTCTCCATATCAGTCATAGCGTCAAAAACAAAAACACCTCTTCTGAAAGTTCTCTCTCTTATCATTCTACGTCTGTGAAATCTCATAGGATTTACAGCTAAACCAAGCAGATCTGCCATCTTGCTTGATTTAACAGCATGATAGCAGATTTATCCCACCTATTTTGAGTGGACAACTTTATATCCTCTGGATAAGCTGATTTATCCCCTGGGTAACGCTATCCACTGTTGATGAAATGCACTATCCTCTGGATAGCTCTATCGAGAGGATAGTGGCCATTTTTATCCGTAGGATAGTGCTATCCAGCCTTGATGAAACCAGGCCCTGGATTTCACCTGGACCTTTTATCTATTCAGGTTCTTTAGGAAGAATTTTTTATACGTTTTGCTTTGTTTCTGTAGAGGGAGCCACTGTACAATGTAGGTGAAGTATCTCCTCAGATAGAGGCATTTCCAGACAACTTCCATAACACTTTCTGACAATTTTCAGTGTGAGTTTTAACCACTTTATCAAAAATTATTTTTTTGGATTTCAATTCATTGACAGCAAAGATCAACTTTTTTTGCAGTCTTGTGTGTAACAATCAAAGCTTCTGTAAACCTTAAATTATTCTGAACAGCAGCATTATATTACAGTGGAAGACATTTAATACTTGCATATTTCCTGTTAATGCCATTAGTGCATCTTGAATATCATGTTTGAATTTATTAGGCATTAAAGATTGAGAAGTGTTTATTAGTACAAGCACAATTATTACAAAGGCTATGACCTAACATACAATAATGTTCAAGTTTCAAGTTTATTCAGTCTCACGAGTTAAATATTTTCAACATAGAGATACAAATAGAATTTTCAACACAGAGCTACTACACAGAATTACTAATTTAACTCGGCATAGATATAATAGTACAACATTTGATATGAAGATGTGTGTACAACATTCAATATTATGGTGTAACATTTGACATGGAGGTACATGTACTAATACAATATTCAACATAGGGATACTAATACAACATTCTACAAGAGTATAATGCTTTACCTTCCAGAGAATCTCTTATTGATAAATGAAATGTACTTTGATAATTTGGAGAGTGTAATTCTATTTTCTGAAGAAAAGAGAGAATGGAATTTTAAGGTATTTGGTCTGTCAGTGAAACGTTCATGTAAATAAATAGATCTGCTTTTTAAAGTAACTACATTCCATTATATATTGAAACTCATCTTCCACCTGGTTATTACAAAGGCTACATTTTCTTTTTGATCTTTTTACATTGTGCTGCCTACCTACTTCTGTTGGTAGTTTGTGGTTTGAACATCTGAATCTAGCTAAATTTCTAATGGTATTTCTATGTAAGGAAGAAAATAGATAGCTTTGTTTTTGAAATTGAATTGTATGTATATAAATGAATGTGTATGTTTGCTGTATTTTGTGATGTATTTTGCCCTTTTTTAGGTCTCCTTTTTTGTATGCGTATTATTTGAATATATCAGAATTTTTTTTTTTTTGTAACCTTTTTTCTCATGTTTGGTGTCAAGGGGTTGTTCCATGTCAAACACAGCACATTGAAGTAGAAAGTAAGTTTAATTTTCTAATGTTTGAATTAAATTCTACAGTATCCACAACACAGATTCATGTGCAAGTTTGCACATACAGTACTTGGGTTTACATTTTGTAATTCTGAGTTAATACAGATCTGAACCAGTAGAGATGCATAGCAAAGAGGTACTGAACTTAATCAGTGCTTTGTCATGAGGCTTATGTTATCTTAACTGATATGAACAGTTGTTGATATTCTCAATATTTTAAGACAAGTCATTACTGACCTGGAGTGTTGATTTATGCATCTGATGTACAATTCTTGGTGAGTTAATAAAAGATTTTATATTGAAGACTTAGTTTATTTATTATTATGTTGGCACATATGGACTTATAAAAATATTTTTTGTCAATAAAAAATGTTGAATTACAATTTCCATACATTGCTAATCCCCCCCCCCCCCACACACACACACACACACACACATTTTTTGTTCAACTTTCTTGGTGCTTATAAAGCTATGTATAAAAGCAGAACATTTTACTAAGGCATCAACCATATACTGAACCTTGTATCTTGACCTTCCTTTATAAAGATAACAAGATGAGGACATCTTACTGATATCATGTTCACTAAAGGTCCTAGAGATCTACACTGTCAAGTTTGATTTGTAAGAGTCTCATAATATTAACGTTTTCAGACATGCATAGTGCTTTCATTAGTCATGAAGGTCCAGTTCTTTCTTGTCCAGTTGGTCACTTGGCAGTCGGTCAGCGTGGCTGGAGAGGCATATATTTATTACGTAAATGGAACTTCCACTCAGTACTATAGCCAAGGCTTTGTAAGAGAATGTCTGGCAGTGGGATTTAATGCTGTACACTGGGGCTACACGAGCTGTGTGAGGTGGTGGACTAACAATGGGACCTTCCTTAACGTCAGTTCACGTCTTGATGGAGGGAGGGTCTACACGGACGCCAATAACAGCCTGTACTTTAAGGAACTCCAATTAAATGACGCAGGGCAGTGGTTGTGTCTTCTTTCAGATATGACATCCAGTGTCAATGTGACACTGTCACTGACAGTACATGACATTCCACAGGAGAATTTTGTACTTCGTGGTATTATAGGAGGTCTGACCACATTAGTATATCTGGTCATAGTATTGATTTGCTATCTGTTCTACACGTACCCTTGCCCCTATATTGGACGTGCTTATCTTAATCAAGCCACTCATCCAGAGGACTGCTACTCCAGCAAGGTGGACTGGGAACAGATGACCAGTGGTTCATGGGAAGAAACCTCCCTGGCCTCTGAAAGAACAAGGATCTGGGCAAACCAAAGCTTTGAGACTAAGTATGGTGCTGCTATGTATGACAACGCTTTAAAACAACAAACTCCGTGATTATCAGACATGAGCTTTTTTCACTGAAATGTGAAATTCCGCATATTTTTAATTCAATTCTAAGGCGGCCCCAAGACCCCCAGCTGGTTAGGTCCCATGATAAATATTCAGTTTTTTTTTAAACTTAGGCTCATGTCTGGTTTATAATACATTGTCCAGAAAAATGCATAGTTTGGAGATTGCCAGAGATATAAAACTGAAACTGACTGAAGTTTTTGCATCCCTTGTATAGATCACTGAATATTCCTTAAGTCTCTAAAATGGTGACTTAAGGTGGTCATTAAGGACCAAACCAGGAAGTGGCCAGACCAGGAAGAGGGCTTCTTGGATGTTGAATAATATGGACAAATGGCAGTACATGTTTCTAATTTTTATATACAGACGTTATAACATTTTTGCCTGTTAAACATTTGGTACATAGAAAATGTAAAGGATTGATTGCCACAAAGATAATTGTAATATGTGCACACTACTTATTTCACCATTTGTTTTAATGACCAGTTTTGACAAGCACTAGGGCACAGGAAGAAAAACATTTTTTATTTGGTTGTTTTTATACTTTCTTATTGCATATAATAAAACACAAATACAATTATTACCCAAATATAACTTTATTTCATCTATTCCAAAAATAACAACCATGTATATGAAAAACCTCACAAATACTGTCCATTGATCTGAAATTAATGTCTTCCCAAGTAATATTGGGACGAGAGCTCTTTTGCCTCTTGAATAAGTTTTGTTGTATTTGCTATACAAGTTGCTTAAATTGCTCTTCGTTTTGATAACATTTCCTCTTTTATTGAATTTACTTAAAAGAATCATTCTTCATCAAATTGTGTTAAACAAAATGTGTTAATCGTAACATAATGCAAAATATCCCTTTCCTCTGCATTTAGTAAACATGTACATATAGTTAACAAGCAGTTAAAGAAACAAAGTACTTGAAAGTTATCTTGCAGAAAAGGCTATCAGAATACTGAGATAGAACAAACTTAACAAATAAAATTTAACATATATTGTCACAATGTAAATTTAAAAAAATAATTATAATAAAGCTGTACCATAAGGTCTTGGAAAATAAAAAAAAAATGGATAAAAGCCATCACAAGCAGAGAGAGACCAGAAATAAGAAACTGGTACTAAGCATAGCAACCTGGACAGTTGGAACAATGATCTTCAAGGCTTCATTGCCAGTTTAAGTCTTTGGAGACGTGAACCGATCCAGTGCATATTTCAAAAGAAAACTATTACTGCTGCTAAAACATTAGAAATTCCATAAATATCCAGGGATGATGTGCCTGATGTAGAGTGGATTTCAGTATAAAGAAAACTTGTTTCACTTATTTCAGTCACATTATTTCAGAGAATAAAATCACATGATCAATAAAACATCCATCACACATCTTCACTAGTCAAACAGTTTTGTTACATAATTAACCCTCTAAACTACCTCCAAAAACAGATTAGCCATTAGGATCCTACAGATAATGAATATAAGAATAGTTCTCAGTCTTCTATATACCACAGTCAAAGTGAGACAACCCTGATAAGAGATTCAATGGTCGCAGTTCCCCTACTTCCCCAGCTGTTTTTTACTTCCTCGCAGTTTCATAATTCTCGTTGAACCACCTGCAAGTTTCCTCAATTGCTGAAATAAATAATAAAACTTTTAACTCCTTCAAGTGAAGGATATTTTTAAAATACAACTGTCAATAAAAAGACATACAAGGAATAGATCATGAATTTGGAAAGTATTCTTCATTTCTTTATCTGTCTTTATTTCCCCCTTTCCAAAACTTTTCCCTCTCTTTATATCCAAAAAACAACTGATAAGACTCGGCAAAAATGTTGGGGGAGGAGGAAAGATTCCCTGTTAAATAGCTGTGAAAAGCCCACTCACCTTGTTCTATAGGTGTGAACTTGAAGTCCTTGCGGTATCTCATCAGCTTTGCGTTGCTGGCTGTCTTCTTGAACTGGCCATCTGACTTACTGGTATCATACTGTAAAGTAGATGTAGATATACCTTAGAGATCTAACTGTTGCTATTTTTATGTACCAATAGAGTCACAGGAAACATTTCTCATACAACAAATCAAACCTGAACTATTATCAGTGTACTTTTTCTGTAAAAGTTATGTCAGAAGTTAAAAATCTAGATGGGTTAAAAGTCTATGTGCAAAAACTTTGAAACTTTTTGAGATACCGCGTAAAAGTATATGAGAAAACTGCATAAGTGGTCATGCAAAACGTAAAGCTTGAAAAGGCAGATTTTAGTGGTGCACAGGGAAGTAGCAAATGTAGTGTGCAAAATGAAGGAAAATGTAAGAAGGTCAAAAATAACTTATGGATCTATGAACAAATAAATGTGGAAGAACTGAACACAGCATCAACTCTCAGCTACTGATCACTTCAGGAATCCCAGTACCTTCACTTCTCCTTTGAAGCCCATGCCTTTAATAACCAGCTCAGCTGCTTCTTTGATGGAGATCTCATCCTCTTCCCCCACTGCAAATAAATAAATATCAACTGTTAGATCACTGTGAGGATAGATAGAGGAACAGGTTATGAACAATCTCCTTAGTTTTATCAATTAACAGCATGTGCTGACATCAATGACAGGTCTACACTTCAACAGCTCTAAAGACAACTTCACTTTTGCCAGCATCTTCACTCTTTTCATTTTCTTTTTGTTAAATATAAGAATGGATACTGAATAGCTCCCTGAGCCTTCAGAATATTTACCTGAGAGAATAATGGGGTCAATTTCAGGATACTCTCTTAATACCCAGATCATGAGACGGGCCAGATCCCGGGAGTAGATGAACTGCCGTCTGGGCTTGCCTGTACCCCAAATAGTAAATGGGGTATTGTCTCCTACAAACAATTCCAGATGAGATCAACATTTCATTATAATCAAAGATTTACACTTCAAGGCCTCAAGAAAACTTCTGTTCAGTCCTTTAAAAGGATATTTTTTCATACCACAAATTCATTTACAAATTCTGAAATATTTTGAGTATTACAAACTTCCGATCCTTGATGATTCTACCGTGACAAAATATCTGTGTTATATGCACAGGAGAAAGGCTTATGTTTACTTCTTTAATTTCAATGTAAAAAAGCAGAGAGAGGAAACAAGATATATATCCAGGAAAGAAAAGTCTTCCAAGACAGTTCCAGTTAACTCACGCTTAGCCATGTAGACTTTGTTGATCAGGCCAGGCAGTACATGGCCGTCCTCTAAGTTAAAGTTGTCATGTGGCCCAAACACATTGGTTGGGACGACAGAGGTGAACTGGCATTTGTGCTGTACATTGTATCCCCTGAAAAAAGATAAACATTTTTTTTAATCTGAAATCTTAGGATTGATAGGAAAAATTATGTATATTTTTGCTTTCAAACTTGTGACTGAACTTCATTCTTACATTCAGGTTTATAAACTGAACATTACAACTAGAAGACAGTCTACTCATTATGTCAGTGACAAAATAGATTTCCAAAAAATAATCCATGGTCAGATGTAGATAGCTCTTCATAGTAAACATGAATAAGAATAAACTGCCAGTATTTCATTTCACTGTGTCTGTTACTCACTTGTTCAGCACATCTATCATTCTCTTGGAATAGGAATACCCGAAGTTGGAATCATGGGGGGGACCATTGTGGACCTGCAAAAGTGACACAGGCTAGTGTAGCTGTAGTTACTATATAGGAATAACCAATTGTCTAGGAGTACATGTTTGGGGAAAACTGGTACTATATTGGGGGGCGGGGGGGGGGGGGGTAGGGGTGCAGTTGAGGGGGTGGGAGCAGGCTGGGATAAACATCCTCAAAACATGGTCTTAAAATTTTAGCCCTCAGCCTATTTTCAAATTCAGATTTTGATATCATTTGGTGTTAACACCAAATAATTTTCACCCTTAAAATGAGTTAGATTTCAAGCACCCCCTACATTTCTGTTAGCAGGAAATACTCCTTCTAAAATTAATTTATCTATACAACCTCTCTTTTTTCAAAATGAAAACACTGATACATGACAGCTAAATAAGATGACTACTTTTACTGAATTATTTGTCTCAAAGATGTCACATTGTTAACAATACAAGTTTTTGAGGGAATTTATTTGACACTTTCATATTTTACTAAAAGCATTTTCATAGACCTTCCATCCCTTAAAAATTGTAATTTAGAGATGACATTTTAATTGTCAACAACAACAGCAGGTAAAGCATGTAAAACTTGCTTGGTGAATTCAAAGTGTGATATTAATAATAGATGCACACCCACAACATCAACATGTGTCATTTAAATAAGGTTAATAAGGTTTGCAAATTAATTCACCATTATATCTCCATGGCATGCTTATCACAATTTAAGGCTGAGAGAGAAACAATTTGATTGGTAGAAGTTTGAACCTGCCATGCACAAACATGGTTGTAAATAATTAAAGCAGCAATGTGACAGATGCAATTGCTGCCATTTGATGATCACTTTAAATGTTCAGCAAGTCAATGCAGATACATATTGGTATCAAGATCAAGTTCGTCATTCTAATGTCTTTATTGCTGGACGGGAAAAGATGCACAAAACTAGAAATTTGGCATAATTGCAATATTTGAAGTGCAATCTTACCATTTGTGCCTAACATATACAAATGCCAGAACATGTGGGGTGCCTTACCATTTTCATCTATAGGATATGTAGTTTTGTCTGCCTTACCATAGTTTCATCTATAGGATATGTAGTTTTGTCTGCCTTACCATAGTTTCATCTATAGGATATGTAGTTTTGTCTGCCTTACCATAGTTTCATCTATAGGATATGTAGTTTTGTCTGCCTTACCATAGTTTCATCTATAGGATATGTAGTTTTGTCTGCCTTACCATAGTTTCATCTATAGGATATGTAGTTTTGTCAGGGAAGATACAGGTAGACAGGCAGGACACAACCTTCACCACTTTCCTCTCAAAACTGGTTTGAAGAATGTTGTCATTGATCTTGCTGTTTTTCCTCTGAAATACAGTAGAAAAAATAGACAAATTGCTTAGTTAATATGAAGTATCTTTAGATTCTACACTTTAAAGGTGTATTTTAGGCTGGAAAATGATGAAAATTAACCATATACACATTAGACAGATCACTTGTTGTAATTCTTAGCATGATCAGAATAACTGGACACCATAGTCATAAGACTCATTCCCAATGAAATTATTGTTCTTTGTAGGGACTCTCGCTGAATGCAATCAGACTAACATGCCTCTTCTTGTTTCCGACATACTTTTCTGTTTGCTACTCAGCACCAGGGGGAGGGTGTCAGTCCGCTAATCAGATTGCATTCTGATCAACAGTAAGATAGTTACATTGGGAACGAGCTCATAGCCTGCAGTCACTGCTACAGGATAAGCCTTCCATTAGTGTCCAAGTCTCTGTGTTCTTACCTAATCACACTAATATTACACAGGCAGCCTGCCACTTTTATAACATTAATATATTCCCCTTAGTACATTGATGTCTTGCTTGACTAATCTTAAGTCCTGATTTCTATTCAGTGCAGAATTAAAATCTTCAACTCACAAAGAAGTCAAGGTTATATCTAAGGTTACGAAACAGTCCTCCAACCATGGCGGCCAGGTGAATCACATGAGTAGGTTTCACACGATCAAACAGGGCCTCAGTGGAGGCTTTATCTCTGAAATAAACAGCAGACAGAGTATACCGTAAGACAGCTTCCATATTTCTTTAAGTGGGGGAATACATTAATTGCTTTTACCAAAAATTTAGATTTTTATAAACTTATCTGTTGATTTCACAAAATTATCTTAATCAATATAAAAAAATCATTGTCATTTTGTTTAAAAAGATGTTTTAATCATCATATTTTAGTAAATACCCATCACAGTTCAAGTTTGTCAGTCAAATTCAAATCATGTGGACCCATTCTTTAATCCTACACAGAAGAATCAATAAAATTTGTATCAGTGGACTCATTTAATTTTATGTTGCTCCCATCAAATCCAACGAAAAAAGAAGAAACCAGAAGAAACACATATCAGATAAATAGCAATAATAATTACAATAAGTCAGCATCTTTGGAACTAGCAAAGAACCACTCTTCATCTGGTCTTCCTTCACCGTTCTGGACGGCCCACTCAACGGCTTTCCCCACCAGTCCCGTGCCGCCAGTGACCAGGATGACCTTCTTTTTCTCAGACATTGGCACAGATTACAGATTACAGCAGATCCTGGAAGTAGAGTATCTGCAATATTACCAACTATTGCAGTATTCAGAACTTGTCCTGGGATCAAATATGGCGACCCACTGAAAAGCTTACTGTCTTATCCCCTAATAGACACTGAACAAATTCTCTGCAGGGATTACGCAACATTGCAAGCATTCAATTGGGTCAGCCACATTTGATCTGCGTATTAGTTAGTCTGCTGTTGTGGCTGTGACCAGTGTGTGCAATGTCAGAGAGTTAGTATCTCTTCTTTCATGCATTAGTGTGTTAAAATGTGACAGTCTTAATTATCTTAATGTTATCTCACAGAATGTTGTTGTAAAACAGCTTTCTAAAATACAACAGTACTAGACTTTTCATTGACATAAGACCAACAATCATTTTATGTAAATTTATATTTAGTACCAACACTTTTAATAGTCATTTTCAATATTTGTTTCCAGCTTAGTGGCAGGAAAAGTAACACTTAGTGGCTCCTAGATCTTCCTTCTTTTATTTGCTATTAATTTATTTTACTTAGATTTAAAATTAAGCATGCATATATGTATGTGTAAATTCCATGTTTAAAGGTAATTTGACATTCAATATTTACATGGTCAAGCACATGCATGTTTTTGTATGTGAATAAATTGAACTTAACTGAAATAACATAACATTTATCTCCGTCACCTACCCAGGGTTTTAGCCCTAAGGCAGGATATAAATTTCTAACTTGTCTAAAATGTCCTCAATCATATAATCAGATATCCTGTCATATGTTTTACACTAGAAGCTGGAGAGGATCAGTTGTCCAGCTGACATCTACTCTTCCTGTCCACCAGCTACACTCCCAGGTACAACTTACCAAGCTATGATACAGAGCTGAGACAATGGAGCTTCCGTGGCCAGTGATTGAAGACCAAGAGACAGCAAGAAATACCAGCTATAACGTGGCAGTCTCTATCAGCTACAGGAAACAAAGGGAAGGCAAGTTTGAATCACAAATTGAGGGTTTTTGAATTTATCTGTGTTATTATATGTGAATGCGCAGTACAGACTAAGCTAAGCTGTAGACAGCGTATTAGCACTGTGTTATGGATATTGAGCTTAACATGAAATACTTGCACACAAAATTCTCGGACTTGTTTGGAAATATGAAAATTAAAATACATTCAACTATGACAATGAAATCACCCCTTTGAAATAATCGGCAATTCCTTCTACTTTGAAGCCTCCTGCATTGTGACAGCCTGGTATGAATATTTAATCCTTGCAGCAACTGGATGCCAGCATACAGAGCTCTGTAGAAGTTTACAGTTAATGTCTCAGGACCCACTTAGATATATATATGTAACATTTAGGAAGATATGTACATGTACCAAGCAATGGTCTCCAGGCGTAATTGACATTTACTCTGATGGAAAATAACATTATGTGCAGAAAGTTACTTTGAGAGTAATACTAAAATACTTGCATGTATTCACATAATATAAACTGCACCATAGACCAGCCACTCAGTGATTAGAAAGTCAGATTTATAACAAGATTTTACCACAATACAGATGCTGCAACTTTGTACATATAAACCAGCAGGTGTGCCGTCTTATAAATAATATATAAATATTATAAAGAGTTGTATTACTGTTAACTAGGCCCTGCATCATACAAGCAGTACGCCTAAGTCAAATTTGAAAGGACTACATGCAACATAACATTATGCATCCTGGGAAGACTTCATAATATCACCTTAATAACATAATGTGAACATAGTAGATTAACAACTGTAAGTAGAAATAGATGGCTAAAAACTTGACAGACTGAGTAATGCTCTTCCATAAAAATATCCCACTTCAAAAACAGAAACATATGAATGATCCCTATTTTTTTTTCAGTTTGGACCTCAAGTGACCCCTAAAGTTCAAATTTTAATGGATATTGTGTATGTTTGTTGTTATGTATTCTTACCAATTAACCCAAATAACCTCCACTGAAAGCACTGTATTATGTATTCAAAATATCTACAGATAGCAATTATCTTTGAAAGAATATACCACAAGTGGTGGTGCATATTAAACTCATGCACAAACATAAATGGCTATGCAATGTTAGATTTTTATGGCTGGACAATTGTCCAGTGCCAGAGCAATCACTGGGGCCATGTCCATGATGTTGATAGAATGCTTGCACTGTGTGGCTATAGAACACAGACAACAGGTGGGCGTGGCTCTAGGTGTGGTGTGGGTCAAGAACAAAAGATGCAGGAACGGTGTATCTTGCACAATTATACACAATGCCCTCTCAAACAATGCACACTGCCACACCTACCATTTTTACATTATTTAATAACAATTTAATTTCTGAATTACCAAAGGAATATATAAGGTATTAAGGTATTGTTGTCTTCTAATGCTGTGCACATAAGTTTAACAAGAATATTTGCACAGAAATGTAATTTTCCCACATGCAGCAGGCATTAGGTAGAGAATGAAATCATGTCTATTTATTACTAAGAAGACCTGCCTCTGCTACATTACCGGAGAGTTACATTAAGACAACAACAGTGCAGAAATAAAGAATTCATGTAACCTAATTTTGTAGACTAAATGTAGTATTTCAGTACTAAGCCACAGTAAAAGAAAAAAGAGCTCTGAACCATAACATTACACACCCCAGTAACCTTCATGCCATTACTGCAGTAGTACCACCACCTGGTACTAATTGTAAGGGAAAATAGACGGCTAAAAATTAGGATTGATGCTCTTCTGCACTTCAGTTCTCCCTTAAATGCAATCTAAATAATTCAAATGCTGAATTTTTATAATGCAGGCAGTGCATTTTTTGATTTTCTTCAAATGTCAATAGAAATTCAGCTCTTGAAATGGCAACTTTTGAGCATGACCAAACCATTGGGGTTGACCACAAGGATGAGTTTTTATATTTGCAATGCAATTAGAATTTTGGAAAGCACCTCCAATATCCAGAAATATACAAAGAATTTTCATTCTGACTGCATCCTTGCTCAAATTGCATCTCATGGGACTTTTTTTTTAGTGAAAATCATGTTTGTGGTTTATGTATTTTTATTGTGTTAATCCAAATAAATTTCACAAACAGCTGCCTTCCTTCCTATGAAATTTTTTTACAGTGACAATAAGCATGATCTAGAGCATGACAAAGTGCTGTGTGTTGTCTAAGACAGCATTCACATACAGACTAGTACCAGCTAGGGTGATCAAACATAAAACTTTAATGCAACTCTAACTTTCGTGTGCGCTAGGCATAATTTCAGCCCCTTGGCTGGTCGAGGAGGTGTGTCAGACAATTAAGCTGATTACACTGATTGCACTTTTGTTTCGAACATTTGATACTCAGTACATGCACAGTGTCTGAATTTGAATGCTCCCTAAAATTAAAAGTTTTAACAACAACTCATGAGTAATGTTTTCTATAATGGAAAGTACGTATTTACTTATAAGCGTCTGCCACCAGGTAAGTTTCAATCAAAAGTCTGAAGACACCTAACGAGTCCTGCGTATCTAGTGCTGCATTGCCACAACCATGGCACCAATGGTCGCCAATATAAATATTTACTGAATCTTACCGGCCGGTAAAAGACTGGAAACTGTCCATTAGCGACATTATTACATTAATGGTACGCTCATTTTGTCCGAGAAGACTTTTACGATGTTTATATGCAACCCACCATTTAATCCAACTCTGCAAACTCTATCCAGAAACTCGTGTATTACCTCACTCTTTACCTCTCTTTCTCTCCCTCCTTCTTCAGCTAACAATGATGACGTTGCTACACGTGTGCTCTTTGCACCGATTTGGGTCACATGACGTTCATTGATAGAAAGCACATTCTCTAACATTTTGATACAGGTTATGTAAGCATCTAGCAGTTTTATAGGTTGTGAGCTTTAACCTACTCCTGTGCATTATAAGGCGAATATTTGTCATTTACTACGTGTTGGATAATAATTTTTTCCAGAAACTTGTGCTGACTACGTCATCAAAAGTGGTGTAGGAGTTCCGAAGATGGCTGGTGTCGGCGCGACAGCGAGGATTCAATCGAAGAAACAAACGTTAGAAGATGCGTACTCTCCTCCAGCAAACTTTCTTGAAATAGACGTGTTGAATGCAGAGACCCACGGTATCGGGAAAAAGAGGTTTACAGACTATGAAGTTCGCATGAGGGTGAGAATTTATTACAAAATATCTAGTGATCTTGTTTCCGTCCCCAAGCCCCAAGTCATGTCAATCAACCATACTTCCTCCAAATTTGGGGTAGTTTGGGGACACTGACACATTGTTGGTGGTTAGTATAATAATATGTCAGCTTTTGTTATTTATTCGCCATGCTGAGTCAGTCCACTACGCACATATTGCACTGATTTTGTTAGCTTGCTTTGAAAGCTCAATAAAGAAATTGTCTACAGTTAATAATTATTGAACAAGTACTGTCAAACTTTACTCCCACAGATTTATAAAATACTCTTAACAGCATGTCGTTAATTTTGTTTCCAAAGTAACCAATTATCCATAAGAATTTGTCCATAACTTAGATCTCCCCAGTACAAATAAGCACCAGACTAAATATATGTCAAACTTATTGACCCCCCCCGCCCCCCCCCCGCCCTTAAAATTGATGATAAGGACAAAATGTACTCCAGTAATTTAGCTACTTTTCCCATTGAATATCAAATGTTTTAAGAACGAAAGCAAAAATAAATTTTGTGTAGTGACATTGTTTACCATGAAGTGCCAGTATGCACACTTCCTTTCTATTTACCAAAATTGCATTTTCATTTTTCATTATTAAACCTGCATTATTGACTTACAAGATTGATATTGTGTTAAACTGATATTGCTGTGCTAATTCACGTCTCATTGGTTTCAGACAAATCTGCCAGTATTCAAGATGAAGGAGTCCAGCACACGGAGAAGATACAGTGATTTTGAATGGTTACGGAATGAGCTGGAGAGAGATAGCAAGGTATCTGGAGAGACTAAGATTTAAAATAAATTGTAGAATATTGTAGAAGTACAGTGACTCGGAATGGTTATGGAATAAGCTAGAGAGAGATGGCAAGGTAGCTATAGAGACTAATATATAGAATAAATTGTAGAATATTGTAGATACAGAGATTTTGAATTGTTACAGATAGAGCTAGAAAGAGATACCAAGGTAGCTATTGAATTGTAGAATGTAAAAAACAGTTGTTGCACTTAGGCAGACATTTTGTGCCTGTGCTCAATAAGTCTCTGAAATTATCAGTTTGTTCCTACTTTATCTTCGTAGCAAATCATAGGAACAAAATTTAGTAGTGATATCAGGGAAATGAAGTGGATTTGCTGATTGGATAGAATTCAGTAGTTTTGAATGGGCAGTTAGTGTAAGCTGCAAGACACAGATAAGACTGTCATCTAAGCCTGTTATCTTGGGTCATGTTATCCTGGCTGGGGATATGATGGTCAGTTATCTTGTACACCAAGCTACATTGTATCACATGATCCACCATAACTGAACCGGCAGGTGCTTGCTGTACACAGTAGTGTGAAATGTGTGCTTTCTGTTTAATATTCTGTTGGGAATAAATTCCTTCTTCTCTCACCCAAACATATGTAGACTGCACATTATTGGAAAATTCAATCAGATTTATATGGAAATTCAGTGGCCTGATGCAGTACAACGAATGATAATAACATCATCCCATTTTGGGTGTTAACAGAAGAGGCTTCATTTAGCAGATAATTAAGTGGCTGTGCAGAAATATAACAGAACTGTATTGGTTTCCTGGATGTTGGATTTATATTCTGGCTGTGAAAGCCTTAGTCATAGACTGTTCAGTCATAATCAGTAATGTCTGATACCTGACATTAAAAAAGAGAGATCAGGTGTACCATAAATGCATACAGAGATACACTAATGTGAGCATATCTATGAATAAAAATACATAGCTAGGCATTTCTTTGAATTTACATATCACCCAGTTTTATTTTTTGTTGCAGACATATGCATTCACTTAATAATAAATCTGCAAGTCAATATGAAGCATGCATTTTGTGTCTGTGGTGTAATTATTATTATTATGTGCTGTATATCACATTCTTTTCTTCAGATTGTGGTCCCCCCTCTGCCAGGCAAAGCGTTAAAAAGGCAGCTGCCCTTTCGAGGAGACGACGGCATTTTTGAGGATGAATTTATTGAAGAACGAAGGAAAGGATTAGAGCAATTTGTCAACAAGTAAGTGAAGACGCATTCCTCAAACCACTCATTTGGAAAAACATAGTCTTCTATCTTGATAAATGTTATCAATTTTTCAGTTGATTTCAAGAATTGTGTGATAGACAGTTTGTTAAATACTCCCCTTAAAAAGATTGGGATTGCATTTTGCAATTTTTTCCTTTACAACAAACATTCATCTGTCCTAATTATTTCATTAAAGATAAGTACATGTTCAAAGTCATTTTTAGGGCCCCATATATATATATATATATATATATATATATTTTTTTTTTAATGTAATATTTATTTATTTATTTATTGCAACTGCTGTAGTTTTAATCCTTTAACATGTGTTAACTGATTTATGACCCGACACAAGATATATCAATTTTCTTTGTTTATTTATAGGGTTGCAGGGCACCCATTGGCACAGAATGAAAGATGCTTACACATGTTTCTACAAGAACCCATGATAGATAAAAACTATGTCCCTGGAAAAGTTAGAACAACGTGAGGGGAAAACAATCAAATTTGATATTGTTAATAATGTAGCAGGCAAACTATTTATGTAGACTTTTATTCATGAAATTTGTTGTCATTCAAGAGGCGCTCTTGAGTTGACATTGTTGCTGACAGTACAGAGGTAAAGAGAGATGGCATGGTTGACCACTGTGGTATTAGATGTCTCTGACACCTAACGTGCTGTCTTCAGGAACAACTAGTGTTATTTCTTGGTTGCAATCATTGAAAACATTGATATTATCTGGACATGTACCAGTAATGAGGTATTGACATCGGTATTGAAACAATTGACTGAAACTGTAGAAAGTCCTGAAAACTTAAGTTGACAGAAGTCGGCACAAAGAAATAAATTAGTTGTGATTTCATTTTAATCAAGACATTTCATAGCATTTTGTAAAATGTTTGCAGTTTGCTCTTAAGAACTTGTCATTCTGGCCTTGTATTTTGAACAATACCAGTATAGTTGTGCAAAAAAAAAAATGTCACAATAAAATCATTAGGCTTGCACGATTTCCCACTTTTGTACGCGTTTAGATTAGGCTGATGTACAACAGCACAAATATTGTATGAATATCATAGCTTTATATGGACATAATTATGTACATCTTTGTTTAGTTCTAGGATTCAAGATGTTAAATTTCTCAACATAGTCAACATTGCCTATATTAAACGCGCTATATCACCCATGGAAATACGCCCATTTTACTAGTTCAGCATGTCCATGTTTAAAAAAAGCCACTTGCAAATAGTAGAAAAGTGTCCATTCTTTTTTGCTTCTGGGCGCTATAGTGTAAATGTCAAATTCTTACACTGGTAATGTTAGCTGTGCCAGTTTTTCATTCCTTGCACATGGATTCATGAGAATTATTTTGAATAAAATAACATTATTGGTATTATCATTTTTCTTCTTTTTTATTTTATTTTTTGATTTGGTGAAAACAAAAACTGCCACTGAATTTGTAATGAACACCCACCTTTTACTGTATCAACTTTATTCAAATGAAAAAAAAAAAAAAACTTGAATAACAATTAGATCCTTGGAAATATTTGAAATATACTGTGACAACTGTTTTGTTTTAAATATTGAACATTGACCATTTTCATGCTTAAGAATGATAATTTGCCTTCAACTGCAATACAGATATTACAGAAGTACATGTTCATTTTTACATTTTAAAAAGGCTACTGTAAGGTGTGCATGCACAGCTCCACCCATTAACTCTCTGGGGTAGGGCGAGATTTCTCCGGTTCCCACATGGCTTCCTTGTTTTGTAAACTTTGCCAGTACTCTAAATTCCTCCTACAAAGAACAAATGCTGGTGAAATTGATTCCTTCTTCCTCATCTTTTCATAAAAACTCAATTTGAGTATCTCGAGAGCAATCAACTACTCGTACCAAAGATTATGTATCATTTGACAAGTGAAGTCCTCTGTCCATCCAAGATTAAAACCATTAATTACATCAAGACCTATTCTGAAATCCTGCTATAAGTACTACTACTTACTGAAGGCCGTCTAACATGGGCTGCATAAAAGGCAAGATGTGGACAATGGTGGTATAGCAGGGGATGCAAATGTGCTTAATGAAGCCCACCTAGGCAGAAATAAAAATCCTAAAAATTACATTTTACCTTTAACCCTTCCTTTTTGTTTGACAGAAGGGTGGTAAGCTAAGATAAAAAGATTCTATGGCAGCTGCGTGGACATCACATGTGCACAAATCTTGGTAAATTCTGTATTATACCTGCAGTTTTGGACTAGAGGCACTGATATTTATTAGCTTCAGAGTTACCAATGCAGGGATCAACTCTATCATTTCAAGGAAATTAGTGAAGAATGTTATCCAAAAGACTAAATGTTATTATTTTCCCACCTGTTGACTTGGAATTTTATCCTTCTGACTTCTGTCCATCATGGGGAGAGGTTCCACCCCATGCAGTTTTTCTTCATCACCCTACAGACATTTTACACAGATAGAATTTGATTGATGCTTCTATTTAAAAATGTCACTGTTTATTAATAACATTATATTTGCCTCTTGGACATTTAAAAGTATGTTAAATAATTCAATTTCATTTTTCTAACAGATATGGTAATATCCAAACCTTCAAATACAAAGACATGTGGTCAACTAGATTTCCTCAATTAAACTGTCACAACATACCTGTTTATAAAACTCTTCATATAACAAAGAGACTTCACGGATGTGGCATTCCTGCTGCTTGCACATGCTGTTCAGGTCACAGGCAGTCATAAGAATTGATATGAATTCTCCCCTGTAGGATAACAATATAAACAGCAGTGGTAAAAACAAATATCCTGCTGAAATGGACAAATAAGTTCAGTACATTTGAATTTCACGTTCTACATTAAAGTAAAAAACTGTAAATCTAGGTTTAAAACATCCACTGAACAATGAAATATCACATTAATCATGAAGAGTGCAGATTTATCTTGCAGTTTGTAAATATGATCTGATAACAAAACATGACTGGACTCTGAGGGTTAGGAGTTCTAACCAACCATCCCCTGCTCACCTGTGTTCAGGATTGTTGACATCAAAGACCCCGTCCTCCAGCCACTTGGCCACCTTCTTCTGTGCCGGCAGGAACTGGAGTAGATCCGTGTCCAAGATGGCGGTCCTGACCATGCCGAGGGCCTCCTTGTACTCCTCTGAACCCATGGAGCCAAACAAATCATGACCTTGTTTCTGAGGAATGGATTTGCCTTTACAAATAAACTTGAAATTGGTCAAAATATAAATCTGTAAGTTAATCCATCTGATTTAGGTCCCGTAAGAGACACTTTCAAATCTACGACCTGAGCTATAAGAAAAACATAGTGAAAGAAAATCGCTGAAGGAGTGGGGTGTGGGGTAGTCTACAGTGGCCCACAGACTGAGTACCTACCTGCAAAATGCCAACAGTGCACTGGAAGTGGTGTTTCTCCATCACAGAGCCGCTGTAGATGTGCCACAGGGGTTCATTTAGCTTCTGCAAGAAGGAGTTGTTCTTCCCTCTGTGGTCCACATCATGGCACAGAGCAGCAACCATCAGTGTCAGGGCCTGGAACATTTGGAGCACTTTCAGAACAGATGGTCCTCTGACTAAGTGATCCCCCAACTAAACATGGCAAACCCCACTTAAAAGCATTGCTACTAATACCCTGATGGTCTCCCCATCTCCACAACGCCTTCACCATCCAACCTTACCTGGAAAATTTTCATATCAACCCCATGTTCTTAACAGAGCCATATAAGATGTTAAGTACCTCATTTTCTGTAAAGAGTTCCCAGCGTAATTCTCTCAAAACCAAGTACAGACAGTGGCACACAAAGAAGCCATGGGCAAAATTGTGGTAGGGCACCGCGTGGCGGTAGCTCTTTTTCACAGATAAGACGAAGCGGCACAGGGTCTCCAAGTCAAACCTATAAGAGTTAATACTATGGAAATAAGGTGGAAACTTGCCACTTTCAAATAAGACTTTGAAAGCAATGGTTTAACTTATGAATTTATGGGCAGTCAAAATTAATACAATAAATAAAGAACATTCTACGATGAAAATCCTAATAGTCTATATAGGAAATATTTTCAAGGAATCATGCATTAACAGGTACTTTTAGTTGTATACCTTGCAGTTCCAAATAAGTCATAGAACATGTAGACCATCTGTTTTACCATCTGGTTTTCATGGCCTTTGCAGTCATATGTAATTCTGGAAAAGAAATTTTAAAAATTTTAAATTTGGCTACATTTCTGACACTGTCAATCTACAATAATTCAGACATGCATAACTCATTTTAGTCTGAAAGATACAGATGCACAAGCTGGACAGTTTTATACATATCATTCTGGGCCAACTTACTTGAAAAAATCTTCAGGAAAGTTTCTTGGGAAAGGATCTGCCAAGAGTGCCTCAACTTCCTCTGCAGAGCATTGTGTGTAGTATCCTACCATCTCCCTGGCCACATTGAACAGGTTCTGTTGATGACGCATGTCCCTGTAGGCCTAAAACACAAATCACACTTTTGAACAATCACTTCTCAACTAACACATCCCATCTCAACTAGCACAATCATAATGCATGTTCCATCACAACTTGCACTTGTAAGTGAAATGTTATTACCTCATTCCTTCAAAACTATCACTATCAGGCTGCAACAAACACGATCATATACAACCAACATATTCCACCGTATCTAATACTAGTCCAATGTAATAACTGCATTGCTTCAAAACTAATACAACAACAATGTAACTAACACATTCAATCACAACCAACACATTCCTTCACAACTAACACAATTAGAGAAGGACAGCACATCAATCAACTTCCAAAGTACTGTGTGTCAGACAATTCTTCATTCAATTCACTGAGTTTTTTCCAACTTATTTGCAGCAGTGTATTAATCATTCTGATAAAAAACTAAGCAAGACAGGGTTTTCTAACTTTAAGGGACATGTTTTTTTTTCACATATCACGGCGTGTTCTATTGCATACCTTTGAAATGTGAAGAGCTAGGGCACAATAAACTGCAAATGTCTTAAAAGCAGATTCATCTGAAATAATTATCAGAAAACAATTTATCAGAGCAAGCAATATCATAAAATTCCTACAAAAGTTACTAGGCACAATGAAGCCTTAACTAATCTATCTAAAACCAAATCAATATAAAATGAAACAAAACCCCTTTTTTCTTTCCAATGATATATTATCACAACTCATTCAAATACCCATTTATGTTTCAAATTCAAATTTCTAAAATTCCATGCTGCTATTTGTCATGCAGTATTCTGCCTCACCAGCAGAACTAAACCTGGGTCCATTCCTCTTGTTGACCATCTGTACCACCCCAATGACCGCCCCCTTACTGATGATAGGCATGGCCAACATGTTGTGTGTGGTGTAGCCTGTCTGGCGGTCTATTTCTCTGGAATTAATTCACAATGCAAATTGAACTATCATTCTTGTCCACAGACATGTAATGCTTTTTTTCTGTTAAATTCCTACAAAGACATTTAGATTTAAAACACAGCGAGATTGTCATGATGTAATTTAACTATAATTTGTATTATTTCATCTCATGCAATTAACCTAAATACATACATCTAAGATACATCCATGAATCAATCCATAAAGTTTTGTGATTGAATGTATGTGTCATGTGATGTGTGTCATGTGTCTATTCCAGTGCTGTTGTTACTGATTTTGCAACCCTCCACCCCTACCCTTAATGTGTTAATACCTGTTAAACCTTGGGTCAGCGTACACATCAGCTATGTTAACCACCTCCCCTGTTCTCGCTACATGACCTGCTATACCTTTACTTGTACTGAATCTGAATTTGTAACCATTTCATTAATATAATCATAAGTTTATACAGGCATAAAAATTCAGCCAAACTGATTTCAGAACTTCACTATTCTTCAATACACAACACCCTGTCAATTATCTTCAGTTTAAAAGTAGGCGACAAAGATACTTCTCAAAAATATCAAATTTGCATGAGCAGTAACAATGAAAAAACAAATGGCCAAAATACCATCAAGAAAAAATAAGTAAAAACACCTTTTAAGTACAGAACTGGCTACCTGATATCTTGTTTCTCAGTGAACACAGATTTCCCATTGACTTTTTTCCCTTCATCAAACAGCTCAGCAGTCATCTCTGTGCCAGATTCTGACACCAGGAACATTGCACACCGATCTGCATTGACCAGAACCTTAGCATAGGACTGGAATACAGACAACATTAAATAATTCATAAACAAATAAGTTAATAAGGAAAAAGTAAACAAAAATTTCACTAAATTTTTCTGATGATTTTTCTGTGCATACAAGTATAATGCCACAGACGGCCTTTGTCTCCAGTTGAGGATGACACTTACCATGATAGTGCCTATCAACTGCTTTATAGTAGTGACTTCATCAAACATCACTCTGGAAGAAATGGTAATAAAAATCAAAATACATCTTCATGTTTGCATGAGCTGCAGTGTTAAAAACTAAGCCTAGTTTAAGATTGTACAGAGTCATAATACATATTGGAGTTTAAACTAGAGAGTTAAAACTAGAGAGTTGTCGTGACTATATAGACTACAACTGTGATCACTCACTTTGATACTTGTAGGAGGAAGTCATTAAACTGGGACTGCTTACACAGGGTCTGGAAATTCTGAAGTCAAATAATAGTTAAAGATATACAGAGTTACTTTTGTAAGATGTATCAGATTGTTAACACTTAAATGATTGTATGGAAACAAATATAATTCATACAGGGACCCATGCTATTTAATGTGTCTTTTCACTATTGCCTCACCTTAGACTGGCTAACAGCAAGTCCAGTCCAGCTCACATTAGCTACCACCACCTGAAAACAAACAAAATGCTGTTGCATACTCCTTTAAAAAATATTTCAAAGTCTACATTGAGACATATTATAACCAGATAAAAATATAATTAAAATACAAATATAATCCTTTTAGCTATTTCGGCACCACAAATTCCAATTCCTGCAGTAACTCTGACACTTAAAGCGACAATGGACTCCCTAAACTGTAAGTGAACATAATGATTTCTTCTTCTTATGATTTCTTTACTTCTAGATTATATTATTATTTATACATTACTTTCATATACATAAATATTGTTAATTTCAAAGTACTTACAAAAGCATTATGTTACTTCTTACCCTCATGTCAGCTTCAGTAAATCCTGGTTTGTCCCACTTTTTGGAATACTCATACACACCTAAAATTATCATAAAAAAAACTAAATTCAGTATTTTTCCAATGGAATTCATCCAAGATAACATAAAATGAAACGTCACTGTGTGACATCTTACATAATTTTTGAGTTCTTTTTAATTGTTAAAATACGGTATGAAAAAAAAACATGATATTGCAAATACACAAAATGATGTTAATTTACAAAATTATGACAGAGGATGTCTTGTAATTAAAATTTTTGATGTGGGGATCTTTATGCCAGTTCCATATACAGGCCTAGGCCTGTAAGCAACACTCTTTTAGAACATGCGGATTTTTAACCCCATGGTTAACCCAACCTGAGAAGTGTCATATAAAATATAGATGACATGATCTAAAGCAGGCATTTTCCCACTAAAATTGCATTTCTTTACAGTCCCTCAATCCTGCCCACAGGCCTGCATGTATATATATATGTCTATATCAGGGGCAGACTGAGGGTCTTTCGGAAGATGGTCAGATTTTCAAGTTTACATTGATGGGTATCAAATTTTTTTCTTTTCGAAGATGGTCAAAAATGGAGGATGGATCAACAAAGATAATTTAGAAGATTGTCAGAAAATAGCCGTGGATCTGCCCCTGTTTATTACCTAACAAGTCCCCTCCTGCCATGATGGGGACACACATGGCACTGCGGGTGTCACTGAGGTCACTACCAAGACCCTGAGGGAAACGGTCATCCTGGAAGTAACATAAAGAACATGGAAACATTGTATACTATAGTAAACTGACCTCCACACATTTCACAGGTACTGCCACAAAACAGTCACCCAAACATCCCTGATATTACCTAAAAGATATAATTCAGTAACAATTCAGTACAATTCAACAGAGAACAAGGCATGATACTATATTTGGTTATTAGTATAGAATTGGATTTGCTGCATGAATACCTGGGAGATATCAGTGCACAAAAGAGGCTGCTTTGATAAGGCAACATGGCTAGCTAATGTGGTGCCCTCTTTCAGTAACACACCTGGGCTGTATTTTCTATAGACAGAAGCAGGAAGAAGGAAGTGAAGGAGAGAAAGGTGAGGCAGAGAAAGAGGAATATGCAGAAACAAGCACATGGAAAGTTCTTATGGTCTCATGTGTCAGTAAGTATCAGTCAGCAGTGTTCACGTTAAAATATTTGGAACTGTGCAAATATACGCAGCCAATGCTTTTCTGAAAAAAATTAAATGTTTCATTTTACTTTTAGTCGACGAAAAAACAGCACAATGATACCCTTACCTTGACTCTGTGGGACTGTATGTATATACACACAACTCCTAAAGCAAATAGAGAAATACAAACCTTTAATGGTTTAAATCTTAATGGTACCATTAATAATGACATACTTTTCAACTTTACATAACTAAGAGAAATGTTTTGACACACACACCCAAAAAAAGAAAGAAAAAAAAAACTATAAATTACCAAACTAGACTCAACTTTGTCAATATCTTCAGTTATACAAGAGAAAAATTGAGTAAAAATTATATTGTATAATAAATATTATTATTATCATAATTATTATTATTATTTATTAGTATTATTATTATTATTATTGTAAAGAAAGCAATAATAATCAATGTTTCCTCACATTTCCATGTTCCCCCAAAATATACATGGTATAACTGTCTGCTGCCAAAGCTGGAAGATGAAACATGGCGCCTTATTAATCAGATAATAATCATTTGCTTATGGTTACTTTTCCATTTCAAATTTTTACACCAAAATGTGTACTTTTGTGATCTATGAATCTCCCCCCAATCAATTTCTATATCTACATCCATTTAATGTTCATCTTAATTTCTATCAGCCAGGAAACAGATTTGTTTAGTCACAAGAAAAGTTTCATATTTTAATTTGTTCCTTTCTGCTGAATGTTTCTGCAGGCCTGGTCTGCCTGTCAGCTACATACTTCAGTAACTACCTACCTGTTCACATAACACATCCTACCTGTTCTCATTACACATCCCAGCTCATATAATTTAGAAAACAACTGGTCGTCCTTGTCAGTGCTCTCTGCCAGTGTCCTCTGAATGGCGCTTATATCACTGTCTGCATACTGAAAGAAAAGTTTACTACAATAAATTACTACTTCATTGCCACATACATGAAATGAGATAAAAGTTAGGAATCAAGAGATAAAAGAGGTTTCAATTGAAAACACTCACAGGTGTGAATGCAGCAAATGTTACTTATTAAAATATCTAAAAGAAAACTGAGATACTTTTAAACAATTAATCAAAATTCTGTCCATGGTAACTCACAGTGCACTTAGACTTCTGCCCTTGCTGGCTGCAAAATGCTAAAAATAAAATGTTAATTCATTTGAAAACATGACCAAATTGATGGAAATGAAGTAGCAATTCCTGTAAATTTTATCTACACTTTTGACAATTTGAATTCTAGACATTACTTTAGACAAAAAATTTAAAGGTACATAAGATCTGAGCATCGGTGGAGCGTGGATTCCCAGTAACACATGTAAACCACTTTTACTAGTTTCTTATATGACTCAAATAAATTCGACATGCCAAGGGATAAATTGAATAGATCACTCGATGCCATAAAAGACCTTTAGACTGCTCCTTTAAATCTTTGGTTGTAAATTTAACATACTTTCAAGACCTACTTTCCTGCCCCATTGACATACAGCTTAGAATGCCAGCAGAAAAATCCGTTCAAACATCATTTTCGGGTAAAATTAAACAATGCCTTTTGGTATTTCTCTTATTTATACTACTTGAAACTATATGCTGGCATTTGGTTGGTTTTTGTGACAAAAAAATGACTTTGTATACATCTTTATTAAGATGTTGAAGTAGCATTTTCACCATAACAATTATCCTGTAATTCTTTGCCATCTCTCCATTTCTGAATGGTATCTGCTGTCACCTTTTCCTTTACAAACTCATCCAGCAATTCTGGGTGCAGTATTAAATAATCCCGGACACTGCAAGGAGTGAGATGAGCTACTGTAACAAAAAATAGGGGTCAACCAAATCACCAACAGGCCACATCACAAATAATAAGGCTATATGATACAAGCTAGGCTGTTCTATTTGCAATTTAGCATGGAAATCTACATAGATAAATCCATTGTAAAACATCAACCTCATAGTACTACAGTCTGTTTACCCCAGATTCATCTAAATATCATGCTTTATAAAAATGTCAAGTTTCTGTCTTTCATATCTAACAGTTTAGATCGTTTTTTTTTTTTTTTTTTTTTTTTTTTTTTTTTAAAAGACCTCCCCACGCCTTTGAAATTGCTGGCTACAGGCCAGTTTATTATCCGAGATATTTTTCTAAACCCTCTTCTACACCTAGATTCTATCTTACAAAACGAGACAAAAAATTTATCGAGAGATAATTTATTGTAATGAAATCATTGCGGCTATTTATGTGGGTTGCGTTACGATCGTGTTTTTATGTGACATTCATTCAATTTTACCCGACTCAGCTGAATTCAATTCTTCGCAATGTTTCCTCCATAGTTTCTCTGCATCATACCCGGGTAAAGGCAAAGACCTTCTATTTGGTCCTCGCTTTGTTGGATCTGACATTTTTAAATCATTATAAATACTGAACCGAAGGAGACATTTGAAACAAGCGCCGTGTCGTTCAACGCGCATTAATAAATATGTCTATAATCCCGACCATCATTCATCATTATTCCAAAATTATGTAAATAATCGATAAGATTTCCTTCGCAAAATGCAAATAGTATGAAACACCGGTGTTTAAGGGCGGTTTAAAAAGTCACGACCAATTTTCTTATAGACTATATTTTGCGGAAGAAAATGCTGAGCACGCAGTTCAAAGTCAAGGTCATTGTGCCGCGGGAATGTGGAAGCTAGGTCTCTTGCACTGAGTTTCTTGTTGCCAATATTTCCTTATTAGAAATATACGCGTTTTCATTTTATTCAGGGATGCACTATTTTGTGAGGCTAAATTTGACACCAATAGCTCATTATCCATTTTTGTAACAACTACCTTTGTAGCTGAACTGACATTGTTATGACGCTGTTGTCTCGAAGTGCAACTGGTGCCAAAGCCTTCTTAGAGCAGTCAGTTCATATATCTGCCCCTGATGACTGGCTGCAAGCATGTGTAGACTGGATCCATGAAGAACACCAACAGGTACAACAAACTACAATAACGATTAGCTTGAACATCAGTCTTGTCACTACTGTTCAATGTTTTCGAAAATGTATTCATTTCAGGATCATTGTGTTTGTTTTAAAAATGTAAATAAATAACACATGATTTTTCCTATCAATACATAATTGACCTTTAATTAAAATGAGTTGACTTCGAATTATTGTTCCGTGTTGCCACTTACACATTTTTCTACAGCATATTAAGAACTTTGTATATAATATTTTCACTGTATGTTTGTTCTATCCAGCAGGGTTCTCTGTCCCAGAGTCAGGTCAATGACCTGGTCTATGAGCAGTGGTTGGTCAGTGACCTCAGAGACATAGAGGCCACATGTCTGCCTAATAATGTGATCTCAACACAGAAGACACAGCTGAATGGCTTCTACTGCTTACAGGTACATAGCCAGCTTAGGACCATGGTGTACATATGAATTTAACCTTGGATTTTTTTTTTTAATTTTATGACATATACAGTAGTAATACTAAGTCATAATGGCTATGATAAACTTAAAGTTCATTTTATTTGGTTAGTAATAATAAATGTTAATTTTTGTTTCTATTTCATTTGAGGTTGACTCTGTGCTGAATGTGGGAAGCTCTTTTTACTCCCAGCTGCAGAGAGTGACCGGGACAGAGAATGCCAATGCTGCAGTGGACACTGACGACCAGCCAAGAAATTTTGTATGTTTACTTTTGTTGCATGATACTGTTTTTAAAAAAAATCTTTGAGTTAAGATATTCAACTCTTTTTGCCACAATTTTACTCATTGATTTGTTTTACATAAATGTAGAAATATCAGTCATGATGTGAGGTGGTGTGCTCATATATTCATATAGTCACCTGTAATTCATAATTCTGTTTCTAACACATACTGGTACACATTACTATTGGTTAACATTGATATATGTTTTCACAGTGGGAGCCTAAGCCCAGCCGTATGCTGATGTTAAGTTTAACAGATGGCAGCCAGGATGTGAGAGGGATGGAGTACAAACCTATTCCACAGCTATCAGAGCACCTGCGTCCTGGCACCAAACTCCTGGTCTCTGGTCCTGTCACCTGCCGCTTGGGGGTGCTCATGCTGAGTGCCAGCAACGTGAAGGTGTTAGGGGGAGAGGTGGATACCTTGGTGGAACAGAACGCACAGCATCAGCTGCTGGCCAGGGTGCTGTGAGTGAACTATTGTCAGATAGTTTATTCATTTATTTTCATTCATTCAGTGTTTTTTTTTTATCTGAGTAAAGTGACATTTTGGAGTCAGTATTGGTTACAGAAGCGATTAGATTATTGCTAAAAAAGCATCAATTGTATTTGGATATTAATGTTATAAAATCCCTCTCCACTCATTTCATAAATGTACATCAGAGAGAAAAATACTTTACAATTTCAGAAATGTGGACATCAGTAAAATCCGCCCCACGGAACACAGCATGTACAAAGACCCCAGTAGGATACCAGGGTGTTCTCTCACACAGCCAGGGAGGGGGTCTTCTGGTGGCCCTGGGGGTGGTAGCTGGGGGCCCCAGGGTGGGGCTGTAGTCACTCCTTCCACCACCACACAGCCTCCAGCCCCTGTACAGCAGCAGCAGCCACCCCCCAGGACCATAGGTGCCTCAAGTGACCAAAACAACACATCAACTATGGGTCAAACTGGACAGCGTCCATCAGGCCAGACCAGCGGTGTGCCAGCGTCTCAGTTTGAGGACCAGGATGAAGATGACTTCCTGGACCACATGGATGTTGAGCAGCTGGACGCCTTTGAGCAGTGGGATGAGGATGAGGAAGATATGCTGGCCAGGATGCCAATGGACACTGAGCCCAGGCTACAGGATGATGGCAATGGCAGTGGTCCTAGCACACTGCAGTATGCCTCACATGTTACAAGAGAGGAACCTGGACTGAACTCTGCTGTGGTTAATAGAAATACAAGGTCAGGGCTGCAGGACAGTGGCTTTGGTCCATCATTAGGTCGGTCCACTATTGTAAATACAAGGTCAGGGCTGCAGGACAGTGGCTTTGGTCCATCATTAGGACAGTCCACTAGTGTAAATACAAGGTCAGGGCTGCAGGACAGTGGCTTTGGTCCATCATTAGGACAGTCCACTAGTGTAAATACGAGGTCAGGGCTGCAGGACAGTGGCTTTGGTCCATCATTAGGACAGTCAACTAGTGTAAATGGTCAGACCCATAAACCTATAAAATCACCTGAAATATCAACAAAACACGTAATTGAAAGAGGAGCTAGTAGTTCTGTTTCTGATGCATACGTGGGTGAGAGATACCTTCAGAAACCCAGGGACTTGAACCAGCTGACCCACACAGCAGTCAGTGGTCAATCGAACAGCAACAAAGATGACCAAAGGTCAACAATTGTAAACACTGAAGACTTTGTTGATCTTACTGATGATTTTGATGATGATGATGATTTTGAAGAAGCAGCCTCAGTTTCATTCTCTGAAGTGCCGTCTGGATTAGTTTATGAAAAAGAAGCAAAGAGGAGGAAATTGGAGCCGAGTTCAGGTGAATTGATCAGGATTTTAACTGCTAACCATTAAGCGGGAAGCCTTTTTGTTTCATTGTATAATTTTAAAAATCTTCCACCTTATTTATATAGCTTACTGTTTATGTTGACAGTTAAAAAAGATTTTTGTTACTAAACAAGACAAGGATGTTGATCACTGTCACATTTCCCAATGTATGAAGATTCCATCAGGTATTTTTGTTAACCACGAATGCCACAATTTATTTTATTTTATTTTGCACGATTTGTGAAGCGCCCTATTTCCATGACTAATGAATGCGGTATTTTATTCTCTGCCCTTCGTGAAATGAAATCATTATACCCGATGATTTGTGAATTTCAGGATTTTCCACTCACATTATCAGTGAGATATGAACAAAGTTTTATTAACTGTGAATTGTGAATCAATGATTTTATTCCCCATGAACTGTCACTAACCCCCCCCCCAATGGGACCCCCTTTAAATTGCCAGTATTGGCAGATATTTTCAGCTAATGGACAGTGCTGTTTTTCCCATTATCTTACAAATTAATCTCTTTGTCATAGATGATTGTGTGTGTGTCTAATGAAGATGTTCTCTCTCTCTCCAGGTGAGGTAAAGCTGGACACCCCACCATATACCTACCTGTCCAAAGTGCAGGCTCAGGGACATCATATAGGCCCCATGAAAGTGAAAGTGAAAGCTTTCATTTCCACCCTACTGGGCAAGCTTGACCACAATGCAGGAACAGGCTGGACATTACGTGCCAAGATAAACGATGGAACGGCAGCAACAGATGTGGATCTTGGAGACCAGGTAAAGTGGCGGATAGTTGGCAGGATGGAGTAGCAAGAGCAACCATTATTTCCAAGAATTTATTGCAGTGAAAGATACTTGGTCTTGATGCCAGGATTGTTATCCTATTGAGAAGGTTAAAATATTCATTTACTGAGACAAGCTCAAGTTTTTTTTTTTTTTTTTGTTTTTTATAAATATATATTTATTCTTCTTAGGCCCTGTGCAGTGTGTTGTTTAATTCTAGAAATGTAAGATTTTTGTTTTGATTTTCAGTTGTTGACAAACTTGATTGGATTTCCTGCCTCAGAAGTTCAGGTAAATAACACGAAATATTTAGTCTCTGTGGATATATTATTTATGCCCTGTGTTTGAGGCAATATGTAAGGGGACACTATTTTAATATTGCAGAGATATTTTTTCAATCACAAATATCCCCCCCCCCAAAAAAAAAAAAAATTGACACATGGAAAGACATGGCCAATGTTTACAGTTTTCACCTCTTTTGTTGCCTGTTATTTTCAGGCATTGAAAGCCAACAAGAAAGACAAGGTGGTCAGGGAGAGAATATCACAGGTGGGTGTTGATCTACAGCACGTCAGAACTGTACCATAATGTATAGCAGATCTTGACTTTATATGAGCAAGGCTCTGAGCTTGGATTACAAAATTAACCAATGGTATGGTAAGAGATGCATGAAAATATTGATAGTTGTTGAACTCTGGGTCTTTTCACATCAAGTGATACTACCGTTTTCTGTATATGGCATCAGCTCGAGAGATTGACAAGTTGTTTTGCTATTACACTATCCCTTAAACTGAGGCCCCCCGACATGTTAATTTTGATTGATACTTTGTGGCTCGTAAGAAAAGGAGTATTAACTCCTTAGTTACAGATAACTGTACCACGTATATGAAAAAGGGCTTGCTTTTCTTTGTTGTGAAAATTGTCATCCAAGTTTCATTTACTGTTTGTAGGGTATCAAGAACTGTCAGCTAGCATTGATTGAGATGTCAGGACTGATGGAGTTGGAGATCTCACAGGAACTGCCACGCCCTAAAGTTGTCCACTACCACCTAATGACAGAGCAGGATCTTTACCATTTGAAGGCCAGAACCAAAATGCAATCATTATAGTGCCAAACTTGGGGGGAATGGGTTTAAAAGGAAAGTGTTGGTACGCATCAGTAGACTGGTGTTCTGGAGGATTGTTGAAACAGGTGAAAGCTAGGACCATTAAAAACTTCAATATGTATGTCAGGAAATATCAGAAATGTACCGTTATTGTCACAGGTTATCATGCCAATATGTTGGAATAAATTTAATGTGACATTCTATTACGTTTACCTGTTCTTTGCAACAAATTAAACACAAAAAAAATATTTCGATATTTGGCATCAGGACACCAATTCCCATGATTTAAGTAAGCAAGTACACCCATATTCTGATAATTTTGCAGTTGTTTCAGACAAAAGAATGGAGGCAATTTGATCATGTAGAATATTTATTATTGCTGGATAGATTACAGTTAAATGCTTTGTGATATGCATTTAAGTTAATAATAGTTGAAAATAATAGATATAATCAGAAGCATGATTAGGGAGGGTTTCAAACTTTTAAACAGCTATTCTAATACGCCCATGCTTTCATGTCACATAATCTGGTTTGTATAATATAAGCCATACCTCCAAAATACAAAAATATACCATTCAAAGTGGAATAAAAGGTAAAGGCATGTACAAAAGTCCCCTTCCCTATCAGGCAGATGAACCACATTGGATCTGGGTGAGCAAATTGCCAAGACAAGCTAATTAGTTGCATATACAAAGATGGACGTTTAGATACAGACTGGACCCTAGTTAAGAATGAGATAATCTGCATACTGTCAACGGACTGAAGGCAATGCGANTGAGGTGAGGTTTACTAAAACGCTTTTTTTCTACTAATAGATTGTTTTTATGATTTTTAAATGGCGGGGATCGATTAAAACGTACCTCTAGTGTATAGATTGAGTGCTGTATCTTCAAAATTCGAGAAATGGATTTTTACATGAACATTGTCCTTTAACTCCTTAGTTACAGATAACTGTACCACGTATATGAAAAGGGGCTTGCTTTTCTTTGTTGTGAAAATTGTCATCCAAGTTTCATTTACTGTTTGTAGGGTATCAAGAACTGTCAGCTAGCATTGATTGAGATGTCAGGACTGATGGAGTTGGAGATCTCACGGGAACTGCCACGCCCTAAAGTTGTCCACTACCACCTAATGACAGAGCAGGATCTTTGCCATTTGAAGGCCAGAACCAAAATGCAATCATTATTGTGCCAAACTTGGGGGGAATGGGTTTAAAAGGAAAGTGTTCGTACGCATCAGTAGACTGGTGTTCTGGAGGATTGTTGAAACAGGTGAAAGCTAGGACCATTAAAAACTTCAATATGTATGTCAGGAAATATCAGAAACGTGCCGTTATTGTCACAGGTTATCATGCCAATATGTTGGAATAAATTTAATGTGACATTCTATTACGTTTACCTGTTCTTTGCAACAAATTAAACACAAAAAAAATATTTCGATATTTGGCATCAGGACACCAATTCCCATGATTTAAGTAAGCAAGTACACCCATATTCTGATAATTTTGCAGTTGTTTCAGACAAAAGAATGGAGGCAATTTGATCATGTAGAATATTTATTATTGCTGGATAGATTACAGTTAAATGCTTTGTGATATGCATTTAAGTTAATAATAGTTGAAAGTAATAATAGATATAATCAGAAGCATGATTAGGGAGGGTTTCAAACTTTTAAACAGCTATTCTAATACGCCCATGCTTTCATGTCACATAATCTGGTTTGTATAATATAAGCCATACCTCCAAAATACAAAAATATACCATTCAAAGTGGAATAAAAGGTAAAGGCATGTACAAAAGTCCCCTTCCCTATCAGGCAGATGAACCACATCGGATCTGGGTGAGCAAATTGCCAAGACAAGCTAATTAGTTGCATATACAAAGATGGACGTTTAGATACAGACTGGACCCTAGTTAAGAATGAGATAATCTGCATACTGTCAACGGACTGAAGGCAATGCGATGAAATCACAGGCAGCAGATAACTTCAATTATATGCAAATATAAAAATCTACTTCACATTGAATATAATATACAATCTGCATTTGTCTCATAATTTGTAAGAACAGCCCCCATAAATTTCCCACTGCAGCTTTTCTTATATAAAGATGATCATTAACAATAAAATAAGGTCCAATTAAGAAGAAAAAAATAAAGGAGGATTTAAACTCGTCTCCTCGGTGACTGCTAAGGTTCACTTGTGTGTTATCACATCAAAAACAGAAGAGAACAAACTTTGAAAAATGTTGAACATCATTCCCAAGTTCTGGTCAAAGATCAACCTGCAGCAGACTAAAAGCACCTAATGATAGTGAGTGACCAGTTCACAACACTCTAAGCAATACTTGTATTTTCTGGGTATCAACGATCAATATAAATCTCACCTTGTTGCAACCAACTTATATATTTACAGTCATCTAATGTTGACCAATCAATGGCAATAATGAGGGTAACCTAGGCAACAATTCATCTTGCCAACCCATTGCAAGAGTACTTGTAAGTCAGTAATTTTCATATTTCAAGCAAGCTACTGAGCCTGTACATAATATGGTAAGAACTCTATACATTTAAATGTGTATGTGAAGTCTGTACAGTGACAACCTCTGCTGTCCAAGTGACCTCCAAGTTTTTAAGTGCAGTAAAATAATTTGTTTAAAATTGGATGCTATATACAATGAATGCTTCCAATCCATGTATGAATACCACCATGTCCTACTAGTTCAAACCCATGCTTCTGTCACAATTTCCTTGATAACAATGTCATCATGTTCAATGTATGAACCGCCTCTGCCTTAAACCCCCACCCCACCCCACCCCCATTAAGTCCTGTACACTCCCCTGGCCCAATTAACCTTATGTCACTGTTAGCTCCTGATGTCTTGGAAGCAGTCAAAACTTTCTCAAATCTAAAACACACCAGCCCAGTTCTTCAGTGTTGAGGGCTCACCATTGTCCTCTCGATTTCCTTCTGAGCCCGAGAACTTTTTGTCCTCTCCTGTGGGGTCAGTTCTCCCGCCTCTGCTGCAAACATTTTCATTTTGTCCCTAAACGACATTCTTTCAGGTCCTGATTTCTTATTCAGAGAAGCTGCGCGTGTGGCTTCAATCCGAGCGCGTGGGTCCCGGTACACCTCCTGAGCCCCTATCACCCCAGGGGTGGACCCTGTCGTGAAGGTTTGACTAGGCAAATTGGCATAGTTAGGAGTCTCGGGACCGTCTCCATTAGCAGTGGAGGGCCCATTGGGTGTTTCAAACCCACCATTAGGAGGAAAGTTTCCTGGGGGAGAGGCTGGGGACTGATCATGATCCACATTATTATATGTCATCTCAGTCGCTGGCTTTGTATCAAATGACACGGTTTTCTTGGTAGGACCTGCTGTGTCTGAGCCACCCCTCATGGCAGAACTGTTCAGGTTAGGCTGTACACGTTGATACTGGTTTAGATATTCATACGAAGATTTCCTTTCTGGTGGTGGGGGTACGCTACCACTGGGCATATGGTTGGGAGGTGGCAGGGTGGCCGACTTGTCCTGCTCACCAGGGGGCGGGTAGTTGGAATATCCAGCTTCGTAGGGGTAGTTACCATATGGGTCAGTTTGGCGATATTCATCCTGCATCTGTTGTTCCCTTTGAAGTTGCTGCATCATTCTGCGTTGATGCTCCATTTCTTCATCTCGTCTGCGATTTTCTTCACGTATTCTACGTTCTTCAGCATCCCTTGCTTCTTGTAATTCTTGCATTTGACGCCGTTCCTAAAACATAAAAAAATCGTGACTTAATAAAAAAATCTGTACTACTTGAAATTGGAATCAATTGAAACATCATAATTTCACAACACATCAGGATTGCTTTTGCTCCTTTTAGGCACTTAGGTAATTGTGCATTATAAAATATTAACTTAACTTCCCTACTACTCTTAAACCTACATGTAACAACAAACACATTTCACAATTGCAGCAGTCTTACCTCTAATAACTCCTAGGAATGCAGCAGAAAGATACAACAAATCAGAGCCATTACATCAGTCACCAATCAATACTATATTTTTTATTTAGCAGCCTGCCATTTGTATATGATTTAATCATTAGGACACCTTAATATTTAACAGGCATCTCTTTTCAGCATTTATTATATTAGATTTGAAAACTGATCTTCTTGTGGTTATGCTATCTTATGTTTCACTGATTCAGAAATGAAGAAATGTGGATATTTGGTATTACCTGTTCACGTTTTTGACGAACTTCCTCCTCCCGTTTTCTTTTCAGTCGTTCCTCTTCTTCCAACAACATTCTTCTGTGCTCGGCTGCCTCGCGCCTCTGCCGCTCTCGCAACTCCTGGAAGTAATGGCAAGAGACCTTATTACATGACTACTTCAGATTATTCCCTGCTAACAAATGCACAGTATGCACAACACATAGCAAAAAGAAAAATTTGTCAATGAAAACTTTGAGAAGTGAGCCCTTCCTTGACACACTCCTTACTTAGACTCAAACTTTGATTATTTTCATGGAACTTACTGCAGGGAATTTCTTAGAGGTCGTTTTCAAAAATGAGGACAGGAAATGATTTCTGACCATAAAAAAATTTCCTTCAGCCCATACAAATTTTCCAATATCTCAGAAATTACCAGTACAGCAAAAGTGCTAAAGTGAGATACACCATAATCATATATGTCTAATAAGATATTGATAAGCAGACAGCAAACCTCACAAAAAATGAAAAAGAAAATAATTAACTCCTATCTTAGATAGTCATGACTTCAAAAACCTGTGTCAATTTTTCATGTTTCTCTAGCTCTTTATCAATTATGTGTGTGCAAGAGATACTGAGAGGACACAGCCAAATATAAATGAAAAGATATTTCTTTAGATACCCATGTTTCAGAAAGAACCATTACGAGTGCTTGCAGACGAGTCACAAAAAGACAAAATGCATACTGAAGGAATAAAATGTACAGTCGGTCAGCCAAGAACAGCCGATGCCTTAGTCCTGTTAGTAAAATGAAATTTTGAAAATTAGTAATTTTAGGACTTGCTAGCAGCACCATGCTTTCAAATGTGTGCAAAAATTACTGTAGTTATGTGCTAGATTGAAAAAGAATCTAAATAGAATTTGGCATGAATGAAGAGTTCATGATCTAGCTATATATTTCAAGATATACTAGATGATTTCACAGCAAAAGAGCTAAGTGCTGCTAACTACACCTCAACTCCCCATCACCACTACACTCAACACAGGAGGTACGTGCTGGTATACCTGTTCTGCTTGCAAACGCTCGCGCTCTCGGGCAACCTCCTCCGCCTGAAGAAAATGTCAGTCAACAACATGTGAACAATCAACAAAGTTTGTAACAACATGCATAATTCAGTGTCAGTAAATTAATCGGCTAACTGGAAGCTAAACCAGTGTGACAAGCTATGGTGGACTAGGACTCTTGTGGTTTACGGCCAGTTTTCACTGGTTTTGGGAAAATGGACCAGACATGAAATAAGGCACCCACCACAAGGCAACTGTCACACAGGTTAGCTCCCTTGATAACTTGATATATCTATTCATGCTGAAAATTATTTTAATCAGTACACTAACTTCAAAAGCTGATTTATGGAGCTCATAATGGGGAGAAATGAAAACACGAATTGTGACCTATAATGATTGTAAATTAAATCCTATAATAATCCATGCTTGAAATCAACTCATGCTTGAAGGAAGAAACAGGTCTCTACTTCAAGATCTTCAACTCTTAACTGACCTTTTGTTTCTGTAAATATTCTTCATGTTCTCTCTCTCTCTTCTCCTGCTGGCGTGCTGCCCTCTCTTTCTGCTCATTACGCTCCTGTTCAAACCTCTGCAACATGCGATCTTGCCTGAAAACCAGAGTTTACATAAGACATTTTTAATGAAAAGAACCTTTGTGTACTACGCAACCTTGACCTTCCAACATTCATTATGCTGGGGCAGGGCACACTTTTACATGTTAAAATACAGAAGATGAACAAGGTTACAGAAAGCTTCTAGTTGATATTTCAAGCACATTTCTTGAGGCATGATCTCACGTCAAAAATAAATTTAACAGAAATTACTGATCAGCATTTTACTTGGAATAGTAACCACCGTTAATGTAATTTCCTTTCCCTTCTCCATAATATGCAATAATAAAACAACTTCCAACACCTGCTGCACTGACCATGTCATGTTTATATCACATGCCACATAACTGACATCTACAGTGCCACTCAACAACACAAATAATCTGTTAACACAAGAGTAATAAGAAGATATGTTATGTGGAACGTAGATATTTTAACAGACTACATATTAAAAGAAAGGAGACATAACAAAACTAAGTCAGTACAGATATATATATAAGATATACATAATGTATAATAAATTCAGAACCATAAGTCATTCAGACACCACATCTAGATGTTTATCAAATACGTAATAGATCTATACATAACACACACACATATATATAATTTTGCGCATTCACCTATAAGCACACCCGAAGTTGTATATATATATATATATATATATATATATATATATATATATGAAAGAAGTATGGTTAATCCTGTCTAGATGAAATATTAATGCTACCCATGCTGTTGTCAGGCTACAGTACATGGAAATATTAGAGAGAGTGAGAGAGCGTAGTCGTTCCTAGCCTGTAGCCAGCCATACATACCTAGGGTCCTGAGCGGGGCCAGGTCGGTTCATGTAAGGTCTTAATTAAAACATGGCAATATCTTAATATACACATCATTTAGCCCAGTCCCAGAGAAGAGGCAATTTCCCCATGCGGTTCACTTGCCAAAATCATAGCTATGTCCTTCATGATGCCAAAACACATATGAGATGCACTTATACATTATTTTGTCACATGCTAATATTTTAGAAGAACACTTCACCTACTGAGCCACTCACTATGAATGAAGCCCTTAATCTTGTCTATATTAACCTAACCTAGTCAGCTGATTAACTCCTCCTCACCTTTCCTGTCTCTCTGCCTCTGCCTGTTGCTGCTGTCGCATGATCTCCTGATCTTTGTCTTGCATGCGCTGCTTCGACGTGTTCAAATTCTCCTGCATCATCCGCAGCATGGCCTGCCGACCCTGCAACATATAAGTAAACACTCAAATTTTTAGAAGCCCTATAAACATTTAACACTTAGGCAAATAGCTCAATCATATCTCAGCCAGAAAATCTTCATACACACATAAAGAAATTAATAAAGATATTAATAGAGATCTCTCTCTAATCCCTGTACATTCAGCTATAAAACAAGATTTATTATTGTAATAATAATAATTAATAACAATAACTTCATTGAGCACAGAAATGTTTTAAATTTAAATATGCTCTCTAAGTACCACAAAAAGATAAAAAAGATATTAAAATTAATTATTTTTATTGAAAGTCAAAAAGGAGTAGTATATCCCAGACTTACTCTTGCTTTATCTGTCATATCTGTATCTTCATCATCGTCATCTTTTCCCTCCATCTCCTCCACACGTCGCTGGAACTCCTGCTCCAGACGTAATCTTCTCAGTCGCTCCTGCTCCTCTGGGCTCAGGCTCGGCTTGGACTGCAGCTCCTCTATCAGCTGATCTCGGTACCGACCCACTTCCTGCTGTTGGCGTTTTCGCACCTTTTCCTTCTCATCCTTCTCCCAGGGTGAAGGCGAGGATGGGGCATCCTGGACTGGTTCGTTCTTTACCCCCATGAGGCGGGACTGGGAATAAGAAGGGTGCTGTTGTTGCTGAGGGTGGGGAGGCCTCTGCTGTGACGGGGCTTGTTGTGGTTGTACCTGTTGCTGGTAAAGCTTTTGATTCTGCCATCTCTTTTGTGAAGCATTCTCCACATATTCTATGTCCTTCTGCCACTGCCTGCCCTCCTCCCTCTCGCTGCCAGCCCTGGGGCGCCTCATATCCTGGGGTTGTGGTTGCTGAGATTCATGGGGCCTGTGCTGGGGGTGCCCCTGGGGATGAAAGGGGCGGGGCTCCCCAGGGGACTTCTGTCTACCATCTGGTGGATATCTGCCATACTGCTGTGGTGAGGGGTGACTCTGGGGCGGATACCCTCCAGGTCCTCTTGGTGGCTCCCCCTGCTGGCGAGGCATATCATGGGGAGGTCCACGCCTCATGTCTGGTTCCCTGCGATAGCGGTCATCATGTCCCCCTGGTGGACTGGCAGGGCCAGGCTGGGGACCCCGGGGGTGGTGGTGTTCATAGGGGTCTGGCATGGGAGGCGGAGGCAGATCATCGTGGTAGCGTAACTCTTCTGGAGGTGGAGGCAGGTCTGCTGCAATCTCTGGTGGGGGTGGAGGCAATTCTGGAGATTCATTCCTTCTCCTCATCAGTTCCTGCTGAACATGAGGTGGCAAGTATCTGTCTGGCTGCAGAGTGACAGTCTCAGTGGCTGAGTGGCTCTGCTGGGGTCTCATGCCAGGAGGCTGAGGCTGTTGTTGCTGTGGCTGAGGTGGAGAGGGGTAACTAGGGCCACCATGGCCGTACGCTGGCTCGCGTGGGGCCTGTCTGGGATCAAAGAAATTAGGCTGTGTTTTCCTGTTATCTACCTGCATTCTGGGCACCTCCTGGGGGGCCACCCTGTCCCTGGGCTTGGGGGCCACAGAGGGTTTAGGGGCCACCGCGGGGGTCTCACGTCTCATCTGCTGCTGCATTTCTGCTGGACGCCTCATCTGGTCGTAAGGCGGGGTGAGACTGCGCTCTCGCGGCTGTGTGTTCTGGTAGAAATGAGGCTGCATTTGCTGATTATGAGCTGGAGAGCGGGGTATATCTTGCTGACTGTAGCTAGAAGATGGTGGTCCATGGTCGCGCTGCCAGTTAGGGACTTTGTTAGGATCAATAAAATCTGACCGTGGTCTGTTCTGATTGACATCCAACCTATCTTGAGCATAAATGTCTGACCTCGGTCTATCATTGCGCATTTGATTCTGTTGGTTGGCTTGTTGTTCTCTCATTGGTGGATAGTTCATTTCCTGCGGCCCTGGTCTGTTGCCATAATCTCGTGGGTGCTGTGGTTGCTGATATTTCTGAATCTCTTGATACTGTGGCCTCTCATGGCGCTCATTACGCATGTGGTCTGCATAGGGCTGCTGGAAGTTCTCATAGTTGTTCCTATCTCTTACATCATTCACATAGTCTCTGTTATCCCTGGTGTTAAGGTCAGGCTGAGAGGCAGCATGACGCGCCATCTCACCTCTCGACTGCTGGGCACGTGGAAGAGTGCTTGTTGACATGCCACGCATTCTGTCGTCGCGTGGAGGCTCATTTTTCAAATTACTGACAGACTGTGACCTCATAGAAGGGTCGTGTGGAGGATCCTGCATGCGCAGTTGTTGCTGCGACTGGCTGTTCAGCATGGGCTGCCTATAGGGGGCGTCTCTGATGTTTCCTGTGGAGGCATTGTGCAAGTTGTCGCGGGACTGCTGCTGATCTGAAACACACACAAACAATGTGATTATCATACTTTTATCATGGTGTATTATGCCATAAATAAAAACTGAAGCATTTTAGCACTGCAATTAACTGCCAAAAAAAGCATTTGGAAACCAGAATAAAAGTATTACAACATGCACTTACCTCCTCCTCTCTAAACAAACAACCAACATAATATCCAGATATTTGCCAATTGTAGTGTAAATCAAAAATAAAATGACTGTATATAAATGGAATATTTACACAAGACTTAATGTCAAAATCTACCATTCCGTCACTATTAAGACTTCCAGAAGCACCTAAAGCATGCACACACTGTGCGTGACATGAATTATACTGGCACATTGCACACCTCAGGCTTCAAGGACTTACTGTCTTCAGTATAGAGAGAAGTAAGGCTTTTACTGAACAGGCTCCTTGTGTGAAACCTTCCCTCTACTACGTCACTATAGATACGAGCCTTCTCGTCCCGACGCTCAGCCTGTTGTATAATATCCAACAACTTAGGGCTGATAGAGCCAGAGTGAATAGAATGTCTCCGGACTGGCCTCTGAGAGTTGTTGTTTCTGTCACTCTTTTCAGAGAGTTTACGTAAAGGTCTTGGCAAAGTTTTTGCCTTGTTTTTCTTAATACTATCATTGAGATGACCCTGAAGCACTTCATTGTCCCTCCGTGCCTGCATGTCACGAAGTTCAGCTTCTCGGACAATGTCTTTCATGTTAACGGAGACTGTGCCCGACCTCCGTGCGCTGGTCAGTTCAAAGTAGTCCGGAACAGACAGGGACCTGGTGCGCTCTGCTCAGAAAGATGGGAGGAAGACATGGTTAAACTGACCCTGTTGTTCCATTAGGTCAGGACAAGAGAGAGATGCAAGGGTGAGGAAGTAACGGGCAGGCCCTGACAGATCACTTCACCAGTTTTATACTGGGTTTTAAATAGTTTTACATTTTTTTTACTAAATTTGTACAGTGTTCACTGTATGAAACAAATTTGGGCATTGACTTTTCATGTTCTAAACAAATCCACAATACAGCTGTTGTTATGTCAACAGCAGACAAGGCTGTCGTGACAGGATTCTCCGCCCACGCTGTCTCCTCCCTGCATCTCTCTCTCTGGTACACATGTTAGAGCAGGGGGCAGGGTTAGGGGTGTGGCACGGCCACAGAAGAGACCACCTACTTGCAAGTGCTGGTGAGGACCTGTACTGGCCCTGTTGGTGGAGAGGTCTGGGTTCCATGTGTGCTGGGGGTCCTCCATCTCTCTGATCAGGGGCCACCTGTCTCATGGGGCTGCCATCTTTGGGTCCATTCATATCAAACCTGCCTTCACTCACTGGGCGTGGCTTGCCCCCACCCTGGGGAGTGACACGCTTGGCAGGGGAAGCTGAAATGTGAAAAACACACTGGGTTATTGGTAATCAAAAAAAAAAACTTTTTTTTTTTTTTTTTTTGAAGAAGTAATACACCCCATTTCCATAGATTTTTAGATAGATCTATCCCTGTGGGGAGTCTCACTAGATTACTGTCAGCTTGGCCAGCTTAAGCGTCTGTCCCGCCTACTAAAAGCTGTAAGGGGGTAATTAACTATGGTGCCCGCTCGGCTGACTGCAATTTAGCGTGAAACCCCGGGGAGTTAGGTCGATCTAAATCTTAATCTTTAGATCGCTCTAAATCTCTGGTAAAGCACCAATATTTTCCATCTGGAAATTAAAGCACTACAGCCACTACTTGTAACTTGTTACCCTTAATGCCAATCCTGACTAACTTCAGCTTCCACGCACAACCAATTATTTCTTAGTGGTAATTGAAAACAAGCAGGACGGTATACACTCTCTTATTCTGCCTACTTATTAAATTGAAAACGACACCTGTAATATAACCCTTCATCACAAGAACACGCACTGCGCAGAATGATAATCAGGCTTACTTCAACTTTAGCACACATTACTTTTCCTTGTACAAAAATACTCATTTCACAAGACCATTAAGGAAGAAAATTCCTACAGAACACAACTCCCATAGCTCATGTTGTTGTGTGGGTGTGAGACTGAAGATCTTACCTCTCTGCATGACTGGGGATGGCTGGCTCAGCAAGGTGGCCAGACCGTGGTAGATAGCACCCTGTTTGGCCACTCGGAGGGTCACCGTGTGGCCAGTTTTGGTCATCAATTCTGCAGCTCTACAAGTAAGGAGAATACAATACTGTAGAGATTTTGAAAGAGATTGTGAAAACATTTAGACTGATAACAGCATTGTGTAAATAAATTCAACAGCATTCATAATTATAACTTCTGCAACATTTATGGCACAACTGGTTAATTTTCACTTCAATCTGATGAGTTTACAAAAAAATATGACGCGATGAAAGCTTGGTTCTTGAATGCCCCTGTATACAAGCTAACACACATGCCCTATCTTTAATATCAACAATACAGGTCAGGTTCCCCTTCCTTGCAAACATTACACAAAGAACTACTAAATACACAGTGTGTGTGATAAAATTTCAGGATTAACTCATATAACCAGGCAGTCACTAAACTGTCTTTGTGCTCTTCATTAATTATGGACACAGTCCTCTACAACAGGAAGCAAGCACCTGATGATCAATTTTTTCAACAAAAAGCTGCTCGAGACAAATATGGCTTTCTTTTCCTGCGTACTTAGGTGAAATCAATAAGTCAACAGAACAAAGTCTGTCTGAGAGAGGTCATGCTTGGGAAATCACACCTTTCACTTTCAGTATGGATTGATTTAGCAAATTTGCAATTCATAACAAAGTCACAAAGTCGATTGCAAATCTAATTGCCACCATAGCCTACTACAGGCTAATGTCACATTTCTCAAGTTGCATTCACACTACAGTTAAGTCCACCCTTCTCAGGTAGATTTATCACAGGCATCAAATCATCAAATGTATGCCAGTCTGTGAGAAAGGTCGTCCTACCTGCAATGTGAACAGGACTAAGTGACAAAGAGATTAGTTAAGACTTGTTACACCCACAGGAAGCTTTACTTTTTGAGTAAATAAAATAGTTCCCACAATCAGTAAATATTTCAAGGTCTACTGCATCTTAGAAGTTCTTATGTATGTCTTTTAAGAATACAAAGCCACTAAATCCTCTGTTTACTCTCAGGACTGGTTTACATGTATTGTATAATCTGCACAAACAGTTCAGGAAAGGACTGACTGATTGGTTGTCAACCATCCTCTATATCTTACATTATGTTCTAAAGCTAAAATGTCATGAAAAGAGTCAAAACACCACACAGCAGATCTTTTAACTGCATCAATGAAACATAAATGAATACAATGATATCAATATCTTTGACTTATAGAAAACCATATTTTTGGACCACAATGTAATAAAAGAAAGATCTCCTCCCAAGAGTCCCTATATCAGTGTATCAGGCCTGCTAACTACCTCTGAGCCTCTGTGATAAACTGTCCCTGCATAGTTCACAGTTACCTTTAACAAATAGTCCTTCTTATACCCACCCAACAAGGCTTACAGCTATCTTTAACTATTGTCTTGAAAACAAACTCAGCACGGCTCACGGTTACCTTTAGCTAACCTCTTGAAAACCCACGCAGCAAAGAACGGAATTATTTTCAGCTAAATCACATCTCCAGATATTTGTTTAATACATTTCACAAAGTGTGAATTGATTCTAATCTAAACCAGTTTTTGGTGCCCTTCCTACAGTTTATAGAATCTTATCATACTATTTCCAACTATCTCAGGTTACTGGAAAAAACATGCAATCCTCCTAATAAAACAACGACTTCAAAGACCCGAGGTCGTTCAATCTTATCTTGGTTGCATGAGAAAAAACATAAGTTGACACTGAGATAGGTCCTACATGCAAAAATGGCCTAACAATAAGTTTGAGTAAAACCAGAAAGATAACGGCATCATGAAAAAATGTCGACTTGAAATATCTCATTAAACCTGGACTTACTTTTCCTGTGTGAGTCCCACCAGGCTTTTGCCGTCCACCTCCAACAATTGGTCACCTGCCTGGAGCTGACCATTCTGGGGAGAAAAGAATACATTGCATCTTTTAACTAACATTGTAACAACTGCTTCAGAAAAGTGGTAAGAAAACAAATCAAGAAAAATCAGCAAACAGCAACAGATGTTGGTGCAAATATTCTGAACATTTTTTATCTGACATTATTATAACTGCTTGAGGATAAGGAAGGTGAAAATAAAAAAAATCTAGAAAGTTAGTTAAGCAAACAGCGACAGGTGCTGTTGCAAATATTTTAAAATAATTAAGATGCCATTTACCAACCAAACAACATAAAAAGGAACCTATTTGCTTAACCATTAACATTGATGACATAATTCAAAGTTTTTTAACAGCCCACTTCTTTAACAAAAACACTGATGTCGTACATCAAATTTGTGTAAAATATTATTTTAACATTTCTAGAAGCACTGTTCAACATACCCGGGCAAACTAAAATTAAATGTATTATGCAAGGTAAATTATTCAGATGTTTCCTAATAATCAACACATTCTTTTATTATCTTACATTACTTCATTATTTCTCAATAACGTCAATGTCCTCCTTCATGTCACATATCACTTACCAAAGCAGCCGCCCCTCCTGTTACCACAGACTTGACGTAAATTCCACGATCTTTCTGCCCCTCGCCCTAATGTAACAAGTAAAACAGGATTAGCAACAGCTCACAAGAAATGATCAAAACTTTCATCCAGAGATTCAAACTGACAAATAGCTCCTCCTGCCCTCTCTCACTCACCCACGGGGGCCACACTTCACTCAGCAGGGGGGCAAAGCACCAAACACAAATTGCATATTAACAATAAAATTAAATTTCAAGCAACTACAAAAGTATGGCATGATTAAAATTACATATAACATCCCACTCAACTAATGAAAGAGTTGCAGAGGTAGAGGTTAGTAAAGCGGTTAATGGAAAAAACATTCTACAAATAACATGCCTGTAAAAATCATTTTAACTTCGAATATAATGCTGCATTTAATTGATTTATGCTGCCATTTAAAATGGTTGTGTAAAAGGTAGTATATAAGTGGTGCCCTGGCTCCCCCCTGCCTCACTCTCATCAACATTTTAACACATACACACTGGGGACTAGGACGGCTCACATACTGGGGGAGACACCTATGGGAATTATAACTCAATATTTACTTCCATTTAACTCATTACAAAGACATGGGACTGGTGAACTATGACAATATTTTAAAAACAAGCCACTTTAAAGTGGGACAATTTGTACCTCAGTGCAAGTTTAAAGCTCAAATCTACTGAATACAGCCTTTTCAAATTAACAGGAATAACTACAGCTTTAACCAACTGGCTTTTATTTACAAAACTAAAGAAATAAATAAAAGGCTGTAATTTTTAATTCGAAAAATCTATTTAAATTATTATGAGCATTCAATTTGCCCACTCACTAGGGCAGTGTGTAGTTTTTCACTTGTCAAGTTTGTCCTCACGGTTTATTAGGTGAGAAGAATGGTTGTTTCACGGCTCCCACTGCAGGTATTGTGTGGCTGCTACTGACCTACCTCTCACGGTAATAGATTCCTTCACAGCACTAAATAAAAATCTTATTCACTCAGCCCCAGCCTTTCCTGCCGAGGGGTTGGAGTGATAACACAGGAAAATTTGAACAGAAAGCTAAAGAAAACAGATGAATGCTAATGATATTTGCCACTGGGGAAGCTGATTCTCTCTCTCTCTCTCTCTCTCTCTCTCTCTCTCAGACAAATCCTATCAGGATAAAAAAATATTTTGCTACGGTCATGACAAGATATTTCACTTTGCCATGTAAATGCTGTCAGGAGGCAGTGGGGCACTGGCAGACATCTCAGACTAAGTGGAGAATATGTGTTCCAAAACAACATTTATTAAGGAATGGCAGAGTGTCAGGTTTGACATTTGGTATGCTGCTGGCAGCGTAATTATATCAGCTTCACCTCACAATTTCTCCCTGACTGCAGGACACCAGTTCACGTCTCCACTGATCACATGACCTAACTCGTCAACCAGTGATGTGACAGCCATATCCAGACAACTGGGTTTAAAATATGGGAAGAAAAGTGCACAATAACCACTGACAAATGGTTTGACAGAAGAGACAAATTTTTTGACTCAATACATTTACCCATTTACCAAGTACTTTGAATATGACAAGCCAAAATATCCTTCTTATTTTATTCCCACCACCAAGTCATGAACTCCTGGATAAGGGTGAGACCCAGGCTTCCCCAGAGGGTCCTTTCTGTAGACACCACAATAGACAGGCTAAACTATGTACACAACCTTATCAGTTTGATTGTGAGACCATACAAAGCCAAAAATTCTTGCCCATTTTCAACTCTGACTACCCACTTTTCACAAACAAAAAGATTCCAGTCAGGCTCATAAGATGGGCAACTTCAATTTATAATCATAGAAATGTCTCGGCAATAGTGCATGTTTAAAAAACACTCCAAATGCCTTGAGTGACTTCACATGAATACAATACTCCTCTTCTCAAATTTGCCTTTGGCACTTTCTCCAAATCTAATCCATAATCTCCTTACTTCATAGCAGCTTGGAGTTCTAATGTTTCACTAGAGCTCCACCAAAATGGTTGACTACAAACAGCAGATGTTTGTTATCTGCATTTTTATAAAATATGGTTTTAACACCTGCAGCTTGAGTGGGCTTAGATTTCTAACTTGTGCACAACATATTTAAAGACATACCCACGCAGCTATTAAAGGGCGTGGTGGGTAAGACATGAGAAAAAAAAACTTTCTTCAATAACAAAATATCATGAGAAAAAAAAAACAGTGCGAATAATCCTCTCTAGTTAATCTTTGGATAAAAATTGATCAAAAAGCAATCCATTCTGCGTTGATTTAATAATATTGAAATATCTATATATATCTACTGTCCCTAGAGTAAGGGTACATATACTGGGTCACAACAGGTTCTCCTTAAGAGTGTGGGACATTACCTACTACACCATCCAGGTAGTCCGTTCTCCACATCAGGAGAACTGCTACCTTACCCAGTACGCCATCAGCGGAGTTTGTTAAGTTAAAAGATTGTGTGAAAACACGAGAAACACTTCCCCAGCAGGCAAAACCTCCAAAAACACACTTAGACCTCACGTTCTATGAACTGGGAGAAATCTCCAGAGCAGTGATTACGTCAGCCTTTTCTTCCCTGTTTCTACAGGATTAGTTACACTTAACACAGCCTAATGACTGCAGAGAACAGCTGATTGTCCTCTTAATACTCACTGCACCTCAATACCTGCCTAGAACACCACAGGTGAACAGGTGACAACAAATAGACTGAAAAATAACATATTTAATACAGGACAGTTAAACAAATCAATTTATCACATCATGATTAAGAAGACGTAGTAATCCTTGATAAGCTCAACATGGAGACAGCAGTAATTTCCTCTCCTACCTTTGCTACTACAGGTCTTCACAGCGACATGTACACCTACGACGTCTGACAGCGTACAACTCGCCCTCAGGTCATTGTTATGCTAATCAGGACCCAAGCGTCTAGCTTATTTGTGTACACGCTTCAGCTCCCCAATAGAGGGCATTCATTGCAGGCATGCTGGAAGAATGCGTGGAACAAACCACCACAAATACCTCTTCAAACAAACTTGGGTATTTACTCCACTAATCAGGAAAGTAGTTGTCAACCAAGACAAACTGCTGAATTATTCTTTAACACTTTTTAACAAATGAATTGATAAGAATCTCTAACTGACCCATTTTAAAGAGAAAAACATGCTACCATGGGCAATACTTGGAAGCCTATCCAAAAAAGTATTAATTTTTTAACATTTAGATCTGTGGCAATGCACATTTATATCAGAACATGCATAAAACTTGGGTTTAGCTGTTGACTAAAATTAAGTTGACTGGTTCATTAATCAAATGACCTGACTGAAGCCCAATCCATTGCTTTTAGCTAAACTGATGAAAACAAATTACCATGGATGTAAAACTACAATAATCTCTCATGTTTTGATATGATGCCTTTCCAAGTTTGTTATCAGAGCTACATACGCAATCCCTGTGGAATAACCTGTTTAAACACTCCAATTAAAACCTCATCTTACCTACTTTGTCAGCCAAACTCCCGACTCAATACTCTCACCATGTGTTAGTCAGGGATATCAGTTGAGATATGCTTTGCTTTTCAAATGGTTAAAAGGTTTCAGCACAGTTAGGCCATAGGAATGGTATTGGTCAGAACGGGATTGAGGGCACCATAATACTAGGATGGTGGCCTTTATTCAAGTGCATTTCTCTAGTTAACAAAAGGCCGCCCCATCCTTCCCAGAGCTGTGGCCATCTTCAGATATCTTCCATAGAACACTGGGCCAGTTCAGCTTGAGCTCAAATACCACATGCCTCAGTTGCCCCAACCAAAGGCCCAGTGGCCCCTGTTTTGTTCAATGCAGCCTGGCATACTAACAGATATCCCTTTAGACACACACCCCAGAGCAGGGTGAAAGAAGATCAACCCGATAAGCTTGGTCAGAAATACCTAAACTCACCTAATCTTTTGCATATTTTTGAATTCCCATATCCAGCAAATTAGCTCTAAATAAAATAGGTGAGGAATGCAGTATTCAAACAAGTTGACCTGTTGGGAAATAAACTACACAAAGGAGTAGGTATGATAAGTTTACAGAGGTGATTCCTCCTGATTGTTAAAGTAGGACTATAACAATGCTGCAAATGACTTAAATTAATGTGGTTATCTTCACAAGGTTTATTTTAAGAAAAATATCTGAAATTTTGCACTTAATTTAAAGACATTTTTCCTGAATTTCAGATCTAGACTGAAACTAGAGAAGGGTAAAATATAGACATAATAGAAAACCCCAGAGCTTGGCATTCTAATTGCATCCCTCGCAGTGGTATCCTGAGTGAAATAAGATCACTTCATCTCCTGGCTTCATCACTGACAGTGGGGACTCTCACCTTGACAGGAGGACCAGGACAATGTGACAGCTAGTCCTGTGCTAAATCACTTCATACCCTGACTGATAACCATCTACATCATCTTAAGTAATAAAATATTACACCAGGAGCTAAATGATGAATTTCCTAAGAGCCATTATATGACAAATCACTCTCTCTTTGCTCCATTACCATTAGAATGCCATTTAGATGACTAGGTTAGATTTTTTAGTTCACTAGATTTCCGTGCTTTCATTTTTTATTATATCTAGCTCATTTTCAATAATTTTTTCTACATATTTAAATTTGAAAGTAGCCCCAGACTTGAGCTACCTTAATCAAAGCCAAGTGATTGTTCACCTATCCAACAGTTTATTAACTGCTGAATGTTTAAGATAATGTCAAACAAGTCTTTTCCCTGGTAATAAATATTCCACACCAAATCAATATACCTGCACTTTTTTCCTGTTTTAATTACAATCTTATGAAAATTATCTTTCCGGGGGTTTCATGTTTGGGAATTGTGAAACTCACAAAGGAGATATGATATTCAGTGACATTTCCGAAGTTTTAGCCAAAGAAGTGATATAGCCCTATTCATGTTCTAAGAATTACGTACTTCTAATGTACTCGCATGAGAACAATATTACCTATGGCGGTACTTAGTAGGCAAAATGTTATTGCACTGCATTTTAGTTGGCTTTAAAATACCCTTAGACAGCAAGGCTGTGGCATATACAGACACCAAACAGCAAAAAAATTGTAATAATACTTAGATAAGTATAAACAGAGTGAAAGGGGGGCATCACGCTGACACACACTAATTCAATTTCATACCTTTTCTGTCCAAACTTATCACTCTCATAATTCATAAATCATACATAAAGATATAAACCAACATTTCACATGTGCAAGTTCCACATGCTTTTCAGGTTGAATAAATCCAATGAACTTCAACTCCACCCAGTGTCATTAAAACATAACTCTGCCATTAAAAATACCTCTTAAAGGCATGTCTGGTTCAGGTATTCTAGATGGTAGCACACACAATAGCCATGATGCCATTAGAACAAGTTAAGTCAGTACATCAGATAGGGGGAACCTGTCAGTAAACACTGGGGATCAGCAATTAGATGTATTCAGCCTGAGCTTTCACGTGTTAGCAGTTAACTGTTATCTTCTGTTAGAGAGTGTTGTACATGGTAATACGGCCCATTATGAAAAAAACATTAAACCATGGGCCCGCTGTGAGATGACACAAATGTTGTCTCCTTTTTTATTTTAGTTTCTTTGTAAATGACATCATCTTTGCACTCTCCCTCTTCTCTTCAAATCATCGCCTTAAGTTTACATGGCATGTTCACTGGATTTTGCAATAAAAAAAATAATAAACTGACATCAAGATGAGGAGCAGACAGTCTTTGTGTGTCATCCCACAGTATGTGGTGTGTCTGATAAGGAGCACTTACCTTGGCTGCTACAATACTGAGCCCCATACTGCCGCCGACCTTCTGAAAGGTCACATTGATAATCTCGGGGTCCTTAGGTAGTCCAGGTGGCAGCACATCCTGGGGTAGACCAGGGGGACTCCCAGACAGGCTCTGAAACAATAAGGAATAGGATGTAGTCTATGTAGTAAATATTATCATCTTCGGATGGAATGAAATGGATTCCTAATGGAATCTGTCCATAAAGAAAATGTATGTTTATAATTTTTTCTTGTTGTCTTCATCATATGTACATACATCTTTTATTGTGGTCACTTTCCCCAAATGATTCACTCGGTTTTTAGATATTAGGCCAACAGAATGGATCAAACTTGTTGTATCTGTGATAACAGCTATGGCAGATATTCTCCAGGTTCATTATATTTTGTGCTAACTACTGTTTTTTAATAAAACGAGTAGAAAGACAAAACTACCTTTCTGTCAAAGTGTAGAAAAAAAAAACATTCAAAAACTTATTCCGTTGTGACACACATCACATTTTAAGAAAATGCCTTCTGCCCTGCTAAAACCCTGATAATATCACCTTGAGGAGCCACTTTTCTTTTTTATTCCCCAACATTTTGTGAAAAATCATTTCTGCTTCTCTGACAGAAAAAAAAGGGGCTGACAGACAAACTATTAAATACATACATGAAAAGCATTCCGCTTGTGTGTATATGGATGTAAAAACAATTGACGAATAAAATGGTCTGTTTCAAATTGGGCATGCTTTGCTGTTGTTCGTTTCTTCTGCTTCACTGTAGAAAATTTGTTCTTCCAGTTCAGCATACCGAGGATGATATTATACTGTAGCATGACCTGGACGACAGCTACAACAGTGAATACAATGAGGGGAACTGGAAACTTTTACTATCTTCTTCCTCTTAATGTACCATGTTACAAGCACTGTCCACAGTTCACACATGTTCCCTGTGCCAAATCTTCTTGGTTTAAATTGCCCTGAAGATTCATTTACAAGTTCTTTCCCAGCAAACTTGGTTTTCAGACAACATGTCATAAACCCATTTCATACACCAACTTCATAATTTATACAGATATCGTCATGGCAACACTCAGTAAACAAGATGTTACCCAGGATGGACTAGGAATTCTTTCTGTCCAATAAAGTAGCTTGCATATGCTGAAAAAATTGTGAAAGTTTTACAATCTTCAAGCTAAAATGGCATCTCAATGAAGACAAAGAGCCGCCTGGAGAAATACCATTTCCTTTTCACGTTCCATTCTTGCCAAGGTTTTAAATTGACTGAAATATCATCCAGACAGTTGAAGTTATTTATTCCAACTCTTGATACTTCCTATTCTGTGCAATGATTCAGTATTCAATATACTTTAAAAATGACATCTCCCTTCTGTCACTTCATCAAACAGCTATTAGCATCCTGCTCTGACTCCTATGTGTCAGCAATACTACACAAGTATTACTTAGCACCTTGTTTTTCCATTGTTGAGCCTATAAATAATCTCATTCCAATCACTGTCTTGAATTCCTCTCATTTCCTGAGAACAGATACAATGTTGACCTTAGTGAGGATTCCGTCTGATGTAATGTTTACCAAGACAAACTGCGGCAGATCTGTCTGTCCTGTTACCTGTCCCACCTCACCTGTCCATTGAACTACCTCTCCACGACAACAGCATTATCACATAACACACACAGACAGTTTGGACGCAAATATTAATATGTGTCACTTTGTTGGTCTTCTACTCGGCACTAATTCTCAGCTGATATTGATTTCATCTGTATATACCATCATTCACATTTTATCTCTTATCAATGATGGCTTTTAAACCTCCTACCTTTTCAAAGAGAATACTAAGTGATTCCCCTGGTGCTTTGTTATGCCTGTACTATGCAGGTGGTGATAGCGACCACTTAGAATGATAAATATATGCCACACTAACATTTCATTATGTTATAAGTGAACCTAAGTCTGGACACCATGACACTTAGACACCACATTAAGTTATCAGAGGGTGCACCTAGTCTGGACACCATGACACTTAGACACCACATTAAGTTATCAGTGGGTGCACCTAGTCTGGACGCCATGACACTTAGACACCACATTAAGTTATCAGTGGGTGCACCTAGTCTGGACGCCATGACACTTAGACACCACATTAAGTTATCAGTGGGTGCACCTAGTCTGGACGCCATGGTACTTAGACACCACACTAATGATACACCATGAGCTATTAGTATAGAAGACAAAGATGTCCCAGGAGACAGCAACTGATATCCATCAGTGAACTAACTCTATGCCACCCAGTAACAAATCAACACAAATATCAATCTATGCCATATTGTCTTCAAGCCATCTGGGACAGTACTCCTGAAAATCAATACATGAAGTTTTTGTGTTCTTTTCTCCAGGCAATTTGTAACATGTTCAATTACTAGAAACAATCTTATCTTTTCCCGTCCATGGTGGTATCTAGAGGGGGCACTTTGCACTCCCTGACATCCTCCGTGAACTGACACTTCTGGTAAACTGGGTCTTTTGTTATCGTGACACCATGGCTGATTACATTTACTGGCAGTCAGTGTACAAAATTTTTCATCCCTCTTTGTTGACAATAACTGGTGAACATGTAGTGGTTTTTTAGGTAAAATGTGAAATAACCAGCCCAAAAAATGTTATAATGGGATTTTGACAGAAAATGTCTAGTTATTTTCCCTCTCTACCCACCATGTTCCACGCCTGGTTGACAGTGACTCAGCCTCCACCCACATGACAAGATGTCAGTTTTAATAAAATTAACAATACATGACATTTTCACAGGCCATACAAATACTACAACATCAATCAAGTGTTCTGTCAACATAGAAATAACACTGGTCCTGAATCAGTCAAAAACGTGCATTTTTCAAAACTGGAAACCCTGAGTTCAATGTGCTGTGACAAGTGTCAACCATGTCTGATTTATGTTTGCTAGAGTCTGATTAAAAATTTAGGTATCAATCTACTTCATATTGTTTGCAAGGTACATTAAAGTGACATTCTACTGTGCAAGTGCTCCTGTGAATAATTTAGAAGGATCACAAAAGAAACAGATTAAAATGATGTATGGCTTGAACACATAAAAAGCTGAAGCTACATGGAGTATACTGCACATGCAATACTTGCTTTAAATGGACCTTACCAAATACATTAAAAAATTTTAAATCAAAGCATTTCATTTTTTTATTATTATTCTAGCTCCAAATGCTCTGGTGTCTTCATCCACCAACAAAATTTCTTAAATTAAATTCATCTTTTAACTTACTAGCACTAATCCACCAATTATATCAGCTTACTCAGGACCACATAATAAAGCCTAGCAACTTATGACATTTATCAGATCCATAACATTAACAGAATTAACAATTAGACATTTTCAACTTTTTTTCTGCTTGCATCACTGAATGCTATTATCTTCCATCAAGCTCCCACTCAAGAAGCCCCCCCCCCCCCCCCCCCATGTCTGGCTATTACCCCCAGCTTACCTCATGTGACATGGCGCTGGGGTCCTGGTCAGGCATATAGATGGTCCACAGGCCGGACGACATCGGCTGCAGGGTCAGGCGACACAGACCTGTAATCAGATCAGTACATGGTAGTAATAATATCTGAAAGACTCCAAACCTCACAAATAAAGGCAAAATATGTCAGGTGAAATTCAACCATATTAAGGTTTATGGTATGATAACACTTCACATCCAGTCATCTTCAACCTCAGCTCTGCTCTTATGACACTGACTATTTTGAAAGGTTAGAATTCTAGAATGTGACTAAGAGTCAGCAAACCAGTAAAACACACTGTATTCCAGATACAGTTGGCTGGCAGGATTAACACAGAGAACAATCTACTACTAATACAATTACAATAGTATGGTGACTCTTGCTGTGGGTATCAGAGTGTGGATTGCAATCATGTCCAGAGGCAAGGCGGATATCCCACCTCTCCACAGTGTTCTGAAGTAACAGTTGTCACCACCATAAAGTTAAAGCTACAACAATCAGCATTACCTAAAGTTTCTTGTGTTTGAAAACATGGAGGAGTATTTAGTATTGTAGGCACAGAACTGGTCTCTTTAAGGGGGCCAAGGCTGCTCTGTGTAGCACTTCTATATGCAGTTATAAAATGCACACATGTTGGGAAATTTAATAAGGCTCCTTTTTTTCAGGACAAAGAAGGGCTGTAAATAGGGTCCTTTGTTACATCATGGGAGAGTCAATACCAAGCCACCTACGTCAACCTGATATTGAAAAGACACATAGTCAACTGCTGGTAACATGTTTCTATACTATTATTATTATGGAAAAGGCAGACCTTGACTTGCAGGGCAATTTGTTCCAGTTAATATCACTGGCCCGACAGACAACTGCACCGCTAACATTCCTCATTGACACAGAGGCTTAAAATCATTAAGTAAATGCAACTTGATAAAGTGGGAGAACAATAATGTTTTCATTCCCTTGTGAGAGAAATTAATGTTGTTTGTAATCCATTAGGAATTAACTGCCATTTTCTTTTCATTTTAGCTAAATTCAAGTCAATTCAATCAATAAATGACAATTTTTTTCATGAAATGAGAACATGGGAGTTTTCTTTACACATACCATAAAAGTGATAAATTCACAAAAAGTAATAAAATACATGTACAGTTACAACTATAGTATATAAAAAGTAATTCTTAAATGTAAAGCTATCCACCCAACTAAGATTAAAAAAAAACAACTCTTTTTGCATTAAACACTAAAAATCTTCGAAGGATAAAACTCTAAACCAGTTAACTGGTGTTTCCCCCCTTTTGCTTTATGTGTTTGTCAACTTGAAGGTTAGGTTAAAACAGCCGTGAAATCCAAACATACCTCACACTTCATACTTAACTCCACTTAATCAATAAAATTTTCACAAATTGCCAAAATAATTCACTTCAGCAAAAGAGACTAACATATATTTGATCATATTAGTCTACCAATAATTCATTTGTGAAAAATAAGTGAATCATCAGAAGAATCAGACAGTTGGGCTGTTCCCCCATGTGCATGTGTGTGGATTACTCACCTGTCTGACAGAGAGGGTCCACAAACTCCGGCAGTCCGCCAGGCACTCCTCGGATCACATCGCAGGAGTAGCCATCTTCAGGCAGCAAGAACGGCAAGTTCAGGTCCGGATCCTCCTCCAGACGAACATCCCGGCCATCGCTGCGGGTCAGCTCATCAGCTGTGTTCTCTGCCACGGCCACCACACTGTCTATCAGGTCTTGAGGGATACGTGGCTCCCCCTGGCTGGGGATGTAGTGTTGGAGGAGAGCGCGCAGCTGAAGGGAGTTGAGTTTGAAGCAGGCGGAGCTGATGCTGGCAATGTCGTCTGGGCTGCTCTTGGGTGCCTGCAGCAGATGGGCAGCCTAAAGGACGAAAGAAAGAAAGAAAAAGGAGTTAAAATTTGATTGAAAAATTGAATTCTTACCACTTACTCAACTACAACCTTCCCAAAAGTAATTCGACATTTCCTCATTGTGATTTTCTTAGAATAAGTAAATCATTTTTATATCAATTCTCCTTACTTGTATAATTCTGCACAGGTGACAGTCAGCCGCCAGCTCCAGACCTTGTTTCTCTGCCCATGCCTCCACACGAGCTAAGCGACGTTTGAAACGCAGCCCCCAGGTGCGTGAGCAGAGCTGTAGGTGGGGCTCTGTGACCACTTGGTTGAAGAGCCACATGTTGATATAATGAAACAGCTGCGAAAACAACTGAATGGTCAGCGCAGCGTTCACACGACAGCGCCGCAGCAAAGACATGGCGGAAGACAGTGTCTGTAGTACTGCACCTGATGGTAATGTATAGTAGATCACAATTTAGTATGCTATTAATTCAATACATGTAAAACAAATTTGCAAAGACCTTTCCCATTTAGCTGTGTGTTTTGCAGATAAGATAAAAAGCAGCAAAGGTGGATGATTTCAGATGAAGTGAAAAATCTGCAGATGTTTGAAAAGGATAGATTCTACATGTAGGTGTAAGTCAGAATAACTCAAATCATGTGGACCATCTTCAAGATATAGACACTAAATGTGCATAGAAAAAAAGACGCAAGTTGTAATATAGTCTGTATACTGACTAAGATAAAGAGATATCCCTTTTCCCATAAATATTTCATGCTATAACAATGACATTAGTTACCTAGGCCTCTACTCTGACGTGATTGTCCCCTTTCATCAACATCAGCGTTATCTACAAATCAAAAGAGCCCCAACCACAGCTGATTAATAACAGTGGAGAAGAAAACAATTGTGACAGGCACAATCTGTCACAACTAACACAATGCTATGTGCTGGACTGTTAAGTGAAAGCAATTAGCTCTACTCTACTGTTACAGTGAGTGTTTTGTCTATATTTCTATTTAGTTAGTAATTAAGCAAAGGATAAAACCTTTCAAATGCAAAAAAAAAGCCACATATCTCTTTTAAAGCCATGAAATAAAGTGTTAGCAAACAAAAAAAACATAGCTGACTGAAGGGAAAAGGAAATCATTTAAGAGCCTGTAATTTTTTCATAACACTAATAGTTTACACTGACAGTCAGACAGACATGCACTAAATCATAATAGACAAAAGCTTTTTTAAATTACAGGGGTTTACAGGTTCTTTATAATTTTTGTATTATATGGAAGGAAACAATAATATTTTATAACTGGGGTTCATTTTAATTATAAAACAAAAAGAACAACCAAAGGAAGCAAATTTTCAGTTGGAATTCTCAAGCAAAAGGATTAGACAAAGCAATTATATTTCCACAAAAGGTTCTGCTGTCACAACAAATTACTATTACTATGGAACATATCATTTCCTTTAAGACGTATGAATATCAACAAGAATGCATGGATATCACAATAGTAAAATGATGATACAAGAATGCTTACAACACTGAAAAATATGAAGTGAAGAAATACTATTCTACAATAAGGACTTGCTTCTACATAATATCTAAAACCTCCACTCATTACTTATTTACATATCTTACCAATCTAGAGAACAGGTGAAGACAACTCCACGTTAACATACCTGTGAAGACATTATCCTCCTCTTCATCATCATCGCGGTCATGAAGAAAGGCAGGCATAACATGGCGCAGATCTCCCTGTAGACATAGGGTCAGCTGTTTAAAGGCCAGCTGTACGGCCTCTGCCAGTATGTCCTGGGCCTCCAGGGTGAACGGACCAATTTCTCTGTCGTGTTTAAAGAAGTGAAGCAGCTCGGAGGCATTGGCCATCCAGAAAGCCAGGGCACTGGCATTGTCTCCATTGTCCTGGGAAGAAGAAATGAGACGTTAGAAAGACTTAAAACAGCATTAGATTTTTAGGTGATTAACCTATACAAAGGCAAAAATGTATCAAAAATGATTTACTGAAAAAATGTGTTCATTTTGAACGAACATGTGATAAAATGTTAAAATCGTGGAGAAAACTTATACTTGCTTCAAAAGGAAATTTAACTTTTTATTTTATCCATCAAAGTGAAAGTAGAAGATATCTTTCATAGTTTCATATATTACCTGGATAGCAATCTGTGTAATAGTAGCCACTTTGCCACACCAGACGGTCAACCTATGGGCCCTCTCGTTGGGGCTCATGTCCGGGCGATAACCACGTGATATCCTGTACCTGGTAGCCATGTATAAGCTGTAGGTAGGCGAGAGCTTGAACTGGACATTGGCACCATTCACTTCACTGATCAGTGCTGACAAGAAAGCATCTTCACCTGGAAATAAAGGTAAGTTTCATTCATTATGATATAATCTACATAGAGATAAATTCATATTACTTCAATAAATGCACTCATAAAAATAAGCCTGCCTTGAGATTAAGACCACAGCAAGTAAATTTCCTTCCCAGCAACATTTTAATACATGATCTTCAAGCACACCATTACTGCTGGAAAGTTCACTTCATTCTTTTCTTTAAGAAACAAAGCTGTTTATTCAAAAGTAATATGGCTGTTTACTTTTAAGAAATATAGTTGTCTATTAACACCAAGTACAGATACTCCTGCTAACAGTGCCATATAATTCTACAAAAGCTCTATATTACCTTCCTCCCTGAACTCCAGGGTAGCAGGCAGGATATCCGGCATCCCTGGCTCCATCCCTGGGGGCATTCTGCAAATATAGACAGTACTATGACAACACAGCTAGAAAGTAAACTTTAAATACCTGAAGTGGTACAGGTCCTTCTTATAACCAGAAAGTGTGTTACTACGACTTGGATATTCAGTCCTCAAACTGTTCTAGAAAGTTTCCCATTTTGCCTGTGACTTGACTCTTCAACAGATACACATTACCATACTTATAACATCCTCTGGGTAGATATTCTTACATAAAATTTGACAACATATTTCGACATACTCCTACCTTGGCATCCCATCCTTGCTGGGACTGGAAACTGTCTCTATGTGACCATCTACGTCAAATGTTGTCTCAAAGTTATTAGCGGGGTCGTCCCTGTTCCTGTTGCCTTGGTGACGCAGTGCAGGCTCGCTGTGCATCTGACGCTTCATCATCTGACGCTGTTTAAATTTAAAATGGATTTATGACACGCTGTGAGATACTGGTGATAACCAGAAGAGACTATCAGTTTCTACACAAGAAAATTACATTTACACAAAATATAAACAGTGTATCTTTCTCAAATGTTACCCAAGGAGCTCATTCATTTACTTTTCTTTTGGTTTTCATGGTCTACAAATCATTCAAATTACACAAATAGAAATTCAAGCACATAACTAATATTGGACAAATCTGATTATTTTATCCACATATCATTTTTTTCATACCTCCTCTTCCTTGGGGTCACAGAACCTGAAAGCATGATGTCGCCCAAACCTAACAGTGACGCCATTGGTCAACATGGTGGTCTCAGCAATCCTCTGACCCCCTACGTAGCACTCTGCCTCTCTGCTGGTGGGGGTCACAGTGACCACACCCTCTGTGTGGGCTATCACACAGTGTCTCGGCTGGATGGTTGGACCAAACAGCTGGAGTTGAGATAAAGTTGATATCATGTTTGTCAACTCAACTAATTTTGAAAAGATTGCATTTAGTCATTGTGGTGAGTTTAAGTTTTTGTTTCTTAAATCAGCCTCAACAATTATTAACTAAAATGGTTATTCTTTAACCATTTTTTTTATTAATAAAAAAATATTCTTTAACCAAAATAATTCAATTATCCAATATCCACTAGTATTCTACCTGTAAGTACTGTCCACTGGTGGAGTTGGACCTCTCACTGCCAACTTCTGTGACATTTAACTGGAGTCTGTACTTCTTAGGTTTGGGCAGATCTGTGCCATCTGAAATAAGACCAAATTCTTAATGTGTTTTACTTTTAACTTCTCAGATACTGAAATCATTTTCACTTTAAAATGTAGCCTATAGGATTCATCATTGCCTTTTTTTCTGATGAGTTAGCAATATCACGCTGTTTACCCTTAAATGTAGCCTTGGGTATAACACTAATCAAACAGATCAATTTTTGGGAAGCCTTTAACTAACATAAGCCTTCTATATGACAGGTTTCATAGGCATTCATGTTGTAGTTCTATGGATTTGTCTTCAGTTCTACACGTAGCCTGGAGCCACAGCAGGTCAAATCTGCCTGAGCTTTACACATCTAGCTATCATACATAGTTAACGCAGAAAATAAACAAATTGACTATAGACTAACGGCAATACAGTTTTTATCAGACCTATCAGACTCTTCCTGCATATGTGGCCAGCTTGGAATGAAGACAGATCAAATAGAACTTAACATCTAGATAATGACTTTTTTCCAACCATTTACCTGCATTAAGAGGGACCAGGTAAGGCAACCTCTCTTGTCTCATCTGCTCAGCATAAAACTCATCCTCCTGTCTCTTCCCCTTCCTTTGTCTCTTCACGATATGCTTGTAACCATCTGGCTTCTTCTTCAAGTGGTAGGTGATGGCACCTTTGGTGATAAAAAAACCAACATTAAAAAATTTACTTCCCAATGAAATTCTAAAAATAGAAGCACCTTGGATTTGTTCAAAATCTACTCAAATATTTAATTTTTCTGTTAAACCAATGAAGTATAAGAACTAAGTGAGATAATGACATAATAATTCCGGTGCATAAATATGAGTTGAACTCCAGGATAAGAACTGACCTCTGGATGGAGGATGCTGCATAAGGATTGCTAGTGGACACTCATCATCGTCCAGAATCTCTTCACGCATGCCTTCACGATCCAACGAGCCGTGATATTCCTGGCTGTCCGGCGGAGGGCCGTAGACCTGAAACAGAGAGACAGACAGGTCAGACTCTCCAGCCAGATTAGGTGCCATGATAACAACATCTAACAATATAAATACTGGTAGTGAATTACTGTGTGACTTATGTAGCAATCATAGACTGGCATGCCTACAGAAGCTGCTGATTGATAATTAATTACCCCCTAGCAGCTACAAAAGGCATGACAGACATCTAAGCCACTTAAGTTGATAGCAATTTCACGAGAATCCCCTTGGAGATAGATCGTACAAAAGGGTCTAGGAATGGTCCAATAATGCTACTAGCAAGCAATGCTAATCAAAAGAGAAAGCCTCTAAGGAAGCTCCTCACAAAAATGGATTGAAACCTACACTTGGGCAGCAAATAAACAACATTCTCAGAAAATCTGGATATGAATTACTAAATAATCACATCTAGTGTGGGTGGGGCAATGTAGCTTGTGCCACAGTATGCACATGCATCTGTAGAAATAAGGTATTTATCTGCCAGCATGCCAGGTAGTGATTTTTTTTACAGTTTTTTAAAGTGTTGGTATCACGATGGTATTAATGAAAACATGCCTGATATCAGCACAGAAAAAAACATGACACTACTTTCAAAAAGAAACAAATCCAAGTGCAATGATGTGTCTTCTTGCTCCTAAATAAACACATCAAAGCACAGAGGTATTCAGGTATCTAAAGATGTAAATTGAAAAAACTTTCTTTAAACGGATCTCGTTTCTCTCAATTTTGGAACTACTAAGGTGTGACCATTATTTCAATGCTGAATCACTGATGCCTGATCACGATGTAACTCTATAATTTCCTATTTAGCACTGCCGACAAAATGGCTTAATTTTTTTAATTCCAACTCAAAAGACCTCTTCCAAGATGCTTTGTAAGCCAATGTCTAGCCCATTTATTGTATTTACTTTTCAGGAAATTAAAGAAACAAATTCAATAGCAGCAGCTGAAACTCAGGCAGGCATTAAATAAACAGGCAACAGTTTTATGTGGGGCTACAGGAGTTTTACCAGCTCTATAGGCTGAGTATATTGATCACCCTCCCATTGCTGAAGGGGGTATACACACTTTAGTTTAGGTTACATCTACTGCAGTTCTAGTACACTGCCTCTCACTGCTAACCAACAACTGACTCACAACTAAGAACAAATTAAATGTGGGGGGGAAAAACAATTTGTCCTATATGTAATAACAACAGACACTAAATAATTTCCCCTTTTTAAATAGTGAAAATTTTGGTTACTTAAAACTTGCCCTAAAAAGTAACAGATATACATTGAATCTTAGCCATGTTTCTAGTCAATTTAGGTGAGTCTGTCTGAGCAAGAGCCATTTCAGTGGGATGTCTGACAACCAATATCTAATCTTGAAAGTCAGGCTAATCCCTCAGTTAACCCACTGATTGCCATTGTAAATGAGGCAATTCCTACACAATTCTATCATTAATTCGCTTGCTGAGATGGGTCAACTGAGATAGGTCACCCAATGTTGGACTATAAACAACACTAGTGTTTGCCCTCCCTATGTAAAGTTATGAACTTATTCAAAATTTTGAATACATATGTTCTTACTTTAGATCTCAAAGACATGAAAGCATCCAGCCCAGCCAGCCATGAATCATAATGTTATCAAAATCCAATGATATAAATGTACAACCCTGTTAGTGTGCAGGGTCATCCCAGGCTGCAGTCAGACCTCGTTTCCTGCTCGTGTCTCTCTAGCCTGTGAATTCACTTCATCTACTGAAGTCTATTCACAAGCCTCATTGGTACCTTATACCTACCAACATAAGCTATCCAAACATACCAGCTCTCCCACTGCTATGGGCAGTCTTACATTACCTACAGGTGGAAGGGGGGAGTATATTCACTTGGACAGATAAATCTTATGTTCTCTGCTATGTTTATTTTCATGTAATTTTGTTTTTGTTTCAGGAATAAAACCCCATCTTCCTATCTGATATCCACAGTTTCCAACTTTTCCCATCAGTTCCAGTATTCAGAGCACAGACAATCCATCACCTGACAGCTGGGTTATTAACACAGGCAACTAGAGACTAGGTGGCAAAGTTACAAACCCAAACTGCTATTTAAGATATATAACATTATGGAAACTGCATAGAATCCAAGGAGAGCAAGTGAAGTGAAACATTCTGAGGTATAGGAGGGGCAGGTTCCATAGTAGACATAACATACATTACATGTACTTCAGGAGATATTTTCCTGCTCACTTAACCTCATCCTCTCAGTTCACCTCATCCTCGGCAGTATTTCTTGGCATAAATCACCTCAGTTTACATAATGTTTTGACCTCTGTGACTCACTGGAGGAGAAGCAGCATTGCTCTGAGCCAAAATTGGTTTTGCAGTTGTTCTGTGCGTGTACAGTTAAAAATTCATCTTGATCTAACAGATTTCATAGTCACAAAAAGCACAAATGAAAGATAAAAATTAAATTAAGAGATTTTTACCTACATATTACTTTTGTATCAAGTCTTTCAAATAATATCCAGTAACCAGTATTTCCAATCCACTAAACATTCTTGAGTAACACCTTTACCTTGAGAAATCACCTATCATTTTTCACAAGTAAACATACACTGTTTACTGTAATACAACTTACTAAAAGAGCTCAAATGAACAAAAGGAAAAGACTAAAACACCAATTTTTTTCTGCTTGATGTGTATTTCTCCTTGACAAAGCAGCAAGCTTACTGACATTTAGTTTGATTCCTTCCAGACTTCTAGACACTGTACACGCAGTAGGTGCTCACTTCAGTCCCATGAACTTGCATATATTTAATACCTTCATATGAAGTAAATACCAAACATAGACACTAAGATTTACTTTAAGATGTAATATGTTGTCATACAATCTTGAAATCTCTTTTCCAATTTTTTTCAATTTTATGGCTTTTCCCGTTGAAGACCGTTTACTTTCCTGCATGCAAGCAATCACTGAGCAACTAACCTTTTTTTTTCCTTTTTTAAAATAAACCTGCTGATAAAGTATCTAAATATTGACTGATATCAGAAATGTAAAATATATGCCACATCCTTTCTTTAAAATCAATGCCCCCATATTATTTCTTCCCTAATATAAAATATCTCCATGTATTCACTATGGGACTCTGGTCTCCTCATTATCCTCTACCCGCAGACGGCAGGTTGAACCTCCATGTCAACACTTATCATACTCAATCAAGACATATTTCTTAGTTAACCACACTGGGTCATGTAAGGTTTACAATCTGAGGTAGGTGAGAAGCAGTTTAGAAGTTTAGTTCATAATGTAGCCATGTAAGCTGTTCTTCATGGCAAAACATTTTAACTCAAAAGCATTACTTCCTCATCCACTTCTATTTTTATTTTCATTTCCTTTATCTACTTCATCATTTCAGATTTAGTTTTTGTCCACTTGGTGGACCACCTCGCCCCCTACCTTGACCAGACAATAGTCCTCTGGGTTCTCTTTGTCCAGTCCGTACTTGTCCAGTGTCTCCTTGACCACATAGTATGCAGTGTCCGCAGTGGACAACAGCAGGGTCTTGTAGGGGACATCATGGACCAGGGACTCCCCATAGATCTTCAGTGTACCTCCTTGAAGGAAATGATACAATGTTTCATGTTATTGCTTTTATTTGATTTATCAAAGGTAAGCTGTTTAAGATGCTGTTCTCAGATGAAAGGTTACCAACCATTTATTTGAAGTGTTTTCTTAACTTATACAAGTCAACTTTATCTATCTGTTTTTTGCAAACATTTTAACCACCAACAAAATTCACCTTGGTCTGGTCCCCCATCTGCACTGCGAATCTGCTGCAGTTTCTTCTCCAATTTTTGTTGTCGTCTGCGTCGCATGACTGCCTCTGGGTTGGAAATACTTCTAGTAAAACTGGTCTCTGGCAGTTCATTATACAGCTTTTCTGCCACACTGGATTCTTTATTGGGAGACTCATTTTCTTTGCCTTTTGCTCGGGCTTCTTTGTCTTTCTTCTTTTTGTCCTTCTTTTCTCGTTTTGATAGTTTACGAATGAAGCTAACTTCTTTTTCCTTCTCCTTTTCTTTCTCTTGTTGAATCTCTGGTGATGATGCTTGATGAATCTGTAACAAAACCATACACAAATCATAGATTTATTTCCTATAACTAGAAATATAGATTTAATGTGATATACTTAATGGCATTAAAACACATGCAATGCAGTTTTCCTGCCAATATGTGATAAGCTAATTTTGTTTTAAATCAATATCAGAGTCAATTGTCTTAGGGCACCTGTGTATTTGAGTTAAAGGGCAACTTTTAGCCCAGCAAGCTAACAGACTCCAGCTCTCCCCATTCATGGGTCAAGCAGAGGTCTGGTCCATATGAAATATGTAAGATGTAGTCAGACAGAGGGAACCCAGCCCTCTGGCCAGCTGGGAACAATGCTTTTAATGTGCTTCAAGAATCAACTAGGCGTCTTTCCACATTAACTGAAACCATTAGCCAGGCCCAGGACATTCAAAGCATGCCCAGACTGAGGATGGCTGCAGGTTTACACCATGATATCCACACTCAGGGCCAGACAAGATCACAGCAAGGGCCAAGAACATGTGTAGGCATAGCGTGCCAGAACAGCAGAGGCAGGTGTTGGCTGTGTTCTACAAACAACCTTCTGCAGTACTCCACTATATCAACCATACTCTGGCTGGTCTCAGTCCTGGATGCCTTCCATCTGGTCAACCAGCCTTTCCTGTACTACTGACCACTGGGCTATGACTTGGACTAGAGCCTTGGGGGAAGGGGGGGGGGGGCTGAGAGCATTTTTTCTCTTGTGAAACAAATCACTGATATTTCATATTGAGCAGTGTTTACACCTCTTTTTAACCAACATGAAACCTGATTCTTTCAATGCAGTGTACCGGACTTAAATTCATTAAATTTGTACCAATGTTAAGACTTAACCTCCAGAGTGTTTTAGACCCTAGCTCAATATGGCCAGTGGAGGCACATCAACAAACTTAGTATGCCTGTTCCACTTCACATCACAGTGGTAGATCAGTAGAAAACTATGAGAAATATGAAAGTATCACATTGCCATAAGCCAGCAGAGTCCACTGAGATAGGGCTCTCTGTTGGAGATAAGACAAGAAGACAGGTGCTATGTAGCCCCTCCCTGCTGGACTAAGGACTCATTCCCCATGAAATTGCTGTTCCAATATATAGATTGATTCAAACTCTGCAGGGATTCTTGCTGAATGCAATCAGTTTAACAGATTAACATGCTTCATCTTGTTCCCAGTATACTGTATTTTACTCACTGCCAGGATTCGTGAATGCATTTAACCAGAGTCCTTTGGAGTTGGATTGATGGATATCCTTAGAATGCTAGCTTCATTGGGAATGAGCCCTAACCCAGTGAACACCAGGCCAATACCAACACTGCTCCCCTCTTGTCTCTCTGGAGACTGCTCTGGAGCCTGCTGCCTTGCCAGGCAATCCATTCAAATAAGAGGCAGGAATGGGCTTTCCTTCCAGAGTAAACTGGTCTATTTGTCATAATATTTCCCCAATGGAGTATATATTTCACTATACAAACATTGCCCAACACTCCTATTGAAAATTAGTAGGAGAATTTTTTTCTTTGCTACAGTTAAGTTTGCATCCATTTAATTTAATTGATCTTCCCAAAATTGAATGTTTTGGACAGTAGTAGTTTTTAGTTATATTTTTAGTTTCTACCTTATTGATAAAAGGTAAAAAGATTTGTGATTTGTCTTTGTGGTGCCAATTCTGGGCAAAATCTTATGTATGTAAACTATAAGCATATCACAAAGTACAAAACATATTTATGAATTCTTATTCAGGGTGGAGTATCAGAATTCATGCTTACACAATAATATCATCAGTTATACTGCAGTTTACAAAGCTCTAGGTCGCTAACCTGCCATCTCATAATGTTCATAATAGCACTTTAGGTCCATTAACACTTTTTTTTTGGTATACAATTTGCTGGCTGTCCCAGCCACCTCCCTCTGCAGTGTAAGAAGATGGCCAAGTTAGATAGAGGCTTTTAGACTCAGCTGGTTAGTGTGAGATGGAGATCAGGTACACAGCAAGGTGTGTTTATATTTAACATGATAGTCAGGTAAGAACTGCAGGCTACACTCTGATAGACAGGTCTCCCTGTGTGGAGTCCAGGTAGACACTTCACTAAAACCCTTGTTCTGCTGAACACTATCTGTGTATTTATGTAACTTACCAGGCAGGTGATCATGTATTACAGCAATACTTTACATTGACTGTACCAAAGAGATGAAAACAATAACATTTGTACAAGTGGTACACTAATCATGGTCATCAACAAGGACCACTTAGTCTAGCAGATAATAGGCTTTTTAGTCATAAGGCAATTTAATATGGAGTACACTCATAAACTGACCACAAAGAAAGATATAGAGAACTGTGTGGGGGGAATGGTCTTTTAGAAGTGGACTGGGGTACTACGGTATCAATGACTGTCCCAGAAACTGGATCAGATTGGCAATTAACACGACCTACAAATGGCTTTCATAATCAGCAAGATCAAGAGTGCCTGAACAGCCCTTTAGAAATTATGAATTTCAGTTCCAAAAAAAAACAGCCACCATATCATCTATCGTAGACAGTTAAGAGCTGGGAAATTCCAAATGTAGTTCAAGCAGAAATCTCCTGATCAAACCCACCTTGGTAGATTATATAAGATTACCCAATATCCACAAGATTCCCTTTTCTCCCAGAAGTTTACCTTCTTTCTCAAAATACTCACTGGTACTGTGGCTTCATTTTCACTCTTCAGCAGAAATCTTCCCTCTCTGTCATCTTTTCCCCAGTTCAGTTGGACCAACAATGGCTTCTCTTCATTGGCCAGTTTTCTTTCCTCTGAAAATATACAGCACAGTTTGTGATAAAAAAAGACGTTCTTAACATATACCCCATTCACACTACAGTTGCAAAAATGCGCATTTCTATAATTCGAATTATTCGTGAGGAATCCGATTCGGTATTGCGTTCACACACTCGAAGCGAAACCGAATTACACGTTGAAAATTTCAGGTTTAACTTCCTGTTTTGAACACTAGCGCATGCGCCGCTCAGGAAATCTTAAAATACCAACAAAAATTTGTAACGACAAATGCAACTCAAAAGACATTCCAGCATTCTTGAGAAGTAAAAGATGGCAAAATAAGTTTATGTTTCCTCATGTTGTAGTGATTGGTGACCTCCAAATACGTTTGGTGCAATCACTAAAGTAATAAACAAGCGTTCATAGATACCCGCACTTATCTGCACACATGCGCAATAAGATCTGTACAGGTGTCGATTCCGGTAAGTTATTCGAATTGCGCTTAGACATCCACCTCGCTTGCAGGATTTTGAAAATTCGCATTACAGAAATCCTCTTGCGTTCATACTACTGCATTTATTCAAATTGTGACCCAATTCGCAACTTATCCGGATATGAGCATAGTGTGAATGGGGTAATACTCACAGAAGCTTCACAATGTGTGGTTTGAGTTGCCACATGCATGCACGCATGCACACACACACACTTATATATGAAAGTTTTATTGTCACAAAAAATCAACTTTCACAAATAAAAACCTGCTGAATGTAAACTAGTCCTTCTGATGCACTATATATATATATATATATATATATATATATATATATATATATATATATATATATATATAAAAGAAAGACTTCGGCACTGTTCTACACACGTTTGCATGAGAAAAATAGAAAGAATTAAGCCTAGGTAACCGTACACTATTCCAACCCAAATACCAAAACAAAGGGTCGCGGCAGACAGATCTCCGTGGCAACCATTATCAATCTGCAGCACATTAAAATGTGAACAATGTTTGCTTTATGCCACCAGACATAGAAAAATCTTACTATTGTTTTGTATGCCACTCTGCATTCTTCTGGAAAATGTTTCACAAATTTGCTTTCGTAAACCAGACACATCTACGCATATATTCAACGCTACCATAAGTCCCACCATATCTAGTGCTGTAGCCATCCCTTACCCTCAGTATGAGACTTTTTAGAAACCTTAAAAAACGCCTTACACAATGACAAAATATCCAATTTCATATATTTCATTTTACAAAGTATCTTAGAATTAGAAACCAAATGATCTTCTAAAATATTTGAGGGTGTAATTTATTTCTTTAATTTCTCAGTAAGGACCTACCATGCTGGAGAAACATACAATTACACACTCATGCTCTACCAAGTTTCAATTAAATTTTTACAGACTTCAAAGTGATTTTGTTTTCCTTTCAGTAAGATCTTTCCATCAGAAAAATCAATATATAATAATTAAACCTACAGGTTAACACCAAGCAGTAAGGCTCAGTAAAGCAGACAGGCATACTTCCAGCCTTGATCACATTACTGTTTAATATGAAAAACTGGCTCTTTTCCTTCCAGCTATTTCAGCTTGAGCAGCAATAATCCATTTGCCAGGTTTGTGGTAATCTAATACTCCTTAATGATCCAATGTGATGACTGCCCAGTTAGTGTCTTGTCAGGTGCAAGTGTTAACACCTGTGTTACATAGACCTAAGCAATAGCAGGTCAAGAAGCACATGTTGACAGCTTTGTCTGGACAGCTCTGGGAACGGGATGATGGATGAGAGGACACTAACTTAGAAACCACATCACAGTGTCAGTAGACATAATCCACTGGCAACAACACTTATACCAAGCTTTTTGTGGTGTGCATGGTGTCTGGTTTATAATTCATGATCAAATTTTAATCCAGAAATTGAAGAGAGGGAGAATGGGATTGTTGAATGATATCTTCCAGTTAACAGAAGCTGTATTATTAACTATCCTATTGACACGACTTACATACAACTAAACATGAAACCAGCCAATTTCATTTACTACATAAAATTTTATGTCAATGTGCAGTGTCATTAATCAGATTGGCAATGTTATATTCCTCAATTGAAAATAAAAACACTGTTAGTCAAACCAATGATAATAGAATTTACATGATTAGAAAATTCCTCCAGTCAATTACCTTGCATGCAACGTATCAAACATGTCCAAGTAAGTGTGATTAATGCGAAACTGATAAACTTCTACATTCATATTTGAAATAAACTACTCAAAGTTATCAGCAAAACCTTTCACAATTGCCACTCGTGACACAGTGTAAGGTGACAGAAATTGATTGTCTCTGACATCTAGTAAACGACCTGCTCTCCTCTCTGACCTCATCTGTATATAATACTGCACTGGGCTCAGTAGGGGCTTTTTTTATAATTAACAAATTTCACACTTTTTAAAAATTTGCACTTAAAGTCAAAAAGAAAAGTAGCAAATAAGTTTAGGTGAAGTGATAGTGACTCTAAAATAGTTCCCCGATTTCACACCACATTTCTCAAGATGATTATTGTTCTTTATACCATTCAAAAGCTAAACTAAGAACAAAGAAGAACAGCCACTTTTTGAAGTAAGATGGCATTTTTTCTAATCCAGGCACACGCTTGGGAAGTGATACTGTGGGAATTGTGGCTGACACAATGCATCAGTTATGCAAAATGATTTAACAGCTGAGTGTTTGAAAATAATGTCTGTCAAATTCCGTATCTTTTCAGGATCTGTCTAGTGCTGTCCTCCCTCCATTCACCGCTGCCCTCTAGTGTCTTTTCATCTTCCCGTTTTGGGTCACTGCACCCTTGTGTCAGGACCCTAACAGCCACTCCGCCCCAGCTTTTCAAATCTTCAAACCCCCTACATGTTCATACTATTGGTATTATAATTTTGAACACCGCTGTCCTGAAGTGGGATGTGTATAATATATATCAGAAAACTACCTGAGAGGACGTAGCTGTCAGATTATCATATCAGTATCAAGGAATGTATTTGAGTCTGCTTGGGTCATATTTGAACTTCAAAACTCTAGGCCATGTTAAGTATCCAGATCAACACTGCAGAATAAAGACTGGGCACACAACACCTCACTTGGTGTAGGACATTATATCCTTTCTCCAACTGTGATTTCACATGAAATACTACACTGCACTTCACTTTACACTGGAACAGAGGCTTCAGAGATGCAGTTCCATACAAACGCACCATGTAGCATGGACTCTGAATTATTTAGTAGGCAGAAAATACATTTCTTTTTTCCTGTGATGGATTTAATTTCCTTCTAATTCAAGCCAGGCTTGGTGAGCTGAAGGGCTGAGGTTACAGTGATCCTTGGATACTAGATGCTTGCACTGGTAGATTTATATTCAAATTTTCTCAAAGCTTAGTTCTACCTGTTACTAGTCTGCTAGTCTAGGAAATAAAAACTAGATTTTCTTCAGCATTTTCTGAAAAGCTTGGTTAGGTATCTTAACTAGAAATTGTTCTCCTGAGACCTGTTACTTTCCCTTGAGACCTGTCATGATTCTTCTGTCATCTGCAACAATTTCACTACTGTATTAAACCTTGGCCGGGGAATTGATTGTAGGAGGTATTTATTTCATCATGTTTTAATTAAATGATATGATCCATTGTGTTACAGATTGTTAACAGTTCCCCCAGAGACATTTAAGACTCATCAATTAATTGTATAAAAAATTATCACCTCACTCATCCTTTATGGAGGAGACAATACCAAGATAACCCAATCTGTGATAAATAGATTATATGTACGCGAATATGGCTTTTTCAATAGTCAATTTATTTCTACATGTTTTTTCTAGTTTTAAAACCTGGATCAGGAGGTGTGTGTCCTTGATAAAGTTACCTGATACATAGGAATACTTCAGCTATTATTCAGGAATACTTTTATGTCTGCTGTACTGGAGAATACCATGTCTAGATCAGGTACACACAGTCAATATTGACTTTATGTGTCAAACTTCCATACTAACTTCTGACACACAATCTGATAGCCATTAATGCAGATATTATAACTGCCTGTTGCAAATAATGTTACAAAAGAAAAGTGTTGTACACATCTTAAAATCAAACCACCTGCCTCCCAATTTTTTCGCCCACTCTAGACGTTGTAGACGTTGGTCAACTTACCTCCGTTCACGTGCACCTCATACAGCATGTACTTTGGCAGCGACAACATGCGCATGTCGGGGCGGAACTTCTCAATCAAAGTGTCCAGCACATCCCTCGTGGTGGCACTGCTTGATACGCGAATGCATTTTGTGGCGACTTTGGCTCCATCATCTTGAAAGAAGAATCTCATAACTCCATGAAACTCCAATTGCTGAAAATAAAATTAAGTAAATTTCTTTATTTATGATTTCTGAAAATACTAATCTGGATATAGGAAATGGTTATTATGGCATATATAATATATTCACTTCAAAAGATATGCTTTCAATAATTACCATATCAGAAATCAAAGCACTCACTGGGTCGCTATTTTTGAAGGGTCAGCAAAGAAATTAACCCTCCTCAAGCAGACTTCAAAGGCAGAGAAATAACTGTACAATGCATGTAACAACAACTCATTAACACATGTAATATGATCTCCCACGACCACTTGGCAAGGCTGGGTTTATTCTACCCTCAGACTTGACACTAAAAATGAATACCCTGGTTAGCCTAGAAGAATAAGACTAAGACTGCATTCCCATAGATTTAAATCGACCCATCTAGATCAACCTAACTCCAAGGGGGTTCATGCTAAATTGCTGTCAGCCGAACGCGCACGGTAGTTAATTACCCCCTTACAGCTTTTAGTGGGCGGGGCAGACATTTAAACTGGCTAAACTGACAGTAATTAAGTGAGACTCCCCACAGGAATAGATCGATCTAAAATCTGTGGGAATGGGGTCTAAGATGGTAGATCCCCTAGCACATAAATTTAATGGCACCATTGGTACATCTATTATAAATAAAACGTGATTAAGATTTTAAAATCAGACTTGTGAAAAACGACTTTCACCCAGACACATTTACTTTGGAGAAGGGAAATATCGTAGATTTAGAGCCCCTTCTGACAGACCAAAGTGACCATTTATTAAGACCGACCAGTCTTGTCAGTCTATATCACCATCAAAGATAGCATCTGGGACCTTGGGTCTAAGATATATATACCATTTCACCCTCTCTGTGTGGCCAGGAAGGGTAAGGGGTCAGCCCCACTGGACATCAAGTGGACTGGTCAGCTATCAGCACCTCTTCAGTCCTTTTAGTTTAATATCATAGGGGCTCAGAGCCCAGGTGCTTGTTACAATTTATTGATACTGAACCAACTGAGATAAGAGCAAGTATGTATACAATACCGCCTACCAAGTTGACTGGTTGCCGTAATTCTTAGTATTCTTTATTTATTTACACTACACTTTGCAATTAAATATCTGGAGCCATCTCTTCAACCACCCCTTGTGGATCTCTAACCTCAATTTTTCTGGATTGCATTGAGAAACAGAGAGGATGCCTTGAAGGACTTAATACTTCAGCTAAAATGAATCAAAACAGGCAACAATTCATTGTTCCTATATTTCTTATTCCCTCTTTACTGGGTTACTTGAACTTCTATGAGATGGTCTGACTGAATAGCATCATGGCTGGTTAGTATATTTATACATTCCACACACACTGATGAGACTTTAAGGGTCGTGACCTTTATTTCTGGGACACTATCTAAGACAGCTGAATACTTGGCACTAGTCCAAAATTCAAACTTAAAGAGGACTGTTTTGACTAGATCACTTCATACAGGTGAGCAGGACCTGAGTACATCATCCCTGTCTGTCACACACAGCTGATCATGTGTTATTAGCAGAGAGACGCTCCATGACACAACTCTATGCAGAGGAAATCTCGTCTCATCAGTCATTTGTAAGTTTCAAGATGGTGAACAAGTTAATGGTCATTGAGTTTCATATGACAAACATTCAGAAGTAGTGCTTCCAGTTAACAGACTTGTTACCATGTGGAATGTTTAGTGTAGGAAAATATCACTTGAGACTAACAAGTGTATTGTGCTCAAGTTTCCTCACTTGCCAAAGTTAACACCAGAGCTAACACCAAAACCTAGGCTCTGTTCTCACAACTTTTAGATCGATCTATCACCGCGGGGAGTCTCACTAGATTACTGTCAGATAATCCCCCGTAAGTGTCCGTCCCCGCCTACTACAAGCTTTAAGGGGTAATTAACTTTCGTGTCCGCCCGGCTGACAGCTATTTAGCGTGAACACCCAGGGAGTTAGGTCGATCCAATGTAGGTCGATCTAATCTATGAGAATGGGGTGCTAGAATCCANGTTAATATCCAAGATCCCTTAAGCTGATAACCTCATATAAAGACAATTTTAACACTATCTTGAAGTCTATATATTGATCTCAATTTCTCAAAGGAAAAATGTGGGTGCCTTATAACATGTTGATAAATATTACAATAAGAAATTATCTCATAAAAAACAAGCATTAAAACATAATGATTGTTGCCCAAAGCTTTTTATCATGCAAATTTTAACTAGTAGGATCAGTTTCATGATCCATATAATTCTTGAAAGCAATTTTCCCTTAAACAAATAGCCAATTCATTCCCTAACCAATTCAATGAAGCCAGCTTCTACGTAAAACCATACTTCATTCTGAATTGATGAAAAGTATCAGATTTGTTAATCCAATTTACAGGCAACCAAACCACCAGCTAATAGGCCATATTTCACAGCTATGGGCCTGAGGAATTCCCCAATCTCTCCCCTTACACCCACTGGTAACATTTCATGCTACAAGCAATACGAGATTCCAACTAACTTCCACGAAAAAATTATTATTTAGGAAAGGAATCACTACTTAATAAACAACATATCAGATCACCTTGTTCTTGCTATCAAGCATTTAACAAAGCAAGTTGAAGCTCACAAGACCTGTTCCCCCTCAGGCTACAAATTCCTCAACATTTAACACAAGGGTAGCATACATCCTCTGGTCCAGGGGTATTGTAATAAGGATGTTCAACTCCAAACCTCCTCTGGGCAAATGGACATGGGACCTGACAATGACTTTGTACCTGTTTCTTTACATAATTTTTAACTAAGTGATGTGGATCTTATCCACATACTATTCAGTCCTATAGGCTCAGGTTCAAACTAACCAGGATAAAGTTGCTCTGTATCAAAAATTGATAGAGAGTCTACGAAAACATTCAAGTATCACTGGAAAAAGGTCTACTTTATAAAAATTTTGAAATTGCTGGCTGTTGACTGGCTACATGACTTGTGAGACAGCTCCCCCATTATCATTTTTGACGTCTTTAATGATGTATAAAAATAAAAGCAAAACATGCTTTCATTTTACATGCTTTCATTGTAATGTAGAAGTACAAAAATTTACGAAAAGAAGGAATAAAATGGCTTTTCTCTGTATTAAAATGTGGCATTTCGAACTTGTTCTGAGCATCTCCAGTATTTCTGACTCACGCATACCATATATAATCTTTCCAAAAACAGCTGACACTGTCAATGAGCAGTATTCTAGACTATAGTGGTGCAATTTCAACCACAAACAATGAGGGATTGCCCTTATAGTACATACCACAGCCACTGATAGCTACTTTTAATTGGTATTTCTATAGATTTTTTTCCTGTGGTCCATACTGAATTAGACAGCATTAATCTATCACATTAAGCAGGCAGGAGAATACCACCAGTTCAGAGATGGATATAACTGTAGATTACAAGGAAAGGGAGAACTTCCTGGTATTTTGATTAAAGGTCATATCCACACCTTGTATGCATGAAGCAGTGACAGGGGTGTTAGTCATACTGCTGCCCATTAGCCTACATTGTTAAAAGATCAGACAGATCTGCTAGACATAGTCCATCTGTCCAGGCCTGGTTGATCAGGTTTGAAATACAAACTGAACACAAAATTCCTGTACAATGGCAAGATGCCAACAACAACTTCCAATTTCTACCATGTGTTTTCCCAGTCGGATAACAGCTAGGAGAAAAAGAGCAGCAAAGGTTTGCTGGTCATTAACAGCCTGCACCAAATACAAACTTCAACTGTTTCTGTTTAGTCACAGATAGTGCCGTAGACTATGAGTTTACGGAGAAAGACTACAGGTCTACATACCTCATGGTGGAGTGCAGGAACTAATTACTGTTATTACGTTCACAATGGAATTCAACAGCATCTGTTTCATTCCTCACCACTGTCCACATCTACCAGTAAAACAGTCCTAAAGATATTCTTTCTAAGCAGTTTTAATTTCATCATATTTCCAATTTTTTAATATTAAAAAAAAACTCTCCTTCAAACATTTAAAACCCATTCTGCTTTCCAGACGTTCTCATTATTTATGTTGACATATTCTAAAGATCAGGTTATCTATCCAGAGAGTTGACTTTGCTGTGACTATAAACAATTCAAATGTCACCTCTGAAGCATGTACCACATACAAGTAACTCCATGGTAGCTTCTGCAAATATTGCTACACCCTTTGACTCAACCTGGATGACATTTAAATACTACACTCTGTTGAAGTTAATACCTTCAACACAGATTAGTAATGTACTCATTTTGCAGGGAAAAAAACCTTGGTGTGAGAGTAAAAAAAGGGAGAAAAGCTTTGTCAACTAAGGTATTTTGACTACAAGATATCTGTAAAGACTCTAATAATAAGGCACTCTTTTCAACGGCGCTTTTCAACTGATCTTCAAGCAGTTTGTTCATTTCTCTGCATATAAATTAAAACTGTCCAAAGAAAGCACAGTTCGACACAATCAAACACTCCATTGTAAAAGAGAAAATCATACTACACTATTGTAATCAAATCAGTTTAATCTAACCTTGTTAAGGAAATTGGGACAAATTGAAATGTACACCTGTTGATACTATAAAAGTGTAATTTCACTTAATCCAATTATTGCTATTGAATTCATCATATTAAACATCATTTAGCTTGGTCATAGTAATTTGCTAATAAATCTATGAATCACGAGATACGAGGATAATTACTGACAGTTGAAGATGACTTAATGCTGGGGGCCATACATTCCAATTGTTTTGAATCACATTTGAGGGGGCGGCCATTTTGAAATATGGGCTGGACTGTGCCACATCGCGCCCCTCATTATACAGCATCTGCTGGGGAGGGGATTTTTACACCCATCTGCAAAACACACATAATATTTAAAATTAATTTATACAGCCGTGAATAGCTTTTGAAGGGCGAAATAAACGTACCTCGTTAGGCAAACTCAATTCGAACAGATCAAGCCTATTTGCATTCCATTCTTTAATCTGTTCGTGGAGACGCAGTCGCTCCTCTTCTTTTGCTCGCTTATCCATTTTTACAAGAAAATATTATATCCTAAGTGCTTTTTGATCCTATCATATCACATACATCCGCTCGGCGTAACCGAAGAACCGGCTATTTCCTCTTCAAGTCAGGAAACACTTGTAGTAAATTCTGCGCAACGGCCATGAAAGGTTGATGCGAACGTAATGCGCATGCTCAGTTCAATTAAATAGGTCATAGGTCGCGGGTGTGAAATTTTACTTAAAGGGTGGCAGCACGCACAGGAAACAGACAAGATGTAACACATCCAATGCTTAACAAACCTCTTCTTTCAAGTAAATTATGAGTCCACATTCACCCATATTTTAACCTGGTATTTATCTCAATAATTGTTAGTCAATGCCCAAATTAAAATCGATCAACTGCCTTACAACGAATATTTTCACACTATGCTTGAAAGGCCTATCTTGAAATAAATATGGCGGCGACCGGTTGACGATGTGAGAGAACAAGTTGCATTGTTTTATGTATATTTTTCTGCACTCACTGCATGTATTGGGGTATTATTTATTACAAGGTGAGTTTAAAACCTGTTCTCTCAGATTCAAAGTATCGAACTGATGTCAGACATTTATTTATATACGACTTATGAAGTATCCTTACTCTTAGGCTTCCTCCCGTTTGTTTTACAATTTACGTCTTTACTTGTTAGTATGTTAGTTTATTGTTTATGACGAGTTTATGCGTGCTTTTACCGCTTTTGTTGAAAAACTAAGTTTGACTGAAATGCTTGTTGATTAGACCGTCGTGCCCAGAATGTTTTCGTTGTCTTTGAAAACAAAATAAATTTCTTGGGCAGAGCTTGCTTTGCTTTAGCCTTTACTGTATAATAAAGCATATATAGGAACACAAATATTGAATTATTGTAAGGAAAAGCAAGGGCTTTCATGCCAAAAGTGCTTCTGTCATATATGTAATTTCACTTAGCTAAAATTGGTGTTTTATGTATTGTTGCACAATACCTATTATTGAACTACTGGTACATTAAGATGAAAAAGTATGGATAATATGCCAAAATGCAATGAATTAACACTTAAAACTAGTACCCAATTTTCTTTCAATCATCTGACCACACTTTGTCATTGATAATGACACCTCCTCATGGTCAACTAATTTCTACTTTTCATTAGACCAGATCACCAGGTAACTGATGCCTCCCATAGAAGGCCAGCCCCCAGGGCCTGGGGGTGCAGGTGCTCTGGCCCAGCCTGGACCTGGAACCATCCCCCTGGCTACCCTCATTGACTTTATTCTACAGAGAACATATCATGAACTCTCTGTGCTCTCGGAACTGTAAGTAATATTGAAATAGTTTTTTCTTCTTAATTTGTTTTTGCCTGTAAAACATTGATTTAAGTACAGAGGTGCAAGTTTAAATAAGGCATTTTTAAATGTACATATGCATGTATGCCGTGAAGTGTTTCTGTAAGAAACCATTTTTTTTTTTTTTTTTTTTGTTTTTTGTTTTTTTTTTGATTAACCATGGTCACAAAATTGTATTTATCATGATAACTTAATGAATTCAATTACAAGTGGTTGCTTTATTATATATTTCATTTCTTTATTTTATAGGCTTCCAAGAAAAACTGATATGGAAAGGTAAGTGCACAACACCTTGGAGCTGTAGGGAAATACACATTTTTCAATACAAATATACCTCTTTGGAATGATGAAAGACATGTTAAAATTGGTTTTTGACAGAATATTACGAGATGTGCCTGTCTGAGCTAGAGATTTATATGGCCTCTTCTCAGACAAATATATCAGTTATGACAATCCTGAAACTGTTATTTTAGTATTCACATGAGATATTATATAATATGAAAATGTTTATTTTCAGGAAAATTGAAATAGTTCAATTTGCGAGTAGAACCAGGCAGTTATTTGTGCGCCTCTTAGCCCTGGTGAAGTGGGCCAACAGCGCCAGCAAAGTGGATAAATGTGCTGTAAGTCCATGGCTGGCTGATGTACCATTAAAATATCGTCATTCATATCATGACAGTCTAGCCATATTTCATACTCCATAAAATAAATGATTTCTTCTTAGGTTTTTATATATGTTATATGTATATCTGGATATTAAAATTTTTAACAGACATAGGAAACATATTTCTACCCTCTTCAGGGATTCACGTGGCTATATATATATTTTGTTTTCATTGTGTTTAGGCGATCTCCTCCTTCCTGGACAAGCAAGCCATGTTGTTTGTGGACACAGCCGATATGCTGGCTAAGGTGGCCCACGAGACCAGGATGTCTGCCAGGTATGGGAATGAATGACTTCACCAGAGAAATGATACTCTGGCACATAAGGCTGGTGTAGTGCTAACTCTCGCCAATTTAGCCAAATGCTAAAACTTGCTTAAATTGGCTAAAGAAAAAGGGCTTGATTTGACTTGTTTTAGTCAAATTATAACCATTTTGATAACAAATTGACAAAAAAGTGGTGATTTGGCATAGAGAAAAAAATTGCTAGCGCTACCCCAGTAAGGGGTGGTTCAAGGGGGCCTTAGAAAATAAACAGCCATTTTGGACAAAAAAGGTCACCTCTGAAGCAACATTTAATGTAGGTTCTATGAAATTTCATTTAAGGAGATAAAAGGGCCTGTTTTCATTCAGACGAAGAACCATCCCTTTGAAATTGCAATTTGTGGGCTTCCTATTGTTTAGCATTTAATGAGCTGTCACATGTATCTAAATAAAAACAAATAGAATATATCATGTCTTCTCTGCAGGTTACCAGATTTCTCCATCCCCTGTGCCATATAATATTATGTCTTCTCTGCAGGTTACCAGCTTTCTCCATCCCCTGTGCCATATAATATTATGTCTTCTCTGCAGGTTACCAGCTTTCTCCATCCCCTGTGCCATATAATATTATGTCTTTCTGCAGGTTGCCAGCTTTCTCCATCCCCTGTGCCATATAATATTATGTCTTTCTGCAGGTTGCCAGCTTTCTCCATCCCCTGTGCCATAGATGTGCTCACCACAGGTACATATCCCAGACTGCCGACCTGTGTTAAGGTGAGAAAATAAGTCATTATAATTAGATTAGTTACTGTCATAATTAATTAATAATAATATAACAGGTCTAGATGATGTATTTATAGGCTGTCTATATCACAATTTATGTAAATACACACAAAAATACATTTCACATTGTATTTCATCATTGACCATCTTGTCATCCCACCAGGAGCGTATTGTGCCAGCTGACCCTATCTCCCCCATAGAGAAAAGAGAGACATTACAGAGATTGAACCAGATCATAGAGTACAGGCTGGTCACCAGTGACCTCCCACCACAGATGAAGAAACTCAAAATTGGTAACACCAGAAAGCCTCACAGTAGAAGTGTTTTGTTGCTCATACTAGGCAAACTCAGCAGATGTTTTGATTTGAATTTTGGCAATTTGCATTATATGCACTTTCTTTTGTTGTGAGAGAATATCTCAAACACTGATTCTTAGGTAGTGATGAAAATAAAGTCACATTTAAAAAATATTTTTGCAGTACTCTAATGGATGCCATAATAATTTATAGATAAAATCTAATTAGTGTTTGTTTTCCCTCCAACACCAGCTAATGGCAGAGTGAAGTTTCTGGTGGAACATGAGTTTGAGGTAAGAGAACTGAAACGACAGTCAGAGTTTGATGTGTTCTGGCCACCATAGTTTATTATAGAGTAAGCAGGGGTGGTTCAGTGGGGGCTTAGAAAAAAAAACAGTCATAGAGTGGTCTAACCTGGCATACAGGACAAGATAGTGTAAAACTGAATTATAACTGATTAACAGTTTTACTTACAACAGTCATTTGGATATGCCTACTGGGCACTGCACTTTGTTTTATGCTGAGATATGTGTGTGTTAGTTTGGGCTGAGGAAGTTCTGTATCTCGTCCCCCCCAGATCACCCTAACCCTGATGGGAGATGGGCCGTCCATACCCTGGCGACTGCTGGATATTGATATACTGGTGGAGGACCATGAGACAGGAGGTAGGGGGCACTGTGGTCTCTCTGGGACTGTCTGAACTTTTATTTGCCATATTTATGTCCTGGTTAACTCACCACAGCAGTGGTTTTATACAGGAGGTTTTACATAACTTGAGGAAATTTATACCTTTGAAGTATGCAATGTTAAAGATGGGATGGCTTTGGAAAGAAATTATTCTGTACAACTGAATAACATATCAAGATGACACTAGATTATCTTTTGTCTTTCTTGGAGGGGAGGTGCAGGGGGTTTGAGATAATGTATATTGAATATTTTTATTTTGGAAAGACATATCAGCACTAAACATAAGTGTTAACTTGTATTCTAATCCTGTAGATGGGAAGGCGTTGGTACACACTCTCCAAGTAAACTACATCCACCAGTTGGTCCAGTCCAGACTACTGGACAATGACAGGCCATTACATGACCTCTACAACTGTCTGCGTATCCTTGAATAACTACAGCACTAACATGAAGATGTAGTCTGTGATTATACATATCAAATCACTGTTTAGATCTTTAAGAAGTAAATAAGTTATTATACTGATGCATCTATCAAGATCTACTATAAAGATCTAATATATAATCCAAGCTCTCGGTCCCTAGGCCTTCTTCAGGGATTTTGAAAAAATATGGTAAAAAAGTAGTTTTTTTATCATATTTGTTTCAAAGTCCCTGAAGAAGGCCTAGGAGCCGAAAGCTTGGATTATATATCATGGCTACAATTATAGAAATGTTGATTTTAGTATGATGAAGAAAGTTTACAGTTTCTAAACCACTTTGTCATTTGTTTAAATCAAAGATGAGGTCATTGTGACTTTTCCTTAGCTGACCTCAGATTCTTTCAGCCAGTCATTACAGCTGGAGGTGCTGCACTCACAGGTAGGCTAAGATTTCAGTTCTGGTGTTTATATTGATATTGTGAAAAAATTGCTGTGCCAGCCTAGAGCAATTTGGTTACTAACCCGATTGTAAGTTTTATTCAGAAGTACGTGCCTTTTACTTTTACTTGCCGGGCATGTTCACAGAGGTCTTGTGAGGAGTTTAACGAGTTTCCTTTTTTATTTATTTAACAAATGTTCATTATATTGGTATATGCCAAAAGTAACCCTATATAGTTCACCCATATTTCCCCCATGTCACCCAGTGTATTTTGGTGTTCCCAGGCTGAGAGGCTGAGGAGTCAGAGACTGGGAGATCACATCCGTGTGGAGGAGTACACTGCAGGGAGAAGTCTGGTCGTCTCCTACTGGAGGTCAGGATGACCCTCTACATTACTGGCTTTGTCTGTTTGTGGACTAAATATGTCATGTCCACGGGTTTGATATAGAAGTTTAAGGAATATATGCTACAGCTGTGGCTGCAGTGTTTTGTTAAGAAATACTTAGTATGATAAGTATAAAGATTATGTATTTAAGCCTATGTCTACATCAAAATATATTGTCAAGTTCAGATATTCTTACTGCACTAATACTATGTTATTGTGTATTTTCAGACTTCAGGTTAAGAGAGACACAAAGCCTGCAGACCAACCACCTGGTAAAATGTGTTTATTTGTATTTTTGTAAATATGTCTGTTATGTCTCAATGCGCAAGAGAGAATTATATATATAAATCTTTTTTTATTAGCAACAATTCAAAATAAGCATGACTATGAAGTATTTTATAAAACTGAGCTCAAAAATGATGCATTTTAAGAAAATACAACTGTGCAAAAACTATCCATTTTGAGATGTAATTGCAAAAAAAATTTAAAGAAGTTAAGAAGATGCAACTGTGTAAAAACTATCCATTTTAAGAAGATGCAACTATGTAAAACTATTATACAATTTAAGAAGATGCAATTGTATAAAAACTATACATTTTTAGAATTAGCAAATGTGTGTATGAAATATATATTTATTTATTTATTTATTTATTCGTTTATTATTTATTTATTTATTATTGTTATTATTTTTGTGCTGTGCAGTGTATAAGCTGAGTATCCATGTGGATGAGGCAGACCCAGGTAAACCTCTCCAGGTGACTCACACACCTGAGATCCAAGGCAAGGAGAGTTACCGCGTGGCCCAGGCCATTAAGGTACGGAACTGTGCCCCACTGTTCACTGATGTGGTTAGCTCCTAGGACAGAAATGAATGAGGACTTTTACACAGCTTTTCTAAATGATACTAAATGGAGAACTAAATAATGTGACAATTCTAGTCTGAAAACTTTGAAATTTTTAGGAATGATTAATCACGTTTACTGTTGAAATTTACACTGTCAGGATTTTATTTTCTCGGGCAACCAAAACTTGTGAAAGTGACAATATGTTTTCATTGTCAGTTATAAAGATGACATTTTCAATTCTTGCATCTTTCAGAGTGATCATCTTTCCATAGAAAAACTACTTATCCAAACTATTCAGGTTAGAAGCCAGGCTAGACTGAGAGTAAGTAAATATATAGCTTTAAAGTTTGTATGCTAAACCAAATGAAAACTCTACATCAAAACTTGCAAAAACCAATGCTACATATGCAATTATTTCCTGAAAGTTAAGTTCTGCTGATTAGTATTATATTGGCTGTTAAATTATTTGATTTACACTCTGTCATTTGCCAATTAAAATCTCATTCTGTGATGTTAAATAAACATTTAGTTTTACACAGATTGTCAAAATTTCCCCATGTATTAAAATTTGATATTTATTTCTTTAACTAGGAACTAGAAAAGGATGTCAAGAAATTTGCTGGAGGCCCTTGTAAGTACATACATACACTGCCCTGAGTATATACGTGTTCTAATACATTTTTACAGCACAAAGTAAGTCCTGTGAGACAAATATTGAGGAAATAGTTAGCAGTAAATAGTCAGCATAGGTAACATGTAAGCCCTAAGAAAGATAGGTCATTGTATTGGTTACCTCTCATTAACAATAACCCTGTTTCCAGGTGAAATCAAAGGTGTTCCCCCCACTCTCCTGGTGCCTGTGCTGTTTCCTTGCATGGATTCCGAGAAAATGTTGATATCAGTGGACATACAGCGGGGACTCTTCCTGACCAGCATGCCTCAGTATGGTAAGTCTGCCCTTAGAACTTTAAAACCACCACTCTCCCCTCGCCCCTTTAAATAAATTGACTGATTTATGTATCTGTTGATTTGGATATGGTCAAATCTTACTTCATTCTACCTTGAAGTTGTGAAAAGAAAGTGAGAGAAAAATAACTAATGCAGTTGAAGAGATCTCTTGATTCATTTTGACTTATTAATTGTATCTTATGATTTTGATATGACCAAATCTTACTTCATCCTGTTATGAAATTGGCTGTGATGAAGAAGACACAATTTCTATCATTTGAATTCATTCATGTGTTACAATTGTGTTTCCAGGTGCCAAATGCAAGGTAGCAGACGACATAGAGGAGAGTCTGAACTCTGGCGGCAGGGAGCTGGCCAGGCTGATGACTGAACTGAGGTCAGTAGAAATAATAAATAGTAATAAACACACCTCAGCTAGTAATCTTTATCTAACAGTATTGGCCCACTTCAGGACTGGATCTCTTTTAGCCAAAATAATAGTATGATTTTATCCAAACTACAACGTTTAATTAAATTGTTGAAGAATTTGGCAAAAATAGAATATGCAATAAAAAATAAAAAACAAACAGTAAAATTTCCACCTTTGCCACTCCAGAAATTGGTTTTTTGGCATTTGCATGAAATTTGTATCATAATACATGTACTGTTTTGTAAAGTTTCATTTTGTATCATTTCCTGTGTGCTGAAGGATCTGGCTAGGAATACAGAGGTGTGAGAAGTCCATCCAGCACCTGCCTGCTGCCGCCTACAGCTTCATCCCTCTAACACAGTACGCAGGGCACCCAATAGAAAACCTGGGGCCCTGGAAGCTGTATATTAAGTTATTAAAGCAGGCAAACTTCTATGTGGTATGTATAGAAAGATCTTCTGACAAGTATGTGACTCACTGTAGATATTTGCAATAAGCAAATTTGTAGGTTTATTTCAGAAAAAAAAGTTTCAATTAGCAAGTAATACCAAACAAAAAATATTCATTTGGATGATGGCTGTTTAGGACTATATTTTCATGCCACTTGATGATGAATAAGGTATTTTAGTAATTGCAGCACTGTGTGTTGAAGTGTTTACATTGTACTATTTCATGCAGTACAATTGTACTGTCCCCAGTGACCTCTCTCACCTGTATATTTAACTCCTGTCAATCTTCCTGTGTGTACAGGTAGTGGACATCCAGGCTAAAGGTATCAAAGCTATAGAGTACAACTACTACCTGCTACAGGTAGAGCCATGTACCTTTGAGAAGGCAGAGAATGAGATTATGGATGACATCCCCACTGCCTACCTGAGACCTAAAGTGATCACCAAGTTTGACACGTATGCCATCACACATGGACCCCTGGCTAAGATACACGGTATGTGAGAGTCTGAGACAAGTTATCTGCCACTGTATTTTGTATTGGTGAAACCAGTAAAAAGGATCCCTTCATCACTGTTCTGTGGTAATAGTGCAGTCATAACTGTAAGATAAGTTTGTACCTTTACGGAGGTAAGTGTTCATTTTGATTAGAAATGATATACATAGCATTCATTTGGAATGGAACAATCCACAATATCCTTATAAATTATTATCATGCCACGTTTTGCTTCTTAGATGCTGAGGTTGATGAAAATGAAGAAGAGTCCCTGGAAAGGAAGAGAAAGGTGAGAGTTCATGTTAGATATATATTTATAAATAGATATGAAAGTATAGCCCCCAGATACTTCCAGTACCTAGTACCAGTGTGTTATAGATAAACAAAATGACAGTGTCACCAGCATGCTATCCTTTGAATTAAAACACAATTTGTTACCTCACCATATTCAGAGTATTGAGTTTCACTTTCATTTCAGATCCTGCAGGGGGATGTGGATGGTCCCCCCAGGAAGCAGGCCAGGGTAGCAGCTTACTTTGTGTCAGAGCTGGTCCACATCTTGGCCGCCACTGAGGACAGGATACCCTTTGTAAATCTGGGACAAGAGGTAGGTTACCAGCCACGGAGGACAGGATTCCCTTTGTAAATCTGGGACAAGAGGTAGTTATATGGACAAACGTGACACTGCAATCAACAATTGTGGCATTTATTCAGTTACCCCATAATTTGAGATGACATTAAATGTCAAATAATGATCTACAGTCCACATTACTGTGAATACACTATCCATGTTCCTGTTTCAGCTCCAGAATCGTGGCATAGGGCACCAAGGTGTCCAGGTGGACGGCAACGGCTCCTGCTATGCTCTCACTGTGGTGGAGTAAGTCTAAAGATCTTTCCTATTATATAGAGAAATAAGAACAGTATTACCCAATCAAATACAAAATTTCACCTATACATTGACATTTTTCTGAGAAAAACAAAGGAACAATTCCTTCAGTTTTAACACTTTTCACCCCCTTCAACAATGTCCTTAACTTTCCCCGTGTACCATTCCAGCATCCCATGCAGCGCAGACACAGAGGCGCTGAAGCAGGACCTGTTGTCATGTACATTTAGGGTCCAAGGCAAGACTCGCAGCTGGCACACTGAGGTAGGGAACACAGGGAAACGGGAGAGTTTTCATTACCTTAAGATAATGTATTTTATCTAGCAAGATGCTTAGCATGATTAGTGTCCACAGAATTTGAAATTTAACATGTAAATTGCACATTTAGTTCTAAAACAGTGTAATGGTACAATCATGTCTAATTTGTTTTTTCTTCAGCTTGTGTTTACCAACTGCCCTGTCATGAGTACAAGTCCCAAGGAAAAAAGTAAGTCTTACCAAAATGACCTAGAGTATTGCAATGGCAATGACTTTTTCTAACTATATGAAATACAAAGTGTACACGATATATAAACTTTATCTGTATGTTACAGCCGATACATCAGCTATATTCGAATTACTATATCTGCATGATAGTCCATACATCAACTATACGTGTATGATATATAAACTATATCTGTACATTATAAGATATATCTGTTGTGTTTCAGGTATCATCCACCGTGTGGTGTGTATGTATGAGTTAAGTCATGATGGAGATGCCAGTAAACTGGTACAAGACTTCATGGATGACTGGGCCACACTGGGACATCTCTACAAGGCCGTGCTGGACTTCTCCATTCAGTATAAAAGTAAGTTTGCCTCAAGTGTGTGGTTTGAAACAGCATGGTATGTGTTTTAACATCTTCCTTTTCCTGCCTTTTTAGTTACATGATATTGTTCATAATGCAAAAAGAATAATAAAATAGAAAACAACAATGGAAATAAGCAAAAAAGAGGAGGGCTTTTGAAAACCGAATTTTGAAAAGAATTAAGTTAAAACATTGCTCTAACTGCGTCTGTACTTCCTGTCCCAGATCCCAGCACCCATCTACACAACATGGTGGAGATAAAGAGTTACTCCTACAAGCGTCTGGTGCTGGGGTATGGCCCCAGTAAACTGTGCAGTGTGAACATCCAGTGGAGCCGAGATAGGACCCAGTTTGTGTTGGCGTTTGGTACCTGTGGCCCCAGCAACACGGCTAACCCGCACACCTTGGTGGCTACACAGCTTCAGGCTGAGTTCAACAAACACAAGTCTATTGCTACATTGGCTCAGGTATGTATTGCACTGTGACAGAGTTTATAACAAACACAAGTCTATTGCTACATTGGCTTGGGTATGTATTATACTGTGACTAAGTTTAACAAACACAAGTCTATTGCTACATTGGCTTGGGTATGTATTATACAGGGACCTAGTGCAAGCAGATATTAAGCATACCCAGAAAGTGATGCCAGAAGGAATATAATAGGAGAAATATGTTTTGACCTGAGATAATTGGTTTGAAAAATAAGACCAGATATTTGTGCTTGGATAATTATGAATGGCACTGCAGCCATGATAGAACTACATAAGGATATTTTTGCTTCGTTTTTTTTTTCAGACTCTGCATGAAACATGGATGCCCATGGCAGCCATCTGCAAACTCCACACCACACCCTTCATGGCACAGGCTCCAGTAAGTAACAACAGCTCTTGAACTTCATTTTAACAAAGTGAAGCAGGGATGTAAAACCTTAGAGCAGAATCCCCAAAGGAAACATTTGACTTTTGATGAAACCAGTACAATTCAAGAGTGGCAGAATAAAAATAAGAAAAGGGGTGCATAGTTAAAAAAACATTTTCAGCTCTCTTTGCAAGGTAGCTATGTTTGCATGTAGAACCATCCATTGAAAGGGTTAGACATGCATAGGAAGGTACGACCATTTTTTTTTTTTTCACCTATTAATTTTTTATGAGTATATAAGCCCCATTTATGATTTAAGTACCTTCTCATTCTTAAAAAGCAGGTTTAAATAATGAGGTTGACTGAATGCATAGAATATCAGTAACCAAATCATCAGCAATTGTTTTAAATATCATTGGTTTCCTCACCAAATGTTTAAAATATGAGCCTGTTTATTCCACTACTATCATAATTTTTATCCAGAAAATGGCCTATTTATAAGACTTTATCTGTATATTTCAGAAAGCTCAAGCTGCCAGTGTTCCTCAGCCCAATCCACTGTTCTCAGTGATTCCTCAGTCTTCAACACACATCAGAATAGGCTACAGGAATACGTATCCTTGGTGGTGTATGAGAGAGAGAGAGAGAGAGAGAGAGAGAGAGAGAGAGAGAGAGAGAGAGAGTGTGTGTGTGTATTAGCATTCACTACAGGAACGATTGTTCTTCATTATTCTTTAGTGTGCATGTGCGGGCTATACCTTTAACTTCTTCTGAAAAGTTTGTATAAATTATCTGTAATTCTAAATAGGGCTGATTACTTTTACTATTTAAAAATTGTTCTTATAAAGATCCCACTATATAGTAGTTCTGATGACAATCAGTAAGTATCACGGCAGTGTGAAGTATGTANGCTTACTCCAGCTGGTGGTACAATATCTGGAGGCGGTATCGCCTCTCTGATCCTCTAGTTTTGACTTATTAATTGTATCTCATGATTTTGATATGACCAAATCTGACTTCATCCTGTTATGAAATTGTTTGTGATTTAAAAGGCACAATTTCAAACATTTTAATACCAGGTGCCAAGTGCAAGGTAGCAGACGACATAGAGGAGAGTCTGAACTCTGGCGGCAGGGAGCTGGCCAGGCTGATGACTGAACTGAGGTCAGTGGAAACAAATAAATTTAAAATAATGCCTCAGCAAGAGGTTTTTATCTAACAGTATTGATCCACTTCAGGTCTGGATCTCTTAAAGCCAAAATAATAGTATGATTTTAGCCAAACTGCAATTTTTAATCAAATTGTAGAAGAATTTGGCAAAAATAGAATATGGAATAAAAAATAAAAAACAAACAGTGATATTTTCACATTTGCCACTCCAGAATTGATTTTTTAGCATTTGCATGAAATTTGTATCATAATACATGTATTGTTTTGTAAAGTTTCATTTTGTATCTTTTCCTGTGTGTTGAAGGATCTGGCTAGGAATACAGAGGTGTGAGAAGTCCATCCAGCACCTGCCTGCTGCCGCCTACAGTTTCATCCCTCTAACACAGTATGCAGGGCACCCAATAGAAAACCTGGGGCCCTGGAAGCTGTATATTAAGTTATTAAAGCAGGCAAACTTCTATGTGGTATGTATAGAAAGATCTTCAGACTAGTATGTGACTCACTGTAGATATTTGCAATAAGCAAATTTGTAGGTGTATTTCAGAAAAAAATGTTTCAGTTAGCTAAGTAATACCAAACAAAAAATATTCATTTGGATGATGGCTGTTTAGGACTATATTTTCATGCCACTTGATGATGAATAAGGTATTTCAGTAATTGCAGCACTGTGTTGAAGTGTTTACATTATTTCATGCAGTTCAATTGTACTGTCCCCAGTGACCTCTCTCACCTGTATATTTAACTCCTGTCAATCTTCCTGTGTGTACAGGTAGTGGACATCCAGGCTAAAGGTATCAAAGCTATAGAATACAACTACTACCTGCTACAGGTAGAGCCATGTACCTTTGAGAAGGCAGAGAATGAGATTATGGATGACATCCCCACTGCCTACCTGAGACCTAAAGTGATCACCAAGTTTGACACGTACGCCATCACACATGGACCCCTGGCTAAGATACACGGTATGTGAGAGTCTGAGACAAGTTATCTGCCACTATATTTTGTATTGGTGAAACCAGTAAAAAGGATCCCTTCATCACTGTTCTGTGGTAATAGTGCACTCATAACTGTAAGATAAGTTTGTACCTTTACGGAGGTAAGTGTTCATTTTGATTAGAAATGATATACATAGCATTCATTTGGAATGGAACAATCCACAATATCCTTATAAATTATTATCATGCCAAGTTTTGCTTCTTAGATGCTGAGGTTGATGAAAATGAAGAAGAGTCCCTGGAAAGGAAGAGAAAGGTGAGAGTTCATGTTAGATATATATTTATAAATAGATATGAAAGTATAGCCCCCAGATACTTCCAGTACCTAGTACCAGTGTGTTATAGATAAACAAAATGACAGTGTCACCAGCATGCTATCCTTTGAATTAAAACACAATTTGTTACCTCACCATATTCAGAGTATTGAGTTTCACTTTCATTTCAGATCCTGCAGGGGGATGTGGATGGTCCCCCCAGGAAGCAGGCCAGGGTAGCAGCTTACTTTGTGTCAGAGCTGGTCCACATCTTGGCCGCCACTGAGGACAGGATACCCTTTGTAAATCTGGGACAAGAGGTAGGTTACCAGCCACGGAGGACAGGATTCCCTTTGTAAATCTGGGACAAGAGGTAGTTATTTGGACAAACGTGACACTGCAATCAACAATTGTGGCATTTATTCAGTTACCCCATAATTTGAGATGACATTAAATGTCAAATAATGATCTACAGTCCACATTACTGTGAATACACTATCCATGTTCCTGTTTCAGCTCCAGAATCGTGGCATAGGGCACCAAGGTGTCCAGGTGGACGGCAATGGCTCCTGCTATGCTCTCACTGTGGTGGAGTAAGTCTAAAGATCTTTGCTATTATATAGAGAAATAAGAACAGTATTACCCAATCAAATACAAAATTTCACCTATACATTAACATTTTTCTGAGAAAAACAAAGGAACAATTCCTTCAGTTTTAACACTTTTCACCCCCTTCAACAATGTCCTTAACTTTCCCCGTGTACCATTCCAGCATCCCATGCAGCGCAGACACAGAGGCGCTGAAGCAGGACCTGTTGTCTTGTACATTTAGGGTCCAAGGCAAGACTCGCAGCTGGCACACTGAGGTAGGGAACACAGGGAAACGGGAGAGTTTTCATTACCTTAAGATAATGTATTTTATCTAGCAAGATGCTTAGCATGATTAGTGTCCACAAAATTTGAAATTTAACATGTAAATTGCACATTTAGTTCTAAAACAGTGTAATGGTACAATCATGTCTAATTTGTTTTTTCTTCAGCTTGTGTTTACCAACTGCCCTGTCATGAGTACAAGTCCCAAGGAAAAAAGTAAGTCTTACCAAAATGACCTAGAGTAATGCAATGGCAATGACTTTTTCTAACTATATGAAATACAAAGTGTACACGATATATATAAACTTTATCTGTATGTTACAGTCGATACATCAGCTATATTCGAATAACTATATCTGCATGATAGTCCATACATCAACTATACGTGTATGATATGTAAACTATATCTGTACATTATAAGATATATCTGTTGTGTTTCAGGTATCATCCACCGTGTGGTGTGTATGTATGAGTTAAGTCATGATGGAGATGCCAGTAAACTGGTACAAGACTTCATGGATGACTGGGCCACACTGGGACATCTCTACAAGGCCGTGCTGGACTTCTCCATTCAGTATAAAAGTAAGTTTGCCTCAAGTGTGTGGTTTGAAACAGCATGGTATGTGTTTTAACATCTTCCTTTTCTTGCCTTTTTAGTTACGTGATATTGTTCATAATGCAAAAAGAATAATAAGATAGAAAATAACAATGGAAATAAACAAAAAAGAGGAGGGTTTTTAAAAACCGAATTTTAAAAAGAATTAAGTTAAAACATTGCTCTAACTGCGTCTGTACTTCCTGTCCCAGATCCCAGCACCCACCTCCACAATATGGTGGAGATAAAGAATTACTCCTACAAGCGTCTGGTGCTGGGGTATGGCCCCAGTAAACTCTGCAGTGTGAACATCCAGTGGAGCCGAGATAGGACCCAGTTTGTGTTGGCGTTTGGTACCTGTGGCCCCAGCAACACGGCTAACCCGCACACCTTGGTGGCTACACAGCTTCAGGCTGAGTTCAACAAACACAAGTCTATTGCTACATTGGCTCAGGTATGTATTGCACTGTGACAGAGTTTATAACAAACACAAGTCTATTGCTACATTGGCTTGGGTATGTATTATACAGGGACCTAGTGCAAGCAGATATTAAGCATACCCAGAAAGTGATGCCAGAAGGAATATAATAGGAGAAATATGTTTTGACCTGAGATAATTGGTTTGAAAAATAAGACCAGATATTTGTGCTTGGATAATTATAAATGGCACTGCAGCCATGATAGAACTACATAAGGATATTTTTGCTCCGTTTTTTTTTCAGACTCTGCATGAAACATGGATGCCCATGGCAGCCATCTGCAAACTCCACACCACACCCTTCATGGCACAGGCTCCAGTAAGTAACAACAGCTCTTGGATTTCATTTTAACAAAGTGAAGCAGGGATGTAAAACCTTAGAGCAGAATGCCCAAAGGAAACATTTGACTTTTGATGAAACCAGTACAATTCAAGAGTGGCAGAATAAAAATAAGAAAAGGGGTGCATAGTTAAAAAAACATTTTCAGCTCTCTTTGCAAGGTAGCTATGTTTGCATGTAGAACCATCCATTGAAAGGGTTAGACATGCATAGGAAGGTACGACCATTTTTTTTTTTTTTCACCTACCTTGGAAATAATTATTAATTTTTTATGAGTATATAAGCCCCATTTATGATTTAAGTACCTTCTCATTCTTAAAAAGCAGGTTTAAATAATGAGGTTGACTGAATGCATAGAATATCAGTAACCAAATCATCAGCAATTGTTTTAAATATCATTGGTTTCCTCACCAAATGTTTAAAATATGAGCCTGTTTATTCCACTACTATCATAATTTTTATCCAGAAAATGGCCTATTTATAAGACTTTATCTGTATATTTCAGAAAGCTCAAGCTGCCAGTGTTCCTCAGCCCAATCCACTGTTCTCAGTGATTCCTCAGTCTTCAACACACATCAGAATAGGCTACAGGAATACGTATCCTTGGTGGTGTATGAGAGAGAGAGAGAGAGAGAGAGAGAGAGTGTATTAGCATTCACTACAGGAACGATTGTTCTTCATTATTCTTTAGTGTGCATGTGCGGGCTATACCTTTAACTTCTTCTGAAAAGTTTGTATAAATTTTCTGTAATTCTAAATAGGGCTGATTACTTTTACTATTTAAAAATAGTTCTTATAAAGATCACTGTATAGTAGTTCTGATGACAATCAGTAAGTATCACAGCAGTGTGAAGTATGAACCTTAACTGTGGCCTCAGTTATTGTCTAGATATCCACCTGAGGAGTAACAAGATGGTATCGGTGAGAGACGGTGCCTACAGCTGGTTTGATACCAGTAAGGTCGTGGAGGGCTTCACACCAACTCCTGGATTAAAGGTATGGCTTTACAACATGTGCAGAACTGTTGGAAGCACTTATTTTGCCTTGGAAAGAGGAACACACCATGAAATATGATTATGCTGTAGTAAAATTTCCAGACTTCTTTTAATTTTAATATTTTGTTCTAAGCCCCCTAAACATCCTCATTCATATCAAGACAGCATTTTAACTCAAAGCTGTACATTGTGTTCACAGACATTCCTCAACCACTTTGTTGAAGAGGGCGTTCCATCAGGTATGTCCCGCAGAAGGTCCACCACGGAGGACGACAACCCACCATCGCCTGTTGGCATGGACTCCATGGAGACATTCATGAACCAGCCCCAGCAGATAGGATCTCCCGTCAAGAAACAAGATGGCGGCAGTGGAGGGGGGTTGAGGTTTCCAGGACCCATGACACCCCCGTCCAACCCCCACACCCCCGCGTCTCCTAGTGGGGCAAGGCTGGGGCAGTCTGGGTACAGTGCCTCTCCAGCCGCAGCGTTCCCACTGGCATCGCCACCCTCCCTACAGATGGGGACACCGTCGCCTGGCAACGTGCTCGGCGTGTCCTCTCCTGGCAACCCTCAGCTGCATGTGCCATCTCCAGGTATGGTTTACATCATGACTTCTAATACAACTTTGTGTTACTGTACTAAGATAGTATGGTATTTTTAATGGGGCATTTATATGTAAGCATAAACTTATTGTCACCTTACTAATAAAATATAATGTCTTTTATTAATCACTCAGTATGACCAGGCTAATATGAACATGTAGCAGCGTTTATCTGTACAGGTGTTCCATAAAAAAAGAGTTGACAATTTTTCATGTTAATTTGCCCTCTACAAAAGTTGCATTTCTGTTTTCAGGTTCATTTGTTCCAGCCCCTTCTCCATCTTCCCTGGGGATCCATATGCCGTCTCCCGCCACAGCTTTCATCAGCCCTCAAGGTAAACATCTTCTTAAAATTCTACC